GGGACTAAACTTTATAAATTTGTTTTAAATTTCTATTAATTCATTTTTAATTATTTATAATTAGATATTTAGATTATTATTATACCATATAGCATAAGAATATTGTAAATACTCACAATTACATCTATTAACAATAAAAATAATTTCAACAAAAAGCGTGCCCTAGACCCCAAAATTCAATGGTGTGGGTCAGGCACAGAAAGCTGATAACCTACTTGAGGCCCAGACCTAAAAGGTAACAACACTGCTTTTTTATTAATAATATGTAAAATCGAATAAGAAACGTCTCTATAGATTTACTTAAAATCCAGTCTGAGGCTGTAACAAATAAATGAAAACACATACACACATAATTGGAATTCGTGTATAAAGTATAGAAAATCGTTGGAGCGGTCAAAAACTGGCGTTGACGATAACACTATCGTAAAGCAGGGTCCACACTATGCCGCGGTAGGCCGGGAGGGTTGACCCGGGTGGGCTAAGCCGGGCGGGTACGTTCGGGCCGGCACGACGTCCACACTGAAAACGAAGCCAACCGGGCTATTTCTACCTACATTATTTAGTTTCAACACCAAGACTGGTGATTTAGTTGAAGAGTACTTAAAATGAACAATAAAAAACCCTACTTAAACTGAATCGAAAATAAAATAATTCGTCTACTTCGGTCGGAGGTTTAATTGTAACTGAAGCCGCTCGGGGCGCTCGGCACGTCCCCATTCTATATTTTTGTTCGGCTCGGCTCGGCTTCCTTTGATCTGTACCTACTTTATGCGGGTTGGGATCGGCACGGCCCGGGCCGGCATTTTCTAACCCGGAAAAGCCGCCCGGGGCGTCTACATCAACGCGGCTTAGGCCGCCCGGGTCAGCCCGCCCGGCCTACCCCGGCATAGTGTGGACCCTGCTTAATATTCGTGCTGTGTTTTAATTTAAATCTCGAAATAAGCAAAGGTTATGCCTTGGACCATTGCGAAATTAAAAGACAGAACACAAGCACTTAAAGCCCTTCCTTTAGTGCAGTTCGTACCTTTGTATTACAAAGTGGTCATGAAACGAGTTATTTATTGGCTAAGTTGAATGAACTTTTGACAGACTAATTCATTACAACTAAAGTTTTACAGCATTTGGGGAGTAAGCAACTATTGATTTTACAAAGATAAACCATTTCAAGGAACAATTAAATTTATCAGATTCGTTCAAAATAGATTATTGTCTATCTATGGATTATTAATTTGACATCAGATAATTACGCCTATAAACTACAAGCTGCATAAATACATAATTATTTTAAAAAAAGTAAACCTAGTTATGCAGTTTCTTATTCAAAACAATACCTTTTTTCTATCGGTGCAGACGATATCGAATAATCGGGTAACATACAAATAAAAATAATTAATAAAGTTTTTATATTTTGGTTTCTCAATAGTATTTTAATGCCCACATTAATATATAAACATATACAAACCCGCACCGTGCGTTGGTTTATACAAAACTAGGGCGAATCCTTTAGTAGCTAAGTATCCTTTGATTCAGGGTTCAAAAGATTACTGCAAGTACCCTTAAGAGCGCGTGACCGGTTCAGAGGGGTTCAAACAAGATCGATTGCCTCTCGACATTTAGGTCGAATGAAGACCACTGCAGCTGACAGTAATAAAACTGAGGTTTATAAGCGTAACTTAAATAAACGCCATCTAGCGGATTCTAAGAGTACTGTCTTTGAAGGATATACAAGTAAGAAATACCATTGCAGTTATATTAATTAATATTATATAAATAAGGCTAATTAATACAACTAGTTAGTTGCCTAGCATTAAAAGTAATGTGCAAAAAGGGGACGTAACGCGAGTGGCGTAACAATAGGGTGGCAGGGCTGGCAAAATAAGAGAGATATTATGTTCTATGGATGAACGTGAAGTCACCAATACGCATTGCATTGGGCTAGCGTGGGGACTACAGAACATTCCCTCTCGCCTAAGAGAGTAGGCCTATGGCCATTAGTGGGACATATACAACGCGTAATTGAGTACGCTGAAAATCTTGAAGTTTAGATATTAAAATGAAACTGAGTACAACGTGACGATTTTTACTGATAGGGTCCCATCACAAGAATTTGCCACGGGCCCCAGATGGTATAGTTACGCCACTGCGTAACGCTAAGTCTGACTGGATTTTGACATACACAAGTAGACGAGCTAAGTCAATTCTGAATCTTACCCTATGTATCTAATAAAACCTTACCATATTCCTCGTTGTTTTTACTTTAAACAATAATAAAAACACTTTATTTACATCACAATAACACAAAAACAGGAGAACTAAAAGAAGACAGATGTAGGTACATCGGCGATCTTACTGCTAAAAGCAGTCTTCCAGAATACCCAGAGGTACAAATTAAAAAAATTAAATGGAAGACGTAAACTTAAAACGAACACACAACAATACGTTATTTGCAAGTGCTAAATACAGTTGTAGTGTACCTATTAAAATTTTATTCAGTTACGTTCTCGGAAAACGGCAATTAAGTAGTTTGTCTGGAAGACGTTTAATAATTACAATAGCCCCATAACAACTATTTATTTAGTAAACATTCTAATTAAATAAGAACATATTTTAAATCTTTTGTAAGTTTAAAAACATTTATAGGTATGAAAAACCTAATAGAAACTTAAAGAACAATTATTTCATTCGTAATGTAATAAAAACTCGCTCCAATTTACGAAGAAAAACGATCTAAATAAGAAAATATGAAACCAATTGAAAGCACAAGTTTCTCGTTAAGGCTGAAATTAAATTAATTAGGAGTCTGGGAACGGTAGGAGTTGGCCTCAAAACGGAATGTCACAGAAAATTGCATTCAGAATTATTCTGCACAAAATTTATAGGAAGTTCACGTGAAACTCGAAACAACTTGCACGTAGGGTTATTTGTCAAAGGGCTTTTGAAATATTTATTTTAGATTTTTTATAAACGTTTCGATTGGAAATTGAAAAGTGTATGCTGTATTAAAATTATTTCTATATTAAAATTCAATTTATTATTCAAAAAAATTTTGAAGGTATCTTTCTAAAAATTATACCCTCTATTCTCACAACATGCTATATATACCATAAATTTAGCAATACAAACACAGCCTCTTTAGCTCAGTGGTAGAGCACTGGTCTCGTAAACCAGGGGTCGTGAGTTCAAACCTCACAGGAGGCACATTCCGAAGGGCTTTTTATTAATTTTCGGTTTATTTAAAATGGTTTTTTTAATGTTTCTTAAATATTTTTATGTTAATTTATAGGGAGGCAATAACAGCTACGCTTTAGTAGTTTAATTAGGAAATTTAGGAAGGCTTTTAACGGGAAATTACAAAGGCATCGTTGTAATGGGTCGCTAACTGGATTATAAACCGCGAAGCCACTTATTATCTTTTAGATAAATTTGCTGTAAAATTATATTATTTTTTTATAGGTAAAATAAAAGATTAAATAAAATATGTTTATTATGGAACATAAGATACAGGTATCACTTATTCCACGTCATTAAATTATTAATCCCTTCTCATCGGCAAAGAAGACAGAGGGTGAAGGCCGAGAGAAAAGGTTGGCGTAAAAAACTCTCGGTACTCTTTTAAAAATCATCAAACTACACTTATTTTAAAACAAATATCGCAAATGAATTAGACGTAGCCTGTCTAGTATTAGTCACAGGCCCTTTTATCAACTAGATAACTTTAAAGTAAGAGTTTTTATACAGCTTTTCTTTAATACATTTCTTAAATTTATTAAAAGGCAGTCAAAAGAGCCTCTGGGATTTTATTAAGGAAGAGTATCCCTATTCCCAAAAAATAATTACTAACTTTAGATAGTCTAGTACGGGGAAATAGCAGGCTGCGGTTGTTCCGAGTATTAACATTGTGCGTATGTTCTATTCTAGTAAACTTATCACTAATAATTAATAATGAAGTGATAGTAAAAACATGGCTGAATCTTTCCTATTTCGTCGGTCAGGACTGGGATAACCGCTTTCGGTCATTTCTAATACATACAGAGTTGGATGCCTTAAAAATAAAAAATATTACTGTGTGTACCTGCGCGTGTTACTGGAATAACAACTTAATTGTAAAAGTAAAACAGATGCACTAACATATCTAGACCATACTTTGTAATTAAATGTAGAAGTAAAGTGGATCAAAAACTTACCTCTTCACGTAAAAAAACCCTGGCGATACAACCTTTAGATCTGAGCCTCACATTTCTTCATCTGTTTCGTGATCATTATTTTTCTTAAAAGACAGGTAGGTCATGGCTTTCTGTGCCTGACACACGCCGTCAATTCTAAGGAATCATCTAAGGAATCATGGTAAAGAAAACAGACTGTGTCCGTCCCGTGCCCCTAGTGGGTGTACGCGAATACATAGATATGTACTTATCACACGGTTCCGTACTAAGAGATAAATCGAAGATTTACCAGACTACAGATATCTGCTACCTTTTTGTTTTACTCAAAATTCATCAAACTGTTTACCACGTTTGCACTAATATAGAAAGAACTTTTGAAACCAAAAAGCCTTAATGTATATATTTTCTTATGTATTATTTCTATTCTTTGTGTAACAATCTTCAAAAATGTGCCTCACAATGTATGTTTAATATCACAAATTACAAAAATATAGTAAATATGTAATTCCTTTGAACAGAAATGAAATATGATACAAGCAGACATAGAAAAATTATAACACCCTCTATGATGGATTTTTAGAACCATATCTTTAGGCTTTATAACAAACCTATATACAATAATGTTACACTTTCAATACTCACAACTATTCCCATATAAGATTCAGTAACCAAAGCATGAACTTTACGAGTTTTTAAATGTATTTTTTAGCCCAATACAACAATTAGTTCTAGACAGCTTTTTGCAAAGACAACTGGATTTTAATGGATAAAATAAAGAAGGTATAACTAAACAAATTTATTTTCTACTTAATTAACTATACATCTATGACTATACAACTATTTTCCCTTTAGGTTCTTCCCTTTTCTCTTTAGTCTATCTTTGATAATCGCATCTCTTTCATCTGCCTCTTTTCTATTGTCATCCTGATACTTTTGTTTTGCAAAATCTAATTCTGCTGATAGTTCAACAATTTTTGTAACATATTCTTGTTGCCTTAACATCCTGAGTTTTTGCTTTTGCTGAAAAAAAAAGAGAATAATATAATAAAATAACATTTAATAATTCAAAAATTTAACCAACCATAATAATTTTTTAGTATAAAATCGGATCTGTGGATACTGAGTTTGCCATGACACAATCACAAACACTATCACTTCATATAAAGGTTAGATAAATATCATGTCCAAAGTCACTGTGCTTATATACACTAAACAGACTGCTACGAATATAATTAATTAACTTGCACCATATGATAACTTTTTAGTGGAAAAAAAAATTCACAGTAACAATATATAAACATGACATACAAGCAAAGGTGTAGGTCTACCATCTAAAAATGTGTAGTCAGGGCCATCCGTAAGAATTCCTTCAGCATTGCGATTTGATGATAACCCCTTTGAAAGCCGCCATTGTTTTGTTTGCAGTGTAGACGAACAACTCAAAGATCGGCAAAGCACTGAAATAATTTTTATTAATGTTATAAATGTTAATTCTAAATGAATACAAAACTATTCAAGACTTTCACATTAGTTTCAAAAGAAATGTGTTTGATCTTTCGTACAAGAGATTACAGAGTATATACAAATAAAAATAAAGCAGTACATTATTTAAGCTAATTAAATAGTTTAATTCAAAATAAAATATTGTTCATAGGTATAAATAACTAACCATTATTTTGCACAAGTGCCTTTCGGAAAAGACACAAAGCCACTGCCATATTATTGAGTTATATAATATCTGTGTAAAAGATCTCGTTGATCTAAATAACAATAAGGTACTTGAAAATTCAAATTTTAAGAATAATTTTACAATAATTTTTATTTCCAAATATCAATTGCAACGAGTGCCGAGTGCCGACTGCCGATTGCCAATTGCCAAATATCAATAAGTCAATGTCAAGTATTAATTGTCAAATTACGAAAATGACAAAAACACAAATAAAAAATTTGATGAACAGTCCATTGAAATGTTACAATTTGAGGGACAAACTGAACATTTGTTAGAGGACGCAATTTTATTTATGGGACATGTAGGGGGGGTCAATACAAGCTTAATCTCAAGTTTTTGGGGTTGGCGTGCTTGTCGGCCCAGCCGCCTTCTTGGAAAAATGGGGTGCAAAAAACACGTTTTTGGCTATATCTCCTAAACTATCCATCGTACATAAAATTTATAAAGATACATTTTATAGAAAATCGCTGTGCCTAGAATTATATAAATTCCTTTATTCGCATTACTGCACTTTTCAGGTGACTAGTGTAGTTTTTTCAAAAATTGGAACGAAGCTGTCACTGGACAGTTGAAAAACATAACCTCTTTTGTGTGGATGTTTTCTTACGTATTTATTGTTATAGTTTATGCCCGATTCACATTATTCCAGCGCTAGCGCTGGAATGCTACTGGAATAATGTGAACCTGCACTGGAATGTACCATTCCAGTAGTCAATCCAGTCCAGTTGACTGGAATGACGGTCTATTTTTCATTCCAGCTAACCCAATCCAGCGCCACTGGAATAGTGTGAACGGCCAATCCAGTGCTTGAATACACGTTTAACAGTGAACACACATTGTTGTTATTTTATGGAATTTTATAGGTAATTCCCAACAATGAAGTTAACTGAAAACCAAACTCTTTAGTTTGTTTCTTTGTACAGAGAACATGTGTGTTTGTGGGATATCACTTCGGAATTTTATAAACACAAAGGCATGCGCCAATCCGCCCTGCACAAAATTTGTGATGGTATGCAAATAGAAGGTTTTACAGTAGAGAATGTAAAAAATAAAATAAAAAGTTTACGATCTACTTACTACCTTGAACTGGATAAGATTAAAAAATCATCTACGTCGGGTGCTAGTGGCGATGTGTATGAGCCGTGATGTGATTCTAACAGTACCTAATAATTGAACAGTTTTAAAACAATTTCTAAACTTCTTTCTTGAAAGCATTATCACTGTAGTGTTACCGATCTAACAGCTTTTGAATGACTGGAATAATGTGTCCAGTGCTGGACTGGAATAACTCACTGGATTACTGGACTGGAATAATGTGAACCAAGCATTAGACATGTGGGTAGCAAAGTTTTAAGAGATGAAGAATGTAAAACATGTCAATGTGCAAACTGCAATGAGCGTTGAGAAAAGAGAAAAAGGAAACAAAGAGGGACGAAATAATATAAAATAATGAATTTAATATACCATTTGGGTTGCCACGCACTGACGCATGCTGTATTTGTGATGAACTGAAATTAAAAATTGAGTCTGAAAATAGTCCTGAGAGAAAAAATGTGTTGCTTTTTTCTCACGTGCATGTTCGTTGCACATTTCACATGTGCAAAAACTGAAAACTTTAACAAATTTATATAGTTTAGAATGTAAAGAGATTGAACTGACGCTGAAGAACGCTGTTTCACTTCCGCTGTTTTGTTTTCTATATTATGGTTGAGGCTTGTAATAAAAGTGTTGACTTCTGACGTTTAATTCTTTAACATTCAGTTCACAGTAATGATGCATTGTTACCTCAACAGCAGTGTTTCCCAACCTATTTGTGCCATGCCCCACCTTAGCCTTTCCAAGATTCATATGCCCAAAACACAATTTTTAATATAAAAAAAATTAATTGTTCACTTAACAACCTTAAATAGGTTAGGTTATAGGATAGGTTTTAGGGAGAAATCTCGAGAATTTCCTCGAGATTTCTCCCTCAAAGCTGAAGTACACTGTAAGTAGGTATTCAAAACATATAATGCAAAACTGAAATTTCGAATAGTAAATTACATACACAAAACACGCGTATGCATGTAATTTTAAATTACCATTGACTATCTTGAACATCAATAAGGTTACACTAAGACATTAAGCATAATATTTTTGAAGTGAAACTTCTTTAGGCGCATGAGGGTAACATTTTTACGGATGAAACGTAATAATAATAATATTAGCGTCACGAAGATGTGCAGCGTTTTTGTCGAAGAAAAGGGAGAGAGCAATAATAATTACCTAATAGTAATTTTTTAATTTTAATTTTTAACATTTCGTAAAGACACTATGAAATATTAGTATTTTATATTGTATGCAAAATAATTTATTGAAACCTCAAATGACGAATTGTAAATTAAAATGCCACGTGTTTTATTATTGAAGAAATAAATTAAAAATTAATTAATAATTTGTATTAATTTTCGACACTTAATATTTCAATGACAATTAAATTCATTAAATTCCTAACATATCTTCCTTATTCCTTCCCTCTAAGTCTCGGAAATCTAAAGTTTTAGATTTTTAAATTACATTGTTAAAAGTTCTTTTTTAACCTTTTATCAGTGCCATCTACTGCAAACGGAGCTAAATAAAAAAAAAATTGCACATTGTGTTGTCATATGTATGAAGATTGAAGAGTTAGTACACTGCTCTAGCTCTACTTGATCTGTGGCCGGTGGCGCAGCCGTACTCCGTAGCAGTGTACACTGTACTGTGTATTTGTGTAATGTGAATAGTGATCGGTGTTGTCTGCAAGCATTTTATAGTGATTTGAACAAATTTCCAATTGTGTTTGTGTTCTTATTGACTAAGTGCGATTTTGATAGTGTTACAGAGGTATGTAGATATGAAACATTTTCAAATATCAAAATGTATGCGGAAGTAACACATTAACAAAATTGTCAAGGACAATTCTAGTATTTTCTGTAATACCTTTTACTGGCTTCATTATATTGTTTTAGAATCATCAGGTAATGTGTGATATAGCCTTATTTCATTACTTTTCACCAAAACCTATGTTTCTAATTAGCAGCATTAGCATTTGTGTTGCATCACTTTTTATTCGTCATCAGTATCGTTGGCGTAATGTAAATATTAATCAATATTCATTACAAATTTCGCTTGTATTCATTGGGTTGAATTTTTATTTATTTAATTAAAAGTTTGTTTATCTATAAGCAAGAACCGTTGTTATACAATTAATCAATTTAGCTTTACTAGTATGTAACTACTCACCTGAATCATCACAGGGAAAACACTGAAAGTAGTGTGGTGATAAGAGTGGAATTATACTCAATTTTATGATTAAAGCCCTTTTAAGTAAGTCTATAAGAATAACTAATTTAAGAATGATTTGTACCAACTACCTTAAACGGATTAACTATATATTTATATTTTATACCATCCTGTTATGTTTGTATTTGTGATTTCATTATAAAATATGTAGGTAGGTAGTCACCACTTTTCATTATTTAATAAGGTAGTTGGTAGTCTGTAGATTAGTTTTTCAGTGTACAGTATGCATTGCCTAAGTTCATTAAACTAATGGATTATTAAGAATGGACTTTAATTAAACATAATAAATCCTTTTGTTATTCCAGCTTTTTGCTTCATAAGTTCTACAAAATTTTGTCAAAACGGCAACCGAAAAGATAAACTCATCTGAGCAACCCAACTACAACACAATGTGTATGTATCATTTATTTCTTAACTAATATATTCTTTCTTTTCCTGCAGCTATTATCTGTGGACAATGTTCCAGAATCCAGGAGTATATCCAGGAGGTTTTTATTATTTTCATATTTTATGTGTTGCAACAGTGGTTCCTAGTAGCTATTTCGCCAAGTATAACTAGCAACGTAAAAGCAATCTTTGCTCTCAGCAACAATCTTAGCAATTCTTAATTAACCAACAAATGTAAATCGAACTAGCTCTGTGATCATACATTTTAAAACAATTCAAAATTCTACCCTTTACTGTTTAAAGTAAAAGCATTAAATTTCTTGGAAACGCTGTTGTATGAATGTTGTTTTAAGGCTTGATGTACACCTACACATACATATGCATAGACAAAATTTTATGTCTGAAAAATGCACCCAAACCACAATCAACACAGTCAATTTATTGTGCTGTATATTATTTGGCTATAAATATTACCTACAAATAACATACCATAGGATAAATTTAAGTACGCTATCATGTTATATATGCAAAATGATCCAATCACTTGATAAAAATGCTTTTGCAATTATACATATATAATGGGTTGATGGCATATAGTTGTCATATCATAATTTATTTCAATTATGTTAGCTTAAGGAATGTTCCCCTTTTTGAACTTAATTATTATTTTTTTAAAGTTCACACTATTGGGCTGTACAAAATAACTTCATAAATAATGAATATTGGTTTTAAAAAATTTAACAATTTATCAATTTTTTTTATATAGTTAATATTCATGTTTCTATGTGTGTTACTTTAAATATATGAAACTTGAACTAATACCATTAATACGATTTTAAAATGACTATAAGGTCATATCTTGCCTGTTAATAAAGAATTGCTTTACTTTATTATCCAATTGCACAAAAGCCATTATATTCTCATAAGCAGTTATGCCTTAGATTATATGAATCACTTTGTCATTTCGAGAAACTTTATTTTTATAGTATAGATAAGTTCTCAGTGAACTTAAATAGCCTATGATAATATTAGGGAATTACCCGCGACAGATAAACAATGAATCATTTTGCTATATCAATATTTTATACCGTCTTAATATTAATATAAATATTGCATTATCCGCTTAGTAACCAAAACTTTGGTTTGATTTCTGACAAAATAAGCAATTGTTTAAATTAAAAGGTATTCATCTACTTATCATATTAAAAAGAATTGTTGAAACTTACAAAGATGTGTTGTGTGTTCGGACAATTTATAATAGTGACTATCATCAAACTTATTTTTGTTTTGCCTCTTCATGGACAATTTAAACAATAATAAAAGCAAAATATGCATACAATTACCAACTACCGTGTATATAATACAATTCATATAATGTAGATTTTAAATAGATAAGAAATTATGAAATTAATATTTTCCTACCTAGTGTAACTAACAAGTTGCAACGTCTTCATTATGTACTGTAATGCAGCCTTCAAGGTTAAAAATTTAAAAACAAAACGTCATAAGTGGCGAGTGAAACAGACAAGATTGTACTTTATTATATAACCAATAGGGCGTATTTCTAATATTTTATAGTGGAAATAATAATCCTTATATTTTTTTAATGTTATGTCTAACTTTTGTATATGTAATATATTAAAAGATTCGGCAGATATAGATTAAAAATAAACTTGTGACGAGTTATACCATACTTTCAATTAATGAATATAGAAAACCATTGATGCAGGAAAAGTAGGTTTACCTCGCGTAATCTATGATATCAATTTCTTACCAGTAACGTAATATTTTATGTACCAACCGTCATAGCAGGATGACTAAAATATCAATTATTGTAATAATATATTTGCTGTTATTACTAGTACATAAAAATGTGAAATACTAAAAAATTAACACTAAAATAAAAACAGATACTAATATTTAATCGGCAAGCCGGTTGATTTCTGTAATACAGTTTGTCTTTGGACATAGGCCTCCTCTAAGGGCTTCCACTCTTCTCTGTTTCTAGCTTTACGGAGCCACATAGGGCCAGCTACTCTTCGCACATCATCTTCCCATCTTTTTATTTGTCTTCTTATTAATTATCAATATTTCTTAAGTAAAAATTAATTTTATTTATTCATTATTAATCTTAACTAACTTAAAGCTAACATACATATTATAAAACAAGACACAGACAAACAATACGTATGAAACAGAAAACAAGTATTTTGATACACAAAAACAAAAAATATTGAATTTTCATACTTCAAATATTTCCTCACATCCTTTGGTGAGGTGAAAAATATCAATGTTAATTTAAAAAAGATTTTTTAATACGTTTATCTCTTGTTTATTAATAAATAATGTATATGTTCAATTCACATTACCAATACCATAAAATTTTTAATGCTAGAAATGATTCAGTTACATCTTATTGTTGTCCGCGCTCGTTGGTCTTTTCTAAAAAATATTGTTTGTGTCGGTTACTAGAAATGCCGTCATAAGGCAAGATATTTCAAATATCCTTATTTGAACGTGAACCTCCATGAACGTGGGAAGGATGACGTCATCTGGCAAATTTCCAACCTGTGAAATGCGTATTACACCAATGTTTCTCAACGGGGGGGCCACGTTCTACAGCAATTCGTTTTTAAATGGGGTTATTCGAAATATATAAAAATTATGTGGAATTAGAATATCAGTTTTTCATTATGTTTTTAATATTTATTTTCGTTAATAATTTCCGATTAATTTATTCCTAAAACATATCAGTTTCTTAAGTGAACAATTCAATTTTTTTATATTCATAATTGTGTATGTTACATTGGTTGGCATAAGAATTTTAGCATAACACAAAAAAGTTGGGAAACACTATTACACTAAGATACATAGTAGTCTTTGTATGTAGGTTTTTATTGTTATTGACTACGAATGCGTAAAAATTGTAAAGGGCTTTTGGAGTCCATTCGGATGAATAGGTTTAGATCTAAAAAAAACATTATAATGTCTCAGCTTTAAGTTGTTCGAAATGCCCGATTATATGACGTTTATGTTTAATATAGGCGAAAAAAGTTCAGAACAAACAGAAATAATAAGAATTTTTAGGATTTATAAAGTATAGTATACAGGTTTTTAAGTCATTTAATCAGTTAAGTAATTCATTCAGTAATTGTTACATTACATATATATTGTGAAATATTAGGTAATGTGTTTATTAAAACTAGGTTGAGCTTATAACGGAGCCTTCACTTAAGATTACGTGAATGGCTTCTATGAAAAGACCTCGACTGTTTTGTTATCAAACTATCCATAATTAACGGATTGATTACGTATAGTTATAGTATAGTTAATTGATTTAATTACGAATAGTTTTTGGGGCCTAAAAAATACTGATTGATTGAACCGTCTCCTTACAAAAGCGATGTTTAAACACTACAATAAAACGTTAAAGCGGAAGTTTCTTTGCTTAAACGCATACAGGAACTCGTTAGTCCTTCGAGTTAAATTTACTTTTGGGTTGCATGAGTCAATTTATGGAAAGCTTACATCTCGCCAAGACCTAATAAACGCAAGTAAATTCGCGAGAATTATTTGAATTTTAACTATGTCTATGACAAAATTTGAGTAAAGAATATAGAAACTAGTAGTATTGGTCATGTTTTAGTTATAATTAGGTTCACAGACATGTGGGTATGACTTTCACGTAAACACGGTCGTGGCCGATCGATTTTCCTATTTGTGAATGCTTTTTCCTGATCCTGAACTATGTTATATACTTCGAAAAGTATTGTAAGTCAATTTAAGTAAAGCACTAATCATTACAGTACAAAATCACTAAATAGTATAAAACAAAGTCGCTTTCTCTGTCCGTATATCCCTATGTATGCTTAAATCTTTAAAACTACGCAACGGATTTTGATGCGTTTTTTTAAATAGATAGAGTTATTGAAGAGGAAGGTTTATATGTATAATAATATCCATTAAATAGTGAAGAAATACTGTTATTTTTGAGGTTTCTATTGCGATGTCGTAAATAATTTTTTTTTCCGCTTACATTGCAAACGCAATGCTGAACCCTACGAGATTTATCAAAATAATGTACTAAGTATTGTACACATTGAAAAGGTCTACAGAAAACTCTCCGATGGGATATGTCTATCCCACAATAAATTTTTTTTGTCATTTACTTTTTTCGACAAATAATGGCTAATTTTCGAAGCGATTTTATGCAATATAGCAATGTATCATAATATGATAGTTATGGGGACTTATAGGGCTTAGTCTTTACGTTTAGTGGGACGCAATTTAAATAACAATAAAATTGTGTGACTCATGCATGACGGCGCTGAAAGAAAGATCGATTTCGTTGTTCTTGCCAACTACGTAGTATTTTCCTACAAAGGAAATATTGAAAAGGTAAATTAACTTTGACCTAAACTCATAAACCAGTGGTAATTGTCTGGGGCCCATTGTTTTATTTATGCAGGATAGTTTTCAGGAAGTTTCCGATATTTTATTTTTATTTCTGGACTGTATCGATATGAGTTATATATTGTTAGTAAATGAAAGCAGTAGCTGCTAAATAATTTATGAGTTACTAATTTATATTCAGCATAAGTGCTCTGTAACTTCGACAGGAATCCGACGTGTTTGTATGAAATTCTCAATATCCTGGTGGCGTAGGATTTTACAACAATGCATTTGCAGAGTACCGGGCCCGTTATAAACTGAACAGGCCCGGTACTCTGCAAATTTACTAATAAAACTTCTTTAAAGCATTATAAACTGTTTGACTTAGTAAATACATATTATCGAGCCGATACCGAGCATGTTATAGAGAGGAATTAATGTATAGATATTGTGTTAACTCAAAGAAATTTAACTCATTTTTACGTTATAGAGTGTTTTTCGTTATAGCGAATAACGTTATAAAGACTTTACACTGTACTTATCAAACTACGAAGAAACACAAGGTATCAGTATAACAATAGAACATTTTTCTCATTTTTTTATCTATGATTAGCAAGCAATTGTTATTGAAAGTCATACTCCCAGTACGCATGTGCAGTTGCTACGGCATTTTGGCCCTTCGCTCCATCAGATAAATCTGTATAAGTCTAGAATGTTTCATTGAGTCGGAGGCTGTATTGGTGACAGACTGTCTGTGATTTTGGTGCATTTTATAACATGAACGATAAAGGTGTGCTTTCAAAGTGTTTATAATAATAATTAATCGTCGAAAAGAAAGTCGTACATTCAGATTCATTAATTATAAAAAAAATACGTTTATATGAAATAAATTTAGTTTTTAAGAGATTTCGTTGTCTGCTTGTTGGTTGTGAAATGCATTCATGTTTTAATATCGTGACAACGTTTATCTTTAAGCATCGCACGCTATATTGCAATTTTTTATTACTTTAGACAGTTAAAAACATCAAATGTGAACGTCAAGATGCTAGCTATTTTCTTTGTAAATATTATTACTGAATTCGCACACTTTCTTCCTTGTACAGCGCATGTACAAAGTTTAAAGGTTTGACGCGTAGTATTGTTTAACAAAGTTTTCTCATGTTTTTTTTATATTAGACTGATAAAGGCAAAACATAAGTTTTTTTAATGTTGTATTCACACCTGTATTCGGAAACGTGAGATATAGCAATACGATTTTTGTCTCCATAAGATGCCATTTCAATATCCTTTTCTCGATTTCAGATCAACAAGGTGGCTATCCGCAAGCCGGGTACCCGCAACCCGGTTATCCTCAAGGAGGCTACCCGCAAGGTGGTATCCCGCCAGGCGGCTACCCTCCCCAAGGCGGCTACCCTCCCCAAGGTGGCTACCCCCCTGGTGGTTATCCTCCGCAACCAGGATTCCAGGCTGCAGGCTATGGCGGTGCAGGATATGGAGAAGTGAGTGATTTTATTAAAACTTATAATTAACACCTTCCGAAAATAAAACTAGAATTTAATATGAATAAATTTATAATACTAATTTCAGAATTTTATTGATTGATAGATAGGCGTAATATGTATGAAAGTCACGTAAAGGTAAATTAGCTTGGAGAAATTTTTGCGTTTGTAGTAGTGTATGGTCAGCAAATAAAAAAAAAAAACAACATTTTATTTTTAGTTTTTATTTTTTTAAAGGTAATATACGTTTGTGGCTGGAGCACACCAAATGCGTACACGTCTACGCATACGCACTACGTACTAATACGGACGTGAAAATGTGTATCCACTGCATTGTAATCTATGGAACTGTATGAGGCAGATAAGCCAGTTCCAAATATTACAAGCAGTGAATGCCGGTTTTCACTTCAGTGAAGACGTGTATGAATTAGGTGTTCTCCGGCCATAAATGTTTTATTCTAATAATTCATCAACCCCAGGCATATCACAATCATCCCCATCCTCGCTTTCATCAGATGAATTATTTAAATTAATTATGATTCGTTCTGATATTGTGTCTAAAGCTGCGTCTCTACCCTGATATTTGTTTTCCTCCTCAATAGCATGCAGACAAACTTTTCTCCATTCCTCTACAGTTATGGCGTTCATTTTTTCTTCAGCTAATGACATTATAACCTTCATATTCATTGCGACATTCTTTTTGCGACATATGTTTTCACTATCCCCCATATATTTTCTATAGGATTAAACTCCGGATGGTATGGTGGTAAACGCAGCACAGTATGACCGTGCTGTCGTAATATTTCGTCTATCTTGTACTCTACAAATCTCGCCTTGTTTTGCAGAATCAGTTCATATAATTGAGGCTTAAGCAACGTGGATGAATGCTCAATGTTTCGCAATGTCAGCCAGTCAATCATTTGCTGTTTTCTAGAATTACTATTCGGTGCAGGATTTTGTATTGAGTTATGATATGGTGCGTTGTCAACAACAACAACACTATTTGGTTGTAAGTTGGGTATTAATTGAGTTTGAATCCACCTTGAATAGTTGTCATAGTTCATATTGTCGTGGTAATCTCCACTTTTTTGGTTGGCTTTAAACATAAGCAATGCATTTGGTATAAAGCCATCCATACCACCGGCATGAACAATGATTAAGCGGTTGCCTTTCGATATATGTTGCTTCAAACCTGAAGTGCTTCCATCTGACCAAGATTTCGAGAGGGTATGTGATGTATGTATATATGTTTCGTCGGTGTAAACAATTGGTCGGCGTTGTTCACGATATTCAGCAATTTTCATCAAATAATTAATTCGCAAGTATCTAATTTCGTGTTTTTCCATAAGAAGTTTCCGGTTATCTTCTGTTTGCTTCCAATTAAAACCTAATGACATGACGTGTTTTCGTAACGTGCTGACACAACCTTTATAATCGATATCTTCTTTTAATTTTGCGTGCAAAGTTTTCAAAGTGGGAATTTCTTTATTTGTGATGTGGAAGTCATGAATTGTTCTTCTGATAACTTGCTGATCAAAGTTATCGATTACTATTGTAGGTTTACGATTCGGTTTCTTTTTAGGAGATTTAAATGTTACTTCCTGATCTGAAGGTCGACATTTGCTTTCTGATACTACCTTTCTGACGGATGCTATTGAAATTCCCGTTGATTTAGCAACTAATTGAGTGGGAGTCATAATACTGCTCGGGTTGTTATTACACTCATTTTCGAAATATTTGTACAAACAGTACAAAACTTCTTTAGTTTGAGAAGTCAAAGGCTTGCCTCGACCATGTTTTAACACTGGAGCCATTTTTAATTAACAATATAAAGTTGCAACACTTACACACAAATTAAACACTTCAACAAATATTATAACAATAATAACAAACAATAACAACAATCAACAAATACAAAATTTAACAATTAACGTAATAATTATAATTTTTGAATGAAATGTGTGCTTTATGTTCTAACAGTACCAAGCGACTGACGCCGGACTGCACGTGGCACCTGCGGACAGCGTAAACTGGTTTATTCTGGTTTTGTGCGTGTTTCCACTTTCCACTATCAAGTGACGATTTTTTGCTTTAGATTGAAATATCTCGGAAACGGTGCGTCCTAGGCCAAAAATAAATTTTGACCCCCCGTAGACCCCCGGAGTTTTAAAAACCTAGATGAAAGGAAAAAAAATATATATCGGTCTCTCCTCTTTGAAGTTTCACTTCTATCGTGTGTGAATCGCGCACACACCTTTTTTTATAAAGTCAAAACCTTTTTTTTAAATAAAAACTTGTTTTTATTGATAACAAAAATCAGAGTGTTGCTAGGGATAAGTATAATATTAAATAGTAATGTTAGGATATCGAAACATTTTTGTATAGGCCAGAACGATATAGTGGAAACGCGCTCTAAGATCTGAGTAATATACACACCACTACATATGCAAAAATTTCTCGAGACTAATTTCACGTAGTTGGGTAAATCTTGATTCTAGACAATCTAATTACAGATTCAATCATTGAGGAAAAAATATCATTTGATTACCATACGTAGTGCGTGTAATTGTCTAAGAAGTCTAGTAGGCTTTAATAACAAATATGTTCGGTCATGGATGATGCCTTGTTTGCTGTCAGCACCAAAGCCGTAACAAAAGTACTTATTAATTTGTTGGTACATAGAGTGGAGGTTTAAATATAGTCGAGTAGAACGTGGTAACGTCATTGAAGAATACAAAACAAGGATCTTTCAAGTTTCAATACGAGGAAGAACGATAAACTTTTAAATATAGCTAAGCTATTTAAAAACATTTTTAAATTTCATTTATTAATGTTTCACAGCTTAAAGAGAGAATTCGAGAACAGTTTGGCCTCAATGTCGCAATTGTAGCGTAAAGTTTTGGTACATTGTCACAACCTTTTTCATAATAAATGTTTTGTCCTTATTGCTTTGTAATGTGATAGCAAAGTTTGCCCCCGCGTGCGACCCTCATCCTTGAGGTCGTAGGTTCGATCCCCGGCTGTGCACCAATGGACTTTCTATCTATGTGCGCGTTAAACATCGTGAGGAAACCGGCTTGTCTTAGACTCGACAAGTCGACGGCGTGTATCAAACACAGGAGGCTGATCACCTTCTTGCCTTTTAGGATCATGAAACTGATACAGAAATCTGAGGCCCAGACCTAATAAAGTAGCCCTACTGGTTTTTTGATACTTTGCTTATAAATAAAGGTAACGTTTAGTTTAGGATTATATGTCATATATAAATAATATGCTTTAAATGTTACAGCCTGGGTACGGAGGGCCTGCGGGATTGGGTGATGATGCCGACGTGAAAGGCTTCGACTTTAACGAGCAGACCATCAGGAAGGCATTTGTCCGGAAGGTTCGTTTTTTAATTAAAACTTTTTAACTCACATAATGGCGAATCTATTACATTATTTACGTAAATTATTTATGTGTGTGAATTAGTAATAATATAATTCTCAGAGTTTATAGGTTTAGGGTACAATAAAATAAAACTTGTCCATGACATCCAAATGGAATTGTAACAACTTTGACATTATTCCGTTTCTTGTCTTCTTTAGATTTTCTAAAGAAGTACGCTTTTAGTTATAATTTCTATACATTATGCTTAGGGAGCGTTCAAGTATTACGTCACGCAATTTTTGGAGATTATTGACCCCCCATGTAACGCGCCGTAACGTTTTTCTGTAACTAATAGTAAAACGTTTCGTGGACCACCCAGTGACTCCTTATACGTAAAAGTTACCATTATGTGGTGTAAAGTACTGGAAAGTCGAAAATAATATTAACAATAACGCGTAATTTAATCCCCGCCCCGCATCGTAACGTTTTACAAGAGGACCTCCCCCCCCAAATTCGTTACGTAATACTTGAACGCTCCCTTATGCATTATTAGCCTCATCGAAGGATGTCCCAATTACTCTGCATCTATTTTTTTAAATATTTCTGCGGATAAACCAAGAATACGTATTGGAATATGGAATTTTGGAAGTAGCGTCAATAAAATCAACAAGATCCAAATACTAAAACCTTTTCTAGGTGTACTCCATTTTGATGTGTCAGCTGCTTGTAACGCTGTCCTTCATCACTCTGTTCGTATACCATGCACCAACCAAACTATGGGCACAGCAAAATACATGGGCTTTGTGAGTATTACCTTTTTATATCTAATAAGACTTACGCTGGCCATAGACGGACCGCAGGTTGCAGTCGGCAGGCCGACTGCTGTAGAGCGGTCGCATTGAAGTCGTAGACGACTGCAACACGACCGCATAATGCAGTCGAGTTGTGTTCGACCGCAAAATAATACTGATGCCAGTTCATTTACAAGATGGATTTTGATGAAGAAACATTGCTTCTTGTACTACTATTACGCAAGCGTAGGCGTAGAAGACACCGTAGTATGTGGGTGTGTCTAATACTACAATCAAGAGAACAGCATACTTTGTATCCCCAGCTGAGAGAAGGCACTAAAAGTTTTTCAACTACTTTAGAATTTGATGAATTAGTTAGTATTTCAGATAGCCCTAAGCAGTCGACCGCAGAGCGACTGCTCCGACCGCTCACGAACTGCTCAAGCGGTCCGTGTATTGCGGATATGAATTTAGTATGGAAACTGCAGATCGCCGTGCGGCGACCCCTCTAGAGCAGTCGGTCTCGGCTGCAATATGCGGTCCGTTTATTGATTTCTAAATATATTTACTATTTTTTTTAAATATTGGCGCTTATTTCCAGCTGGGTAGCGTTCGTGGTGATGTTTGTATGTCTGATCGCGATGTCGTGCTGCGGCGACCTCCGCCGTCAGTCGCCGACCAATTTTATTTTCCTTGGTCTCTTCACCCTCGCAGAGAGCTTCTTGCTTGGCGTCACCAGCTCTGTTTATAAGAGCGATGCGGTGAGTAAATTATTATGAAAAAATATATTTTACTTTAAATATTTTTTTAATTGTGTCCGTATACGACCACCGTGATCTCAGATTCGATTCCAGAAATAGCGTCTAGCATTTATAGTATCTGTACTATTTGACTAGGAAAGCTATAGATTATGTAAATAGATAGAGAATTAGCGTTAGTTTTATTTTTTATAAGTCTTTATCTTGCAATCAGTCAGCTAGACTATGAGCAGATGTTTTGAGAGCTGTTAGGCGTTCAGAGCAAAATCTCCATCGAGACTGCTCCTCTCTTTCAACCGTGTCTATCAAGACTTAGGATTTGTCGCCTTTTAAGCCGGTATGGTTAGTTGCGTGGAAAGCTTATTGGCATGCATTTCTAGCCTTTTTCAGTATTTCATACTCCAGGTCTTGATCTCCTCTTTGACAGTCCTGATGTTCAGGTGCTCATGAATCTCCGATGTTTTTATAAACCACGGACAGTTGGATATTTGTTTCAAATAGTAATTTTGAACCCTCTGTATGATACTTATGTTAGAGTCACACGCCGAACCCCATAGTTGAATCCCGTAGTTTTAATTTAAAATTATTTATTAAAAGGCCGGCAACGCACTCGCCAGTCCTCTGGCGTTATAAGTGTCTGTGGCGGTATCACTTAACATGAGGTGAGCCTCCTGCTCGATGTTCGATTCAGTTAACATCGATGTTACGATGTTTTTCGTGTAGCAACATCGATGTTAAAACATCATCATCATCGAGCATCCCTTATACAATCTAAGCTCCAAGTCTCTATCTTAAACGTAATTATTTTTTAGTTGGGTATCTCTTTTCCTCTAAGACACTGTATATATTTTAGGTAATGATGGCGGTGGGAATAACGGCGGCTATCTGTCTCGCTCTAACCCTCTTCGCGATGCAGACCAAATGGGACTTTACGGCCATGGGTGGTATACTATTGTGTGCTACCGTGATACTCTTGCTGTTTGGTAAGTATCATTAATTGTTCTTGAAACAGAGAGCTTAGGAATAAGGGAACACCCTCTTTTAACGAGATTTCCGTCCTCCATATAACGCGGTATTTCCCCCCTATAACACGGAGATATCTTAAGTTATATTTGTGGGAAATTTATGATTTTTCAAGTCCATAAATAGTTTTGCGTTCCTTTGCACATGTTTCAATTGTGTTGTTATAAAATTAAACTGAATAACTGTTAAATTTGTGTTCCTAGTTTTTTAATTGTTTAAAAAAAAAAATATGACGAGAATACTCTTACAAGCGTTTGTCTATAACGCGGTCCGGGTGAAGTCAATTATATCTCCAGCTTTGGTTTGATACTTTTGGCATATTATAATTGATGGAACGCAATTTTTTATTGTATAAAGATTTTTTTCTTACTGACTTACACTCTGATTTTTAATTCCGTAGAATTCGGTTATCATTTTTTGACATGTCAGAGATGGCAAACCTTTTTGGCCGGCAACATTTTTCAATTTCAATACGAGTCTGAACATCTGAGTCTATACATACATTTTATTGTTAGTTAATGTAGCCATTTTATTAAGTGCGGTTCTCCACATTGAAAGTGGTTAACGGCGAGTGATGATTACGTCCCTTTTCATCACAGCTAAATAATAAAATAAATTAATTAAAGTTAATTCGATATATTGTTCGTGATATTAAAATATTAGATATTTTTGTATTTGGTCACTTGAGTAAGTAAATATTTAAATTTACCTTTTTGTAGGTAAAACATACAAAATACGTAGCATTTTTTTATTGCCTCAAATAAGTCAAATTTGTCCCTTTTTCGGTGGAGAACTTTTTAGTTGCAACACTTATGAAATGTCAGAATTCTACGGAATATAAAATCAGAGTATAGGTTTGTTCCTTGTCACCATAGTGGTCATGAATACTGAAAAGAAGTTAAAACTTTTTTTTATTAATAAAAGAGGTTTTATTAAAATGTAGTATTTATTAAACATTTTTTTTTTACCAGGTATAATCGCGATCTTCATCCCTCGCAACTCAATAGTGATGCTCGTCTATGCCTCTGTTGGAGCTCTGCTTTTCTCGGTTTATCTGATCTACGACACTCAGCTGATGATGGGCGGTAAACACAAATACAGCATTTCGCCAGAGGAATATGTGTTCGCGGCTCTTAATCTATATTTGGACATCATAAACATCTTCATCTACATCCTTACGATTATTGGCGTTGCTAAAGATTAAATTGTTGGTACTGGTTGGTGTTGGTCTATGGTAGCTTTGGCTTTTGACATAGAGAATGGACTAAGCAATGCCCTGTTCTATACTCTGTTCCAAGAGTGAAAAACGATTGACCTGTACTACGTTACCTAAATCAAATACTCTCGTTCGCTCACCATACATTTTTTTCCCGTTATTCTTTCCAAATTACGTAATAAAGTCAAAAAAGCTCATCGTGGGATGGGCTGGATAATTTAATAATTATTTTTGGGTATTCTTGTTGAATTTTAGTTAATATTTCTTGTATTGTTTCCGAGCCATTCATTTTGAACTATCAGAATGTCATGCAAATATTTTTATGGATTTCTTTCGTTGGTCACCCGTAACCAGGTCGATTTTCGCTCTTAGTTGAAACAGAAAAGAAGTAAGTGACAATAAATTGTCCAAACATAGTGAATATTGTCAAAAACATTTTCGAAAAAAATTATAAACTATGTTTCACTATGTTTAATTGGCAGCTGACGAACTGAAGTTCAAATTGAAATTTCAATTCGTAGCTCAATCACAAACAGTAGAACATTCCACAAGTCAACCCTACCCACAGACAATAAAAATAAGTAAGGTTTTATCTATGGACTGATGACGAAATTAAAATTATACTCGAATAAGTAGAGATATTGGATTGAAATCTCTACTATGGGCATTGCATTTAAGGCTAATGTTTTCTACTTAGAATATTCTTCATTACCTCATCCCTCAATAGTAAAGGCGATTGTCGAAGCCTCGGCTAAAACAAAGATAAGTTTAATAAAGCTTATAATTTGCTGGTTCTTCTAGAAATTAAATTGAGATATTCAGCCAACAAGTTCGTCAGTATCACAATGTTTATAAATTTAACACCAGCGTACTTTTAAATACATTTCTGAGCAGCGAAGTGCTTATAAATAATGCTGCCATTGCCATGAAAGATTACTATTACAAAATTTAAAAATATTTCGATAATCGCCTTCAAGCTGTACAAATGAAAATATATGTTATTTATTAGAGTCGTTTTTACAATCAAAATGCGTGTTGTATTTTTATTATTGTAGTGATATTTATTTCGCGATTGTAAAACCGGTTCTGGATGCTTTGTAGTTTGTACAAAACCCTTAAAAAAAAGTAATAGATACAAAATCGTGATCGAATGAAAGAGATGGCACCATTTGCCTGCCACATACATAACACAATGGTGGCAAATAATGTAAAAGATAAAATATTCACCATAATGTTGGAGTACTCTTGTTTGGTGTTTTGACGTGTAAATGAGTGGTGAGTGACATCAATATCCATTATACAAATATTAATTTCATGTTTATCTCTTATCAAAACCATATCTAGGTTCGCGGATACTCTGATTGGAAGGTATACTTTGGCCTTTCCAGAAACAGGACCTCGAGTATTTTTACTTTGTGGTACAATTTGTTTTTAATTTCAAAACAAGTTTAAAAGTCATCAGCGTCTATTACATGAACTATATATTATCTGTCTGCCATAGTTAACATGGCGTCACTGGCAACATCGTTACGTCATCTGTCAAAATGTATGAATTTAGCTCGTTATTGTATCTATAACTTTAGAAAATAATCCTCATAGATTCCAATCGTTATTTATTACGAATCGTTACTTTATTACGCCTATTTTCGAATAATTTAGTTTTTTAATGGTTATTGCACATTGTCATTAAATGTGCTATAAGAATAATATATGTAAAAATTTGATGTTTGTAACTAATAATAATCTTCTGGTTTAAAATTAATGTTTGAGATGTACCTAACAAAGTATTTAAGATTTTTATGTTCCTAAAATTTAGAGTAAAATTGTTTAAACCTAAATTTTAGGTACGATAAAGTGTACTAATAATTCGATGAAATCGAATTTGTCGCACCAAAGTGTGTCCTCTTCTCTCTGTAAAGTAAGGAACGAGACAAACATGGTGCGACAGAATTGGTGTCATAAGATTGCATCACGAAATATATTAATAAATATATATGTTGTTTCATTTCTTAACACCTACAGTGGATTTTGGGTATAACGACGATAAGGGACCATTTCGTTATTATTTCCGGACGTCGTTAGAGATAAAAGTAACCTGACACTTCTGAGTAGATACAGATTACAGTTGAACTTACTGAACCATAGGTTTACTTCCGAAACGACTATACCGGAACTCGTTACATCAAAAGTCGCTATAAGGCTAAGTTCAGATGACCGGTTGGAGCATTCACATGACGGTATATGTACTCGCGGCAGTGTGGCTTCAACATTGATTGACAATGGACTTGGAGGAGGCAATTTGCTTATGGATTTTATATAGAAGACTGAGACGTCGCAGAAGAAGACAAAGACGATACTGGGTGCATCAAATTTTAAGTGACAGACTTTCCTCCAGCCTGTTTGTCACTTTGTATCCCGACTTGAGGTTACACGAAGATATTTTTTTTAACAATTTCCGGATGTCAGTTGCATCCTTTGATTTTTGATACGATTCTATTGAAAATGATTTAAAATCCAGTGAAGATGCTATAAAGTATAAGATATTGCATATCACCAAATACTTAATACCATATCTTCGGTACTAATTTTGCATCGATCTATGTGTCTTTCCGTCTCAAGCCGCGCGGATCAACTGAACAGGTCGATACAGGTTTGCAAAACTTGTGCAGCGCGCGGCCGCGTGGAAGCGCGCGGTAATGTAGACGATAATTACCGTTTATATTGATCTTGTACCGACCTTGATCGATCTTGACCGCGCGGTCATCTGAACTTAGCCTTATACTAAAGTCTACTTTAAATTCAAGGGACTTCATATTTAGCCGCTACAACCAAGGTACTTAACGAAAGGAATCCACCATAAAAATTCTAAAAAGGTCGTTTGATCATTGTAAATTTTTTGCAGTAAAGTTCTTTATTGATTAAAGTGTGATCTTAAAAATATAAATAAGTTGATAATATTAGGGATATAAAGTTCAATGGCACAGGTAAGGCAATTTCAATTACAACATTGAACTTTCTTTTTAACCTTTTGACTGTAAAAGAGTTAAGTACATAAAAATTACAAAGTTGAAAATATTTAAACAAATATATTTTTGCAGTGTCAAATATTTAATAGCATTCGTATCATGCAATATTTAAACAAATATATTTTTGCAGTGTCAAATATTTAATAGCATTCGTATCATGCAATATTAGGAATCCAGCTCAAAATCTGAAAACAAGTCAGTCACCAGTAGATTATAAGTTGTGTTGACGCACGAAAGTGTTCAGAAAGATACAGATAAATGTTTGCCCCTAAATTGTAAATTATTTTTGAAGTGAAACTTCTTTATCGGGGTTGGAAAAAAATTTAGTGTAACATTTTTTCGTTACGCGTCACATTTTTCGGTTACGCGCCATGTTGCTTTTTGAAGTCAAACTTCTTTATCGGCGTTAGAATGAATTTTTTATCGACGTATGGGAGAAATTTAGCAGTAGGTAGTAGTAGCAAATCGTCACGTTTTTCGGTTACGCGCCATCTTTTTCTTGTCCCTACCACGGTTGATCCGAAGAGATTCGAAGCCATTAATAACAAAAATATATAATAACGATAACAATGCTAGTAATAATTCTATTACAATTAATGAAATTCTGTAATAATCTTAGTAGTAAGAAGGTAAAATGAAATAATTGTATTTGTAATCATGTCTATGATAATAAAAGCCTTTTGTTAAACTTTATTTAACCAATTTCGTTAAGTTGCATATAGTAGATCATTTTTCGAAAAATAAGGTCATAAAGAAGTTTCACTTCTTACGTGTGTACACACGCACACATTTTTTTATAGGACAAGGGGAAAACGAGCAGGCGAGTATCAATGATAAAAACGACTAACGGGGCGGCCTACACATGGCTTTATGTTAATTAATTATTTATATCAGGTACAAATTATTGTAATTATATAGGAACAGGGATTGGATCCACATTTTGGAGATGTTCCAAAAATTTTTTTGGATTTTTCGGAAGTTATACGGACAGGATTTATTCGTAAGGTAAGCTTTTCGAGCGAATAAATTGCCAAATATATGGTGTTTATACCGTAATGAAGTTTAGTTTCAATTAAATAAAGTTCATTTAGGAAAATTTAACGGTTATTTTATTTTATTTATTTAATTGTTTAATTCAGAAAACAAGGTTCCATAACAATGTTAGTAAATTACAGCTTAATACCTTAAATCTAAAAGCCCATCCACACGCTTGACAAACAATGGCAAACAGCTAACAGCAAACAGCAAACACGGACGTGTGGATGGGTGTTTGTCGTTGTTTGTCGTTGTTTGCCTGTTTGTGTTCGTGTTGGGCATTGTTCGGCATCGGTGTCGGTTTATCTTGCCAGATCAAAGGATGTTTGGCAAACAGTTTGCTACGTATCCACACGTTTGGCAGCGATCAGTATGCGCGCGAGCTTGCGGGAGGCGGACGTATTTACTTGCTACACTTTCGTTGGCGCGCAAAGCGTAAAAAATGTCTGATTGGAGCACCTACGATTCTGACATTTTTAAGTAACTTTTAAGTAAAATTAAAAAAAACACGGCAAAGTAAAGCTCAAATAATAGGTCTAAAGCCTTGTACGCTTTCTATGTATTTTAATCATCCACCATCGTCTTTGCTTTCTTCTTTTTTTCCTTTTTTCTTTCTCTTGCTTTAATTTATAATAAAAATATGTCAACCCGAAAGTAATAGCTGCAACAAGCTCGTCGTCCGCCATGTTTGCCGATTCGGAATGTTATGAACGTTCGCCAAGCATGTGGATGGCTGTTTGTGTTGGGTGATTGTGGTTGGTGTTTGGGACTTCGTTTGCTTTTTGCGGTGTTTGTGACAAACAGCCAGCGTGTGGATGCCCCATAAGTGTTAGTATGTTTACATTATTTCCTACCGGAATAATTCCGCATGAAATAGAGGAACAGTGATTCATGTATGGGCAATCGACTCGGTCCGCGATAATGCGGAGGATACCGTTACCGCTAGCTCTCACCCTGCGCACCAAGGATGCACATCTCTTGCGTATGGTGGCGTAAAAACAATCCACCCGCGCCTCAGCAAACATCCCCGATGCGCTGCAGAATCGAGGCAGCCGCAACAGCACTCTGAACGCATTATTATATTGGATACGGAAAGCGTTGTATGACAATCGAGTATATTTCGACCATAAGGCGCTCGTATAGAATGATGATTTGATTTGAGAACTGGCAGTAAATGTAAAATTAGTAGCATTTCAAATATATATTTTTTTACGTTCATAATTCGTTAATAAATGATTTGACTTTGAATTATTTCATTTGGTAGAGTCGGCAATTTTGTTTTATTTAGCTTTTTATAAGCTTTCTTGGCCGAGACAGTTTGAGGTGATATTGTATAGTAATTCTGTGATCTTCGTAGCATCTTCTTATAACGTTGTTCGAAATATTGTTAGGATGTTTAAGACGTTCTCTATCAGTTTTGTTTCGATTATTCTTATATTGTGTTTTGTTCTTTCCCTTCATGAGCTTTAGTGCCTCTAATATTAGCATATTGTGCTATTTTCTCCCGTTTTTGTTTTTAAAATTTCAAATAGTTATATATTTTTTGCACCTCCTTTTTCTGTTTTGTATGGTATAGGTATGATCTAAAATTAAAGAAAATTACGTTTTCGTAAAAATTACGTAGAAAATATGTGCACCAAGCACATACAACACCGGATAACCACCTTGCTGATCTAAAATCGAGGAAAGGACATTGTAATTACATCTTATTACTGCATATGGAGACAAAAATCGTATTGGTATATCGATTTTTAATATATTTCACGTTTCCGAATACAGGTGTTAATCAAAAAAATTCTAAATGAAATTTGAAAATAATTTTAATAAATTATCGAATAGCCTCATTTAACAATCGAATTGCTGTGGGGAGTGGCCCGTTGGGAAGCATCCGTGTACCTAATACGTATTTATATCGCAGGTTGGAAATTTGCCAGGTACGTCACCCTTCCCACGTTCGAACATCGATGATAATCGAGCATCCCTAGACCCTAGTGTACACTGTACGGTCTTGTCTGAAACACAGAAGACGAGAAAGTGCTGTTAATAAGCATTTGAGTGATTTGAATAAATTTCCAATTGTGTTTGTGTTTTTATCGACCTAAGTGTGATTTTGATAGTGTAACAGAGGTATGTAGATAAAATATTTTCAAACATCATAACTAACACTTCACTTTTTAGCAGGAAAAATCGATGAATAAAAAATAATAGTTTTTTTTATTTATCGATTATTTCTTCATTTTTTAATTTTAAAGTTATAGAATAATCTACATTGAAATTAACCTAATTTCGTGTTGATAGATTATAGGTGAAATCCCTATTAAATATATAAACGCAAACCGCCATTTCGAATGTACATTTCAAGTTTACGTGAATGTGCTGCGTTTGTTTGATTTGATTTGGAATCTCGGTTAATATATAAAAAATTGGAGGCGCGGAGGAGGAGCATCTCCCACATAAAATGCCTGTATTTGGTACGCAAGGGTGTAGGGGCTGCATTTCCCGTAGCGCCGGAGCTTATTACAATTCTTTAGATCCATCAGATAAAGTGAAATATAGCCTTATTTCATTATTTTTCACCAAAACCTATGTTTCAAATTAGCAGCATTAGCATTTGTGTTGCATCACTTTCTATTCGTCATCAGGATCGTGAGCGTAGTGTTATTATTAATCAATATTCATAGCAAATTTCGCATGTATTCATAGTTGATTTTTTTAATTTAATTAAAAGTTTTTTATCTATAAGCAAGTACCGTTCGAATTTCACTATATCAACATGCTTCCTTAAACTATCAATCAATTTGGCTTGGAATCATCACAGGGTAAACAAAATTTGGCGAAAGAGATGAAAAAGTAGTTTGGTGATAAGAGTGGCATTAAAGTCAGTTTTTATGATTAAAGGAGCTAGTCGATAAGAATAACTAATTTAAGAATGATTTTTACCAACTACCTTAAACAGCTCAACTGTTTTTTATACCATCCTGTTATGTTTGCAACTTTATTATAAAATATGTGGGTAGGCACCACTCTTTATGATTTAATAAGGTAGTTCGTAGTCTGTAGATTAGTTTTTTAGTATACCTATGTATAATTTATTTCTTAATTAATATATTCTTTATTTTCCTGCAGCTATTATCTGTGGACAATGTTCCAGAAACCAGAAGTATATCCCGAAGGTTATTATTTTTTTCATATTTTATGTGTTGCAACAGTGGTTCCTAGTAGCTTTTTCGACAAAGTATAATTAGCAACGTAAAAGCAATCTTTGCTCTCAGCTACACTCTCAATTAACCAACTAGCTATACCTAACCTACACATACATATGCATAGACATATGTCTGAAAACTGCACCCAAACTTCTAATGCAACCATTAATAAGTTTTTAAAATGACGATAAGGTCATATCTTGCCTGTTAATAAAAAAAATGGTGCGTGTACTTATTTATGTACGCGCGTAAGAAGTTATACTTCTTTGGCTTTCTTAATTTTTTTTAAAATATTAAATAATCAATAATAAATATTTAGCGTTAATAATTTAACAATATTTTATATTTAGTTTATTATTCAATTATTAATTAATATTAATAATAATAATTATTATTTATTATTTTACTATATTATTAATTCAATTTAATAACTAGGTATGTTTCATAACCTTTTAACTAAGTAACAATAGGTCTTTGTGAAACGGCATTGGTAAATTTCTTTGAAAAAATAATTAAAACTCCTTTATTTGTTTAAAAGGTAGGTACTACAAATGTCATTATGGTCATTCAAAATTCTTGGCATAGCTGCTAACGTCACGCATATTCTATTTCTTTTAACTTGTAGATTGTCTTATTCCCATCACGCTCGCGCAAGCTCGGCGCCCATACTGATAATTTTGTGTCACGGTGCGCGCGCATCGTAAAATTTCACTCTCATAAATTTTTCATAACGCGCCTAAAGAAGTATAACTTCAAAAATTGCTTTACTTTATTATCCAATTGCACAAAAGCCATTTATTCTCATAAGCGTTAGATGCGTTAGATATTATTGTATGAATTACTTTGTCATTTCGAGAAACTTTATTTTTATAGTATAGAAAGTTCTCAGTGAACATAAATAGCATTTGATCATTTTGGGGAATTACAAACGATGAATCATTTTGCTATATAAATATTTTATACCGTCTTAATATTAATACTGCATTATCGGCTTAGCAACCAAAGCTTTGGTTTGATTTCCGACAAAATAAGTAATTGTTGAAGTGAAACTTCTTTATCGGGGTTGGTAAAAAATGTAGTGTAACATTTTTTCGTTACGCGTCACATTTTTCGGTTACGCGACATGTTGCTTTTTGAAGTCAAACTTCTTTATCGGCGTTGGAATGAAAGTTCTTTATCGACGTATGGGAGAAATTTTGTAGCAAATCGTCACGTTTTTCGGTTACGCGCCATGTTGCTTTTTGAAGTCAAACTTCTTTATCGGCGTAAGAATGAATTTTTTATCGACGTATGGGAGAAATTTTGTAATTATTTTTATAATTTTGTAAATAAAAACAATTATTAAATCATAGATAGATGTGTTGTGTTTTTGGACATAATCAAACTTATTTTTGTTTTGCCTCTTTATGAACAATTTAAACTATAAAAAAAAATGAGCGTGTACTAGTGTACCTACACACGTTAGAAGTGAAACTTCTTTATGACCTTATTTTTCGAAAAATGATCTATATTATGCTACTTTACAGAAATAAAGTTAAATTTGATAAAGGCTTTTATTATCATAGGCATGAATACATATAATACAATTATTTCATTTAACCTTATTACTACTAAGATTATTACAGAATTTCATTAATTGTAATAGAATTTTTATTGTTATCATTGTTATCGTTATTTTAAATGGCTTACTTTCATTCCAACGCCGATAAAGAAGTTTGACTTCAAAAAGCATCATGGCGCGTAACGGAAAAATGTGACGCATAACGAAAAAATGTTACACTAAATTTTTTTCCAACCCCGATAAAGAAGTTTCACTTCAAAAATGTAAAATATGCACACAACTACCGTGTATACCATACAATTCATATACTTAATGGAGATTTTATATAGATAAGAAATTATGAAATAATTATTTTCCTACGTATGGTTTAAGATCCCGATATACAACGACCTTCACCGAGATGCTTGTTTAATAAAACGTAAAAATATTGATTGAAAAAAATTTAAAAAATTTACTGCATGCAAATTATACAAAAATATTTTTTTTTAAATATTAATTAAACAAAATTTTTTAGGCGTCGGGACGTGACGACCCCATCGCCCACTGGTGAAATAACCTGTGACAGAGGTTATTTCATCAGCGCAATCAGTCAACCCCTTCCTAGTGGGAGTGCCATGCTGTTGCCTTCGGGCTTCAGCCAAATGGGCAGGCACGACCGGGGCAGTACCACTGTCTCTCAGAAAACCGGCGTGAAGTGATGCAAAAGGTTCGCCTTCTTGTACTCGCGTTTCGTGCGGTGAGAGAGATTCCCGGAGCCCATCCCCCCCACACAAGAAATATGAAGGTGCAGAAAAACAGAATCTACCCCAGGGGGTACCACACGCGCTCGCGGTGGAGAATCCCCTCTGGGCGTCCACCACCGGGACACTCAGCACCCGGTGGTGGACGCACAGGCTGCCCTTCGTATTCTGGGGGGGGCAATTCTGCGCTCTACAAAAATAGTAATCGTCCTCGGGGCAAACGGAGCAATTATACAAATGCACCCCCGTCCACACTCGCCGTGGACTTCACAAATGTTAGGGGGCTTAATTCTAACATCAACGCTGTCCACTATCATCTAGAGACTGCGAAGCCGGCCTTGCTCTTTCTTACCGAGACTCAGATATCCTACCCGGCTGATACTTCCCACCTATCCTACCCGGGGTACAAATTGGAACATTCATTTGTGCCGCGGGCTGGAGTTTGCGTGTACGTCAGAGAGGATATCTGTTCTCGTCGCCTCGGGACGCTTGAAGGAAGGGACCTATCTAACCTCTGGCTGCGCGTAGACTGCGATGACCATCCGCGATTCTACGCATGCCTGTATAGGTCCCATAGCGGAAATACCGAAACTGACCGACTCATTGAGCACATCCAAATGGCTACAGATTCCCTGCTCGAAAGGGTTCCTACCGCTGAAATCGTGATACTTGGCGATTTTAACGCCCACCATGCCGATTGGCTCGGCTCTGAAACCACCGATCACGCGGGAAGATCCTTTCACGACTTTGCTTTAGCCTACGACCTGACACAAATGGTCCCTGCGATTACGCGAATACCAGATGTGGATGGTCATAAACCCTCTTTGTTGGACCTTCTGCTGACTTCTCATCCGGAGAACTATCAAGTCTCTGTTGACCCGCCATTGGGTTCATCAGATCATTGTGTGGTCCGGAGTACTGTGCCATCTACGCGCCCTTCACGGCCCCGCTTTATGGGTTGTCGCCGTATTTGGCACTATAAGTCAGCAGATTGGGACGGGATGCGGTCTTTCTTTGCGTCCTACCCTTGGGGGCCTATGTGCTTTTCGCCGGAAGCTCCAGATTCCGTCGCCGCCTCTGTCACCGAAGTGGTTCTGCAGGGTATGGAACTCTTTATTCCATTTTCTGCGGTGCCGATCGGTGGCAAGTCTCAGCCCTGGTTTAAACGTTCTTGCAAGGCGGCCTCGCGTCGAAAGCGAGAATGCTTTGAGGCATGGGCGGAAGCGGCGAAATCTCGTGATGCCAATACCAGCGAACTTAAAAAAGCATATAACTCAGCCTCCAGGTCCTTCAAACGGGAAATCACTAAGGCAAAGTCAGAGCACATTGCCAGATTTGGCGAGAGATTGGCCCAACTCCCATCAGGGACTCGAGCCTTCTGATCTCTCGCCAAAGCTGTCCAAGGGAATTTTTGTCAGCCCGCCATTCCGCCACTGCACAGGGAGGATGACTCTCTGGCCCACACTGCGAAGGAGAAGGCTGACCTTTTGGGCTGTCTCTTCGCGTCTAACTCGACTTTGGATGACCGAGGGAGATCACCACCGACCATTTCGCGGTGTGATTCTTCGATGCCGGAAATCACATTCCGGCAACGTGCTGTCCGCAAAGCACTATCTTCCTTGGACATTCATAAGTCGAGCGGGCCGGATGGTATCCCCCAATTGTGCTGCGTACTTGTGCTCCTGAGTTGGCTCCGGTCTTAACGCGCCTTTTCCGGTACCTGTACTCGCTCGGCACTGTCCCGAAGTGCTGGAAGACCGCTTTGATACATCCGATCCCTAAAAAAGGCGATCGCTCTGATCCGTCCAACTATCGCCCAATAGCTATAACCTCCTTGTTCTCCAAAATAATGGAATCCATTGTTAATTGCCAGCTCTTGAGGTATCTAGAGGGCCACCAGCTGATTAGCGATTATCAGTACGGCTTTCGTCGTGGTCGTTCGGCTGGTGACCTTCTTGTATACCTTACACATAGATGGGCAGAGGCAATTGAGTCCAAGGGGGAGGCGCTAGCGGTTAGTTTGGACATAGCGAAAGCCTTCGATCGGGTGTGGCACAGAGCACTGCTCTCGAAGCTTCCAGCCTATGGGCTTCCCGAGAAATTACGCAATTGGATCTCCAGCTTTCTGGCCGATCGGAGCATCAAGGTCGTCATCGACGGAGCATGTTCCGACCTAAAACCCGTAAACGCTGGGGTCCCACAAGGCTGTGTTCTATCCCCGACCCTATTTCTTCTGCATATCAATGATATAGTTGAAACTTAGCAACATTCATTGCTATGCGGATGACAGTACTGGGGATACTTTTTACACTGGCCGGGCAGGTATTTCTCGGGCAGTTGTTGATGAGTACCGGAACAAACTTGTGTCTGAAGTTGAAACTCTACTTCGTGGAGTCTCAGATTGGGGCAGACAAAACCTAGTCCAATTTAACCCCAAGAAGACACAAGTTTGCGCGTTTTCCGCTAAAAAAACACCCTTTGTCGCTACTCCTCTTTTCGAAAACACTCTTCTTAAAGCCACAGCCAGCATTGGAATACTTGGCGTTGACATATCGAGCGACGTTCAGTTTCGCGGTCACTTGGAGGGAAAGGCTAAATTAGCCTCCAAAAAGCTTGGTGTGCTCAGTAAGGCGAGACGGTACTTCACTCCGGGCCACCGCATGCAACTATATAAAGCGCAAATTCGGCCCCACATGGAGTACTGCTCTCACCTCTGGGCGGGGGCTCCCCAGTACCAGCTCCTTCCACTTGACCGTATACAACGCAGAGCGGTTCGAATCGTTGACGACCAATCCCTCTCCGAGCGGCTTGATCCTTTGGCGTTGCGTAGAGATGTGGGGTCACTCTGCATCTTCTACCGCATTTACCATGGAGAGTGTTCAGAGGAGTTGTTCGGATTAATACCTGCAGCTGAGTTTCATCATCGGACGTCGAGGCAGAATACGAAATTCCACCCGTATCACCTCGACGTCCGACGTTCCACAACTGAGCGTTTCTCAAGGCAGTTTTTGCCGCGCACCACCACTATGTGGAACCAGCTGCCCACTGAAGTATTCCCGAACCAATTCGACTTAGGGTCCTTCAAGAAAAGAGCGTACCAATTTTTAAAAGGCCGGCAACGCACTCGCGAGCCCTCTGGCATTGAGAGTGTCCATGGGCGGCGGTATCACTTAACATCAGGTGAGCCTCCTGCCCGTTTGCCCCCGTTCTATAAAAAAAAAAAAAAAAAAACATACTCTGGACTGAAATTTGCTAGGCAACCCATATGGATTATATTTATTGACATATTAAATTAAATATAAAATACGTTTCATTAAATAAGCATCTCGGTGAATGTCGTTGTATATCGGGATCTTATACTAGTAAGTAGTCTAACTGCTAATGCAGCTTTCAAGGTTAAAAACAAAACGTCATAAGTGGCGAATAAAACAGACAATATTGTACTTTATTTTCTCATCAATTACTATATTTCTAACTAGCTGATCCGGCAAACGCCGTTTTGCCATGTCATTATATCATTTATGGTTATTGTGCCTAACTCGACATATACAGGACACTCGATAGGTATAGTGTGTCGCGGACTGTTTTGTAGATATTTATAAGATCTACAATTACTTAGAACATTTTATGGTTCTATCTTTATTAGTTTAGGCAGGGTACGCAAAATAAGTAACTTTTTTGGTTGATTTTTTACACCTTGTGTCCGAAAAACCCTAATATCTTACGGAACCCTATTTCTGTTCAAAATTAAATATAGCCTATATTATTCGTGGATAATGTAGCTTCCGAATGGTGAAAGAATTTTTAAAATCGGTCCAGTAGTTTATGAGCCTATTCATTACAATCAAACAAACAAACAAACAAAGTTTTCCTCTTTATAATATTAGTGTAGATATCTTATAGTGGAAATTATAAACCTTATATTTTTTAATGTAATGACTAATTATTGTATATGTGATATATTAAAAGCTTCGGCAGATATAGATTTTATAAAGACTTTCAATGAATGAATATAGAAAACCATTGATGCAGGAAATGTAGGTTTACCTCACGTAATCTATGATATCAATTTCTTACCAGTGATGTAACACACAGCAGGATTACTAAAATATGAATTAAAAATTTATTTTATTTATTTATTAGTATTCTTACAGCTAACAAACATATTAAACAAGACACTTAGACAATATACAATGCAACAACTGATTACATAGATAAACAATATATGTATATGAAACAGAAAACACAGTTAACATTAATAAACAAAAACATAAAAAACAAATTAAGAAAAATTAAAAACATTAAACAAACGACGATCAATTAATATCTTTGAGAAAAAACTAGATTGTTAGTGCTAAACGAAGTCAAAGTATTCCCGCCTCTTTAAATATTTCCTCACATCTTTGGTGAGGTGGAAAATATTAAAGTTCGAAGTTATAGATATTTCTATACTTCTTTCTCTCGTTTATTAATACATAATATATATGTTCAATATACATTACCTATACCATAAAACTATTAATGTTAGAAATTATTTAGTTACAACTTATTGTTGTCCGCGCTCGTTGGTCTTTTCTAAAAAATATTGTTTGTTTCGGTTACTAGAATTGCCGTCATAAGGCAAGATATTTCAAATATCCTTATTTGAACGTGAACCTCCATGAACGTGGGAAGGATGACGTCATCTGGCAAATTTCCAACCTGCGAAATGCGTATTTCACCAATGTTTCTCAACGGCCCACTCCCCACAGCAATTCGATTGTTAAATGAGGCTATTCAATAAATTATTAAAATTATTTTCAATTAGAATTTCAGTTCTTCATTTTATTTTTAAAATTTACTTAGGTACTGTTATTCGTTAATAATTTCCTAGTAATTTCTTCATAAAACATATCATATAAATTTCTTAAGTGAACAATTCATTTTATTTTTATTTTTATAATGTTTTTTTATATTAGACTGATAAAGACAAAACATACGTTTTTTTAATGTTGTATTAACATCTGTATTCGGAAACGTGAAATATATAAAAAATCGATATACCAAGACGATTTTTGTCTCCATATGCAGTAATAAGATGTAATTACAATGCCCTTTTCTCGATTTTAGATCAGCAAGGTGGTTATCCGGAAGCCGGGTACCCGCCACCCGCTTATACTCAAGGGGGGATATCCTCCCCAAGGGGGCTACCCACCCGGGGGTTATCCTCCGAAACCAGGATTCCTGGCGGCAGGCTATGACGGTGTAGGATATGGAGAAGTGAGTGATTTTATTAACACTTATAAATAGACACCTTCCGAAAATAAAACTAGAATTTAATAATAAATAAATTTATAATACTAAATTCAGATTTTTTTTTATTGATAGATGCAACCAAAGTCGTAATATGTATGATAATCACATAGTCGGGTAAATGTAGACAATCTAATTAGAGATTCAAAAAAATATTTGATGACCATACGTAGTGCGTGTAATAGAAAATCAAGTAGGCTATAATAATAAATATATTCGGTCATGGATGATACTTTGCTAATTAACTGGTTTTTTGATACTTAGCTAATTTCCAGACTCTGGGGCGATCGTCAACATCCACGACTGTTTTAATGTAAATTGGGAACAAACCGTGATTCATGTGGTATCAAATTATTTCAGAATAAGTAGTATTATTATTATTTTCTTATGTAGCCAAGTTCACATTTCAAGGATCGTCATGCTCGCTTAAATGTCATTGCTTGTGGCGGCGTCCATGCGTCGGGTTGTCTCTCTCCCTAAAATATGGCGAGGGGGCCGATGGCTGGCCATGCGTCATGCTCGTGAACGGGTGCTGCTTGTGGTGACTGGTCGTACTTGAATTCGTGTATGTGATGTTGCGTGTTGTTCCCACGAGAATGTAAGTGCGTGCTCCTATTTCACCATGCCTCCTGCTGATAGAGGACAAATCTTTGTTTTAATTTATGTTATTATTATTAATTACTTAAAATGTCACATGGGACATGGTGTAATGGTTGCAGCTCCTAACAAACATTTTGTAAAACAAAAAAATGGCGATTAAAAAGAGTGGCGGAGAGTTTATTGCCAGTTCTTCTCTCCCGTTCTATGCCCTTGATTTGAGAACTGGCAGTAAATGTAAAATTAGAAGCATTCGTATGTATTTCTTTACTGACAAGTCATACGTGTACATTATGTTACCTATTTAATTAAATGATTTTTTTTTCATATATGAAAAAGAAGGTATAAATGTTACAGCCTGGTTACGGAGGGCCTGCCGGACTGGGTAAAGATGCTGACGTGAAAGGCTTCAACTTTAACGAGCAGACCATCAGGGAGGCATTTGTCCGGAAGGTTCGTTTTTTAATTTAAACTTTTTACCTGGGTAATTTATGAACTTTAATAAATAAATAGGGGTAACGGTGACAAAATATTTTTGGTCTTCTCATTAACACATTCTAATATAATATCATCGTCTCATTCATTAAAGTATCTCAGTTTGTTAAAATTCATCATTAGATAGTAATATGATATATCATAGTTTGATTTTTGTTGCAAACAGCTGTTACCATATAAATTACCAGCGGCCATCTTGTTAACCCTCCGATATTGAGTAGTTAACTTTTTTGACTAATGGTTAGATATTTGACCATTTGTTACTCTAACCACGGATCAAAAAATGCATTTTGCAAGTTTTAACTAATAGTAATCATATTTAACCAATAGTTGAGTTAACTACGGATCAAAAAACTGGCCCTAATTCCGGAATTACAAAAATTTTGACATTATATCGTTGATTTTCAAGACTAATAATATAAGTATGATTGTTCTTTTAGTTATAATTTCTATACATTATAGATAATAGCCTTTTACATAATGTTTATAATAATAATAAAAAACCTTGCTTATTCAGAATCTTATTACTATACATTATACATACAGAAATTTATGTATACAATTTTGTTACTCTTAAAGTTGCGAGGAGACTTTCCCGGACAGGGACCGCATCTTAAAGCGGCGGTGGCGATATCGGGACAATGGTGGTGGGGATGATTTCGACTCGTAGTTCACGTAGCACACACGTCTATAAGGGTATGATTTGTCTAAACACGAGGCTATCTAGGGAGCGATATTGCCTCTGATTTTAGAGCTATGTGTTGACGCTTTAAGATTCCCTGTCTGGGAACAGGACTCCTCCAAATTTTTTCAACGTATTTAATTTTTTGCCGTCGTCATTCAATTTTTGTCAGCTACCCTTTCAATCTCGACCTATGGCTCTTCTTGTTTCTTTTCCTGTTTCCTTGTTTGTTTCATCTCCATTTCATTGTCACTTAGTTTAATTCCAAGAATACGTCTATCGCACGCTGGCCCGAACGTATTTTGGCATTCGTTTTGGATGATAGAAAATTTTTATAAGTAGCGTCAATAAAATGACTAAGAACCAAATATTAAAATATGTATATACATACTAGGTGTACTCCATTTTGACATGTCAGCTGCTTTTAACGCTGTCCTTCATCACTCTGTTCGTATACCATACACCGACGAAACTATGGGCAGAGCAAAATACATGGACTTTGTGAGTATTACCTTTTTTATATATAATAAGACTTAGGTCTCGATTATTTATTTAACAAAATTCAGATACTGTTACAAACTTGTGGTGACTGGTCGTACTTGAATTCGTATATGCGGTGATGTCAGTTATTTCGACTATGTATTTGCGTGTTGTTCCCACGCCTCCTGCTGATAGAGGACGAGTCTTTGTTTTTAATTTATTTTATTAATAACTTAAGATGTCATGTGGAACATGATGTAATGGTTGCAGCTCCTTACAAACATTGTGTAACACAAAAAACTTGGCGATTAAAAAGAGTGGCGGAGAGTTAATTGCCAGTTCTTCTCTTCCGTTTTACGCCCTTGATTTGAGACCTGGCAGTAAATGTAAAATTAGAAGCATTTAATATGTATTTCTTTTTTGACGTTCATACGTGTACATGGTGTTACCTTCTGTAATATATTAAAATATTTACAAAAAGGTATATTTCGTACAGTATAGGAAGTGACATAAAGCAGACTTTTTGTCAGTTCATTCAAAGGACACTTAGAAACGTCCGTTAATCTATGCAGTTCATTAATTCCATACATTGTGTCATGTGTTTCGAGAGGTTAGTTTACGAGGGTACAAATAGTAATGGTCGATGCCTCCTAACGTGACCATCAGGCACCCTGAGGCCTAGGCACTGGAGCACTGTTGTACTGCTCGCAATTGCGTTGCCGGCATTTTAAGAAGCATGTGCTGTCGATGAGCATCTCAGTGACCCTCTTAGTTTGCTCCATGACCCATAAAACTCGTCGACACAACACAAAAAGAAACAATAGAGAAAATACAAATTAACTAACTAGTTTTTTTTTAAATTAGCGTTTATTTTCAGCTGGGTAGCGTTCGTGATGATGTTTGTATGTCTGATTGCGATGTCGTTCTGCGGCGACCTCCGCCGTCAGTCGCCGACCAACTTTATTTTCATTGGACTCTTCATCCTCGCAGAGAGCTTCTTGCTTGGAGTCACCAGCTCTGTTTATAAGAGTGATGCGGTGAGTGAATTATAAAAATATTTCTACTATAAACTTTTGTTTTTTGAAGTGAAACTTCTTTAGGCGCATGAGGGTAAAATGTTTATGAATGACACGCAATAATAATAATATTATCATCACGAAGATGTGCAGCATTTTTGTCGAAGAAAAGAGAGTGAGCAATTGAGACCGATTGAGAGAAAGGGCGAAATACACGCCATTGGTTGATGTATTCGTTTCGTAGTTACATATTAGAACTTAAATGGCAATTCTGTCGCATAACGTTATGTGCAGTAAACGCAGATTTTTTATTTATTTAAATTATCATCAGCACGTATACAGTGTTCAAACAGTATAAATATAGATATACAAATAGGTACATGAAGTGATGATATACTGGTACATGATCATCTATTGGGGCTTTTACCTTAGTAATAAATTAATTTACAAAGAAGTTTCACTTCTGACATGTCTACTTTGTACCCACGAACTTTCTTTTACTCTCTCTCTCTCTGTTACTTCAGAGTTAGATTCGATTCCAGCGATAACCTCTAGTTAGAAAGCGGTGTGTCTTCATGCCCCATTTATAGTATCTGTCCTATTTGTCTAGGAAAGCTATAGATTATATAAACAGATAAAGAATTGGCGTTAGTTTTAATTTCAAATTAATTATTAAAAGGCCGGCAACGCACTCGTGAGCCCTGGCATTGTTTGTGTCCCTATGGACACCAACTGTGGTATCACCAACAAGTGAGCCTCCTGCTCGTTGGCTGTTTTATAAAAAAATACGTTTTTTTTTAATATTATGTGGAGTTCTAACAAACATTTAGTAATATCATTATAATAGTTAATAAGCCTGTTATTTGTGTCATTCGGTGAAAGTTTTTCCTAAAATTTATATGTAATTGATTGAAACTACTGTAGTTTAAAACTAAGTGGAACAAGCTGCCCACTGAAGTATTTCCGAACCAATTTGACTCAGTAAGGCACTCGCGAGCCCTCTGGCATTGAGAATGTCCATGGGCGGCGCGGCGGTTTCGCCTAACATCAGGTGAGCCTCCTGTAACATAAATAAAATGAGGAGAAATGTTGGTCTAGTGGAGTGTTTCCTTACGTGAGCCCCACAAGGGGGAAGGCAATTTGATTGTTAAATTAAATATTCGAAAATTTATTAAAATTATTTTCATTATGTTTTGAAAATTTATTGATTTCTTCCTAAAACATAATATCATTTAAGTTTCATTAGTACAATTATAGTTTTTTTATATAAAAAATATATATACGTAGAAGGGGGCGTAAGAATTTTAGAAAGGCTAAGATGGGGAAACACTGGTCTTTATCTTCGACTCCTCACTCTGATATCTCTACCAACACCTTTGTACTCTTTGTGCGCATACTGTGAAGAAAAAAAACTTTATAGGTGTCAAGGGACACCCGGATGGAACGAAATTCCTTTCGATTAATTTATATGTTAATTGGTATCATAACAGTATGATAGATTTTCTCGACACCAATCTTACGACAAAAAACAAAAGCCAACATCACGAGGTGTTCCCAGGCGGTCACCCATCCAAGTACTGACCTCGCCCGACGTTGCTTAACTGATCGGACGAGAACCGGTGTATTACAATAGCAAATAGCAAAAAAGTGTCGTGACAACTTTTCGTAAGAATTTTTTCCGTCTAGCCCCCTTTCACAACGCGCGATGAGGAACTTCGTTCCAAAAACATCGTAAGAAAAGAAAATCACAGACATCTGAAGTCAAAACCTAATAGTTATAGCGCCATTGTTTTTTTCTGTGTGTTCATATCCAGGCTATGTACTTTGTTATATCTATCAAACCAGATACAATCTAAGCCCCAAGACTCTTTTTAGTCTTAAACGTAATTATTTTTTGTTGGGTATCTCTTTTCCTCTAAGACACTGTATATATTTTAGGCGGTGGGAATAACGGCAGCTATCTGTCTCGCTCTAACCATCCTCGCGATGCAGACTAAATGGGTCTCTACGGCCATTATTTCTGTGATGGTAACGTGTTGCAAACCGTAATACTCTTGCTGTTTGGTAAGTATCACGAATTTTTCTTGAAGCGGAGACGTTAGGAAGAAGGGAATGCAGTAATACCTATAATTCGATTTCCATCCCCCCTATAACGTGTGTATATAAAATTTATTTTGATCTGTCAAGTCAATAATTAGTTTGGCGTATCTTTGCGCCTGTTAAAAAAAAACAATGTACTTCTTTCTTCTAGTAATGTTTCAATTGTGTTGTTTAAAATAAAATTAAATAACTTAATTAAATTCGTGTTCCTAGATTTTTAATTGTTTAAAAAAATTATCGGTCCGGGTCTATCGCGTTATGGGGGGTTTAATGTATTAATGTCAATTTTATCTCCAACTTTGGTTTGATTTTTTTTGTGTAGTGTTGTTTTTAGATTTATTTACATGACTTAGGTTTGTTCACCGGTCACGACTAGATTACTATAACTAAATGTTAGTTTAAATTCATTTTGATATAAAGGGACAATTTAACTATTCAAAGTTTCGGTCTCTCCTTGGTACTGAATACTGAAAAGTACTCAAAGCTTTTGGAAAAGTTACACAAGTTAGTACAAAAAGTTTTATTAAAATCTATAGCTTTTCTTAAAAAATTTTTTTAGGTTTAATCGCGATTTCATCCCTCGCAACTCAATAGTGACACTCGTCTATGCCTCCGTTGGAGCTCTGCTTTTCTCGGTTTATCTGATCTACGACACTCAGCTGATGATGGGCGGTAAACACAAATACAGCATTTCGCCGGAGAAATATGTGTTCGCGGCTCTTAATCTATACTTGGATGTCATAAACATCTTCATCCACATCTTTATGATTATTGGTGTTGCTAAGGATTAAATTGTTGGTATTGGTTGGTGTTAGTCTATGGTAGCTTTGGCTTTTGACATTGAGAATGGACTAAGCAATACACTGTTCGATACTCTGTTGCAAGAGTGAAAAACGATTGACCTGTACGTACTACGTTACATAATCAAATACTCTCGTTCGCTCTCCATACATTTTTTTCGCGGTATTCTTTCCAAATTACGTAATAAAGTCTAAAAAAGCTCATCATGCGGGCTGGATAATTCAATAATTAGTTTTCCAGTAGTAGTCAGTATCACAATGTTTATAAATTTAACACCAGCGTACTTTTAAATACATTTCTAAACAGCGAAGTGCTTATAAATAATGCTGCCATTGCCATGAAGGATTACTTTATTATTGTAGTTATATTTATTTCGCGATTCTAAAATCGGTTCTGGATGCTTTGTAGTTTGTACAAAACCCTTAAAAAAAGTAATGGCACCATTTGCCTGCCACCAATTACAATGGTGGCAAATAATGTAAAAGATAAAATATTCACCATAATGTTGGAGTACACTTGTTTGACACTGAGTGACATCAATATCCATTATACAAATATTAATTTCATGTTCATCTCTTATCAAAGCTATATCTAGGTTCGCGGATACTCTGCTTGGAAGGTATAATTTGGCCTTTCCAGAAACAGGACCTCGAGTATTTTTACTTTGTGGTACAATTTGTTTTTAATTTCAATACAAGTTTGAAAGTCATGAGCGTCTATTACATGAACTACATATTATCTGTCTGCCATAGTTAACATGGCGTCACTAGCAACATCGTCTAATCATCGTCATCTGTCAAATTTTTGCATTTAGCTCGTTATTGTATCTATACTTTAGAAAATAATCCTCATAGATTCCAAACGTTATTTATTACGAATCGTTACTTTATTACGCCTATTTTCGAATAATTTCGTTTTGTAATGGTTATTGCACATTGTCATTAAAATATGTGCTATAAGAATAATATATGTAAAAATTTGATGTTTGTAACTAATAATAATCTTCTGGTTTAAAATTAATGTTTGAGATGTACCTAACAAAGTATTTAAGATTTTCATGTTCCTAAAATTTAGTGTAAAATTGTTTAAACCTTAATTTTAGGTACGATAAAGTGTACTAATAATTCAATGAAATCGAATTTGTCGCACCAAAGTGTGTCCTCTTCTCTCTGTAAAGTAAGGAACGAGACAAACATGGTGCGACAGAATTGGTGTCATAAGATTGCATCAAGAAATATATTAATAAATATATATGTTGTTTCATTTCTTAACACCTAGAAAGAAAGAAAAAACTTATTATACACAACATACAGGATAATTAGATAAAGTAAAGTGCACTGGCCCCCACACTAGGATTCCCTGTGTTGTGGGCAGCCATTCCTTTTAGCATGTAATCAGTATTTTATTTAATGATTTCTACATAACACATTTATATTCAAACTATTTTTGCACAATAAGAATATTTTCAGTATCAGCATAGGACAGGTTAACAAGATATTGTTTGAGATGTTTAGTAAATATAATTTTTGAAATGTTAGTGATAATTTTGTTTTAAGGAAGTGGTTAAAGATGAAAGAGCCTCGGAAGGAGAAAAAGCGTTGGGCGAAGAAAGTGCTATTTTTGGGTAGCTAAGTCTGCATATTGCTATTAAGTATAATTGTCTCACAGTTAAAAGTTTTGTTTCAGGATATGTTCACATGTAACGCGCGTCAACGCGCGATCAAATTTGAAGAGCGTTCAGGTGATGAGCGCTAACGCGCGTTGCGAGAGTACTCGTCAGTCTAGTTCGGTAGAACGTAGAAAATGGACGTGGAAGAGGCTATTATTTTGTGGTTATATTATAAAGAAAAATATAGGAAAAGAAAACGTACACATTGGGTTTATCCAATTTTGAAAAAAAATACAAATTATATTATATTTTTTATACAAATTTGCTATATTCCAACTTGCTGACCTTTTTTCTACTTCATCGATTAGTAAGTCGATGTCAATATCATAATTTTTACTCATTTTAAATGCGAGAACAAAATATAATTACGAAAATTAACAAAATTACATGCGATCGCGATGAAAGCGCGCGCTCATCTGAACAGCAAACGGACATTACATTAATATCAAAGCGCGCGTCAACGCGCGATCACCTGTGTCTAGAGACTTTTTCTCTGACCGCCGCGTTGACGCGCGTTAACGCGCGCTCATGTGAACAGTTGTATGAAAATACCACAATGGCTAGTCGCGTGATTTGAAAATGCGCGTCAAGTTTTTTCCATCTGAACATAGCCTCATTGTACAATTTTGAAGTTGAGTAGCGGAAAGGTTTCCTATAGGTTTCTTAAAAATGGCACGTTTGGGTATGCTCATTTTCAGCATTGAAGACAATGCCGCTCCCCATACCGATATGCAGTAAGATGATATCAATATCCAACTAATATACAGTGGATTTTGAGTATAACGATGATAAGGGACCACTCTTATTTCGTCCTTATTTCCAGACGTCGCTACAGATAAAAGTAACGAGACACATACACTTCTGAGTGAAAGGTGGAAATGAAAGGTTTGGTGAGTGGTGACCATCTGTGGCATTGTAAAAATACAAGAAAGGTCTTTGGCGGGGCCCACTCGTGCGCAATAACTGTATGGCATTTTTTTGAATTCGTTACAAATGCTCTATTAAAACGTCAAACGTCGCTATAGACATTTCGTACTAAAGTCTACTTTAGAGCTATTACGCACTGTCGACTTGTCGCCGGCGACTCGGTCGCTGGCGACTGTGAGTTTCTACAGTTTAAATAGATGACTCGCCGCGTCGTGGCGACACACAAGCGACTGCCGGTCGCTGGCGACCAATAGGAGCACGGCTTCAATTGGAAGCATTCACACTGCGAGCAACTGTCGTAACGACCGGACGTCGCGCACAAAAATGGAGAAACACACGGTCGCAAATTTGTATCTGTGCCAGTTATATGTGGTTTTAAAAACACAATAGCTCATCAAACGAACGCACAGACATTCTTGCGTAGTTGAAAAATGTACGAGGGTATTTTCTCACGTCTTCATAAAATAGTTTAACCTTTTGATCTTCGTTCTTGTAACAAAGGATGTACCCTATACTGACTCTCTTGATTTTCTTTCTCTTGATTAGTAGCGATACTATAGCAGCTTCTTCGACATCCATTCTGCACGAATGGCTCGGCTTGGTCTCCTGCCTAGTTGCCTATGTTTTGGTGGACCGAGTCGCCGGCGACAAGTCGACAGTGCGTAATAGCTCTGAAATTCAAGGGTCTTAATATTTAGCCGCTACAACCAAGGTACTTAACAAAAGGAATCCACCATAAAAACAAGTAGATACTTCGAGGCTCATTCAAAGCTCATACTCACATTTCGTAAGTAGAAACGTCATTTGATATCACACATGGCATTTTGTTTCCGAGAACTTGAGTGTATGCGAACCGCCACACCGATTTTTTTTTTTAATTTCTGTTGCATTAAAGTTTATTTCGACGATACGAGTTAGTGTTTTTTAGACATGGTCAAAAAGCTACAAAATTGTAGTCCCTGTTTTAGTTTAGTAAAGTTTTTAACAGTAAAGCCATTATTTAAAACGTCCTTTTACAATACAATGTGGTATTTCTCTTACTACAGTAATATAAAAAACTATTTAAAAAAATTTAGCATTTCTTGATATCTTTTTTGGCTGTTCGCCAATTTTTAGAGATAAGGCAAAACTCGTAATCTAATATATAAAATTCTCGTGTCGCGGTGTTTGTAGTTAATCTGCTCCGAAACGGCTTGACCGATTCTCATGAAATTTTGTATGCATATTGGGTATGTCTGAGAATCGGACAAGATCTATTTTTATCCCACTAAATGTTAAAGGTCCACCCCTATCCTACCCCCACCCTATTTTTTTTAAATTTTTAGATAAAATTTTTTATCAAAAAATTTAAAAATACACCCCCTAATTTTCACCCCTCTACGATCAACCCCTATTTTTTATTATAAATGATATACATGGCAAAACGACGTTCTAGTATTATGATATGTTTAAAGATGTGGTACCACATCTTAAACATATCTTGCGGTGCGTTCTACATTTTGATTTCAGTTGGAAATACCGAGTTGTATAAAAACCGGATCGAGCTTATCAATTCACTGAGGATATCCGTAGGTCGCGTAGGTATACTCATTAAAAATTTAATAATAATCATTGTCCCAGTGTTAAATAAATCAGTTAGTATACACTTAGCTGTAACCTGTCTAGTCCTATTTTATCAACAACATACATTAAGTTTTAATACAAATATATTAAGCCTAAAAATTATGGTTTTCGTATATATAGCAAATCATTCAAGATTGTTCTTTTAATTATTTTAAATAAACAATTTAATTACTACCTATTTTACGAATTATAATAGGCTATATATAAATAGTTCGCGCTAAGTCTCGTTTTTAGATATGTTATGTTAGTTAGTTGAATAAATCGTACAATTGTAGCTGAAGTCTATGGTTTTGCTAGAAGATTAACGTCATCATTAAAAAAATTGGAAAACTAGCAGGCTTTCCATTCCATTCTATTAGCATTTTGTAATTTTTTGTTATATCCTCATAATTTTCTAAAGGACAAAGCTTCTAAATGTTAAGCTTATATTATAAAATAATTTGTATTTGATAGTTCACACAACACAGTAATAGAACGAACATTTTTTTAAGGCATTGAATTCTACCATAATAATTTACTCTATGATCGGTAATTCACTTGTTTCCTGTTAGCATTTATTTGCGAACACATAAACGTTTAAATTTGAAAATGAAATCGCAAGTCGCAACTCTGAACTCGCAGTCATAAACAAATATTCGTGCGAGGTGGTCGTTTGATTAGTGTATTTTTTTTGCAGTAAACGCGTTTAGTGATTAAAGTGTAATCTTAAAAATATAAATAAGTTGATAATATTAAGCATATAAATGGCACAGGTATGGCAATTTCAATTACAACATACAACTTAATTTTTAACCCTTAACTGTAAAAGCGTTACATAAAAATTATGAAGTTGAAAAATTTTTTTTTGTAGTGTCAAATATTTAAACGGTAAACACCAATAGGTGATGATGTGTTTAAGGCACGAAAGTGTTCAGAATGATACAGAAAAATGTCTGCCCCTATATTGTTATTCCTTTGTTTATGGGACAAGGAGAAAACGGGCAAGGGAGAATCAACGAAAAAAGGACAAGGCCTACACATGGCTTTATGTTAATTAAGTAATTATATATTAGCTTTAAATTATTTTAATTATAGGTACAGGGATTGGATCCACATTTTGGAGAAGATGTTCCAAAAAATTTATTGGATTTTTCGGAACCATCTATACGGAGAGGATTTATTCGTAAGGTAAGCTTTTTCCTTAAAAATAAGGTATTTTAACTACCAAATATACTTATGATTTTTTTGACAGAGTTTGAATTAAATAAAGTTCATCTATGAACATTTAAGATTACACCCGCGCGTCTCCCTCCGCCCGCTTGAACGGTCCGTAGACCGTAGTTGTATATTATCCAAATCAATTAGGCAAAATATTAATATGTGGTCTATTAATGAGTGCCAAATTAACCACGTGGAAAGATTAGCTAAATTTGTATGAAAATGACAGTTCGTGTCGACAAGTTATACTAATTTCGTTTTCGAGTTTCTTTATACAATACTGTTAATGCATTTTGACTAAGCCCTCTGGACCTAAGTGTATTTATTTGTAATTGTCAGAGCCAAACATAATCTATACTAATAAATATTATAAAAACAAAAAACTAATATTTTTTTAGTTTATTTGTTTTATATTGTAGTCTCTACAACTACTAAACCGATTCTAAAAATTAATTCGATAATGATGACACTGTGTTATTTGATATATATGCAAGCAACATTTTTAAGAACGAGCTTTTTTAATTTTTAAGTATTGTTAGTATAGTAGTATAGTCGCCTAGTAGCTAGTATTTTGAGCGCTGATCCGATGAAACTACTCGTAGTTGTAGTTGAGATTATCAATAATCAGATTTTGCTGGTTCAAGTTAGCATTTCAGCGTTTTAATACAAAGAAAAGATTGACTTCATTACACGCTGTGTGAATAAATAGTATAGATTCCCGGAAATAATAATTGTGATTATTGCAGACGCAATAGCGTCTCTTCCCAGCCTCCAATATGTTACATTAAGGATAATAATAAAGTTTATTTGCCTCTCCACAATATTCCATTTTACGGGTATACATGTTACACGTATTGACCACCTTTGTGAGGGGCTGGTGCCTATAATAGGACTATAGAAGTCCTGTCATAACAGGTCAGCAACCTTTAATCGCGGACAACAAATATATAAAGAGATGACTACATACTATGAATAAACTAAAGTAATAAACAAAATAAAGCTAAAGCATGAGTGGCTGTGGGTGTTTGAGTTGAAAGTGTGTGAGAGAATTTTATTTCAAGTCAAGGCTTTTTTATAAATTTATAAACAACTTCTTTTACTGTAAGAACTTCTAGGATAAGATATGGGGGGATATTAGCAACGTGAATTAGCCCAAACAATAATGTAGGTAACAAAACTTTTAAGACATTTAAACTAACAACTTTTTTTATTTCGACTATGTGTTTGCGTGTTGTTCCCATGAGAATGTAAGTGCGTGCTCCTATTTCACCATGCCTCCTGCTAATAGAGGACAAATCTTTGTTTTTAATTTATGTTCAAATGCTACTTTAAAATATCACTTATATAATAATAAAATAATATACATTGAAATAAATAACTAAACTTAACATAAACTAAAATATATCATTAAAAGGAGTACCTTTAGGCAAGGTTCCGAAGATACTGTCAGCGTTCCCCCTTTGAATTGCTAGACTAATTCTTTGTCCGAGGTAGCTGCCAGATCTTCGGTCTCCTGTGATGTCGACTAACCTTTTTGAAATTTCTTTAAAAAGCCTTAAAGCGCTAGGACCCCACGGACCAAGGGTCTCGACACCGAATGGGACAAAATCATATTCTGAGCCTAAAAAAATAATAATTAATTAATTATTATTAATTACTTAAAATGACACATGGGACATGGTGTAATGGTTGTAGCTCCTTACAAACATTTTGTAAAACAAAAAAATGGCGATTAAAAAGAGTGGCGGAGAGTTTATTGCCAGTTCTTCTCTCCCGTTCTACGCCCTTGATTTGAGAACTGGCAGTAAATGTAAAATTAGAAGCATTAATATGTATTTCTTTACTGACATGTCATAAGTATACATTATGTTACCTATGTGATTAAATGATTATTACTTTACTTTACTTTTAGTTTGTTAGACTGGACTTAGCGCTAAGATTCGAATCGGAATTTCACGCTTATAGACATAGAAGATTCTGTGTTATCTTTATTTGTATAAATGTGAATTAATCGTAAATTATTTTTCAGGTATATGCCCTTGTTATGTGCCAACTCCTAGTAACAATGGGTTTTATATCCATTTTCGTCTTTTACAAACCGACGCAGCTTTTCGTAGAGACACACACTTATATTATGTAAGTATTCATTCTAATAATAATGAAATAATTGTACTAATTCTAGGGACGAAATTGGGAATAATAATTTACAGTCGCTACTAATATAATTTTTTGCCTGTTATGTAACCTAACGTTAGTTAAGTTCCTGTCTCTTATCATTACAGCGTAAATACAATTTGGCAGAGACAAAAGAGTTTTAATTTAATCAGTATTAGACAGATTTATGAATGAGCGACTAATTCTATTCACTTAAAATACGTACATTTCAGATGGATTGCGTTCGTAGTTGTTTTTGTGACAATTATCGCAATGGCCTGTTGTGAGTCTGCGCGTCGGAAAGCACCAAATAACTTTATATTCCTGTTCATATTTACCGTCGCCATGAGCATTCCGCTGGGCATCGCTTCCAGTAAATTTCAAGTTAAAGAGGTAAGAAAACAATATTGCATACATATATATACATGTGTCCTTGTTTAATATTGTCCTTTTCTCTGTTTCCATATGTTTAAATTGCTTTGCTTTGTTCCATTTCTTTTGTCTAAGAAATATTATTAAATATAATAATAATAAATTCAAGGAAATTAATATACTTACCTTTCCGCGCCAATTTTAAAGGCCGGGCAGTATTGTGAGTTTATGGAGTCCAAAGACAGTGATAAGTTTATCATCAGAATAGAACCTCCTGCCCATGTGGCTCCTGTAACATAAAAAGAAAACAATTTTATATCTTCCCGTACTAGACTTCTAAAGTTAGTCATTCTTTTTGCTGGAAAGGGATAAGGCCGTGTTGACGTATAAAATCCCAAGTCTTTTTAATAAATAAATAAAATTAAAGAAGGCTGGTAAAAGACCTTACTATAAAGTCAACGATTATCTAGTTGTAAAAAGGCCTGGGACTAATGCTAGACAGGCAACTTCCAATTAATTTGGTTATATGTTTTAAAAAGTTGGTGTTGATTGATGATTAAGCTATTTTGTTGGTACTGAGAGTTTTTACGCCAAACTGGTTTTCTTTCGGCTAAACCTCTGTTTCTTCGCAGAAGAGTAGTGCTACAAACCGCTGTCAAATTTAATACTGGAATAAGCGATACATGTATCTTATGTTACGTAATAAACATATTTTATCATCTGCAGTTTTCTTCTGGTGCACTCCCACATATTATATCGAAAGCGATAAGCAGATATTTCCATATATACTTGAAACTGAAGATGATATGAAATAAATATACGAGAATCGTTTACGGCACTTTAAGTTATACACACTGGCTTACTACCAGTTGGTTACACTGAACTCTAAACCTGGTTTGGAATTTTAAAGGTGCCATTTTACCAAATCAAAACAAATTCTCTTAAAAAGCAGCATTGTTTCCTGTGACTGATGTTTCATACTTTAATATAACAGACTTTTAGAAACTGGTTTTCTTAACGCACAACGGTTCGTATAACAGTTGGTTCTCCCAATCGCGGTCTATAAGGAAAACGAATATGAATTACTAATCAAATTTTTCATACAAGTTTTTTTGTATAATATATATATGTTACAAGTTCAACACTGTTTCTAGCAAAACCGTTTTCCCAAGTGAAAAATAGTTGTTACTAAATCCTTGTAAAACTAGAAATAACAAGTGAATACTAGAATCTTACCACTGATATAATTCATTTTCTAATAAAACTATTGTCACTCCGAGCTTTAGTTACAACTAGCACTAGAGAAACAAAACTTTGAATTGTGGAACTGAAAACTTTTAAGATAAAGTTTTAAAATTATTTATGGCCAAAAGATTAGGGTTAGAAACAAGGTACGACAAAGTAAAAAAACACAAAAAGAAGGCATTTTAGGTAGAAGTCATCATCATAAAGTGGCAGTGTGCCAAGGAGACAACACCTAAATTAAAGTGAGTCTATAAAATAATCAACTACAAATCAACAGAAATGCAACCATAAAATTTAAAAAGGAACATTAAAATGATCCTTTTAAGGAATATTGGTAAACATAAAAAGGGAGGAGTCAGATAGTTAAAATTAAAAGATATGACTGATCTACTTGCTTGTCTGCAAGACAAACTATCTTGGCTTTGAAGAGGGTACAGAGGGGGTAGCCATTTTTTATGTAGGACATCCTTTTGACGTAGCCCATCCTGTTTCTACAGACTTTGCAGCGCATACCGTGGCGGGAATTACTATGGGCGGGTAGCAACAGTTCTCAAAGAGAAAAACTTGTACGTTCGGAAGATCTTCTTCATGCATCAAAATTGTTCTTTGCGTAACTTGCGACCACACCTGAAAGCAATATCTAAAAAGTTAGCTTTTACCTAAGGACGGCAATATACTTATATGATAAATTTGACAACCAGACGTAACACATATCATAGCCTGGAATACAATTTGTAGATCATTCCATATTCCAGTTCGATCTTGATGAAAACACTTGAGCATTGAACAATCTCGCCGACTATATTACGAAGATACGCTTTGCACTGTCGACATCTGGAGGCCAGTGTGTATACTGACGATTATCACCGATTTCTACAGAACGGTATTGCATCTGATGCGATGGTCAGTCTCTGGCGTGTTTGCAGTGCGTCCCAGGCGAGTTGATTCACAGTTACAGACTTCGAGGTCTTTGTCATTTGGTGGTATTATAGACCAAAGCGTAGATGGCTCTATTGACTGGTTCTGCGATGGCGATTTCCACTTTTTTGACGAGCGCACATTTCTGCGTCGTTGTTCCCTGGCTCCAGTTGTACTCTGAAGCTCTACATTAAAATGTGCTACAAGATCATGTTTGGCCGCGTAGCATTATCGGTATGGGCCTATTATTTGCTTTTCAAGATAATGCCGGCCGTATACTGTAGCCATCACGTCAATAACTCACGGCAAAGTCGAAGTCCGTATAATGGGGCCTACCATGGGCTCTAGACCTAAATCCAATTGCACATTTATGGGGATTGCTTAATACGCGCATCGGAAGCGTCCAATTTTTGCACTCAAACACTACAGCACCGAATAGCTTTGAAATTTGAAGAATCGGGAGCTGCATTCCACAAGAAGATATTCGGAGGTCTTGATCGAAGCAGCCCGTCGTTTCAAGTCCGTGCATTGGGGCTCATGGCTGGCCATACACGTTACTTAAAGTCACTAAAGACGAATATTCAAACGATATAAGAATATTTTTGACAGACTTTAATTATCACCCGTTGTGTTAGTATACAATGCAGCATTCAAATTTTTAATAAAAAGTCAAATTGAATTTTTTTACTTACGGCTCTCTTAATTAACAAGTTAACGCAACAATCAAGCAAATTTATGTCAAATTTTAGTTTAAGCATTAAAAGACAAAAATCCTTGTTCCGTTAATTGTTTTGCAGTCATATATATGTATCTCGAACAACGGATGTAATTAGGATCAAATATGGGTTTAGAACTACCACTTTTTTCTCCGGACGCGAACGCCAGTACCACGTGTCGCTTCATAGAGAGAAAATACATAATCATTTCTTTATGTTGTTTGTCTGAAGTTACACGTTAAGTACTGTCTGTGGCCAACAACCGAGACCACACGAGTTGGCTTCAATAACGATGCACCAAAATCTGATATACGATTATGCAGGAGTCTCAGGGACCTGTCATTGGAATTCACTACTCCAAGAGATTTTAGCTACCGGAAATCGCGTCAAAGTATTTTACTGTTTAGATTTCTGAACAGTTTTGTGATTATTAAAATTCGTCACTAAACAGTCACATAATTTACTTTTCGTATAGTTATAAAGATGTGGTCACGTCTGTTTATAAGCGATGTAATGTAAATAATTCGTCATTTCCACAGCTTCCTTCTTTTAAAGTTGAACCTAATCGATCGATTATTTGCGCTCATTTATCAATCTATACGTCTGAACAGAATATAACCAAACATGTAAATGTATATACAGTACAAACTACAGTGTTTCGACGAGTGTATGGTTCCGGAAGGATTTTTCAAATATTCAAAAGGTATTCTCGCGACCAAACAGAATAAAGTAGCCCCCACTGACCAGTGTCTTAGTCTGCCTTAAAAACCTAGAGTGAATATAATATAATCGGACTGCGCGGAAAGATTGCAGCGCCCAACCACTGTAACAAAGCAAATTATACAAGACCGCATTACTAATTCAAACTATAATTTGATTAAAAATAATTGTTTTGAGGCAAGATTATAGACATACATTTTTATAGTACAATTTGTCATTAGCCTCAATAAAGTGCTTCATGTTACGAGCGGCTGAGTTAAAACATATATCCACGTCATTCAATATTGTATGAAGTAAATCATCCGTACATATTTCGAGCAAGGAGAGAGAACAACGGCAAAAAAAGAGACTAGGCCGATGGGAAAAATCAGGCGTAAAAAACTCTCGGTACTCTATTAAAATATCAAGTTACCATACAAAATGACTATGGCATAGATAGAAGAAACCAGAATGATCGGAGATACGGTCCTCTCTTTAAATTACATAACTGAATGGAAACCTCGCAGTCCAGTTAACGGGAGCGGCACCCGTTTATAGGCATAACGTGTGTATAATGTATTGTTACTATATAATGATTCTTTTTTAATTCCAGGTCTTTATAGCATTAGGTGTTACAGCCGCTATATGTCTGGCCCTGACCATCTTCGCGTTTCAAACGAAATGGGATTTCACTTTGTGCGGTGGCTGGCTCATAGCCGCATTGACGATTCTAGTAACGTTCGGTAAGTTAAGACAACATATGTTTATCGTATAAAACTGTGAATATATCGTGTTCATTTACTGTATAGGAAATTATTATAAATTTGTAATGAATAGAGCGGTAAATAAACTTTTTATAAGAAAAAAAACAGTGGCGCAGAATTCTGTGTCTGTTTCATGATCATTTGACAATCTAATAGGCAAGTAGGTGATCAGCATTCTATGCCTGACACACGCCGTCGTTCCTTCGTTTCCTTCACCGTTTGAGAGAATGTTAAATGCGCACATAGAAAGAAAGTTCATTGGTCGACCTCAGGGATGAGTCGCACGCTAAAGAAAAACTGCTCTCAAAAATGAGCAAGAAATAAAACTTAATTATTTTTTACAGGTTTCATGATGTTATTTCTACCATATAACAACAAACTACATCTTCTATACTCTGGTGTGGGGGTTCTGCTATTCTCTATGTACTTAGTCTATGATACACAGATTATGATGGGAGGAGAACACAGATATAGCATTTCACCAGAAGAATACGTTTTCGCCGCTTTAAATATATATTTGGATATTATCAATATATTTATCAGGATTCTTCGATTAATTCATTAACAACATACGATTTTTCAGACTCGAATATTGGCTAACTGTTACTTCCTACATTAAGTACATATAGCCCAAAATATCTTAAATATGCTACATATTTACATTAATTCATACATTTGTATTTGGTTTACTATATATCTATATAATTCACGCGATACCTCGTAAACTAACGCCTCGGTGATATATGTGGTAATGTTAAAAATGTGTTAGTAGTATCGAATAATATTAAGTTCCTCGTTATAGGAAACGCGTTGTATTCTCGCATAACGCGCTCGTACGACTCCATATAACGCGTTAAACATTTATATTAAGATATAACTATGCTGTGATGTGTGAAATTCCTGAATTACCTATATTGGGGAAAACCCGTGTATAAGAGTACCGTGTTATAAGGGGATTTACTGTATTAATATCGGTGCTCTATGATATGATCTATGATATAATTAGACTGCGACGGCGTAACGCAACCAACGTGTACCTATGAGAATGGTCACGTGAGCGTTAGCTGTCATTTAACTTACGCCCTACCATAGTTAAGTAGCAACTAATACATGACTGATACTGAATTAATGGCTTAACTTTAAACTTAGCAAAAAATATACATTATAGCTATCAGTAGGATTTTGTCTATACTCTGAATCTTACCCTTTGAATTGGGGTTTCTAAGGCTTTAATACGAACATTACGATTTTGACGAATTGCATTTTTAACAGCACAATCGTTATTGACTTCGCATTCAATTTTTATAGTTTACTGGTGCGCGAGTCAAATCGCTTTTCACTGAACGAAATTGTATGGCAATGACATAACTCACGCTTTGTCACGTGACCATTTTCATACATATTCGTTTGGCGTTTGGTCACGCCTAGTGCCTGTTGAAAAGTGATCTTGTCTCAAGCCCCTCCTCGGTTTATATTGAAATGATACAGTTTTGTACTTCCGTTTGCACACACACATATCTAATTCACCGCCTTAAGAAAAGACATTTAAGTTCCTAAAACATTCGTTTTATTAAGACTTGAGTTAGTTATAAGTTAGAACAATAATTATTTTCGTAAGAAATTTTTGTGTAGTTTTAGCGCCTGATTGTTGATGTCTGTCCTGACGATGACAAATGACATGATGGCGGGGATTTTTTTCTTTTCAATTTTTTGTACCTTTCGTAATAAATATGAAATTCCACTGTTGTTTTATTTACTGTTATAGTTATTTATACTTTACAAGCAGCAAGATTTCTAATAAAGTTAGGTTCATAGGAAACATATCAGTGTGCCAATTCATTTGTCTGTCTATTATCATTTACTCATATCTTAAAGCAGCCGAAAGCCATTTCCATGTCTTAGCCTCAAAGTCCTCTATGGCGCAGGAGGCTGATTACCTACTTGCCTGTTGAAACAACACCACCTTGGTGACAAACATACATAAATTTGAGGCCAAGATCAAAGAGTAGCATTTCTTTTTTGTATTTAAGAAATAAAACAAAATTCAATCTCAAAAACAACGCAAGCTGTTTTTATCTCCTTCCGTAAAAAACATGTCCTTTACTAAACCATACTTCGTAACGTCTGGAACAGATTTATACATTCAAAATAACTAACATAATTCATTGTGTTAATTTAACAATGAACATAGTTTAGTTTTTGTTTCTTCAGGACTCTTCTATAATTACGATCAGCGTATCATTTATTTTATTTTTGCTCTCAAACATCACACACGTCATAAGGACAATCAGATACTTATGAAAATATGTTACAGAAAGAATATACACATGTGAAAATGACTTGAGAGCGCAGCGCTACCCACTTCCAACTTCCTCACAATCGAGTAGCCCGCAATATCACACACAACTCACGAAAGGACTCTTTGTATTAAAGAAGTCGCATAGGTCCGCAAAACATCGCGATATACAATGTAAATGATTATGTAGGAATATAACAAGGCAAAAGAAAATTATTATAATACACCGCAAGGTTTCTAAAACGACTCGGCGAAGAATTTTAATGTCAAGTATGTTGAGGTGCCATTTTTACAAAATGATTTACATTTGTATCAAAATAAGATAGAATTTATACCTCGATTAATAATATCTAAAACACTAATTAAATGTTCTGCTTATAACTAGCCATTCATTGTTTAATATCAGTCAATACGATCCCTGGGTTGCATTATCGCTACTGATGTTGAGAGATCACCGAACTTGCATACAAAAACGTCGAGATTAGAACCACTATCAATATTGGAAGTCACAGAATGAGGGCGCAGTAATCAATATAGATCTATATCACTTCGACGTCCGTAGCGAGCGTTTTTTAAGGAGTTTTTGCCGCGCACCATCACTATATGGAACCAGCTGCCCACTGAAGTATTTCCGAACCAATTCGACTTAGGATTCTTCAAGAACAGAGCGTAGCAATTCTTAAAAGGCCGGTAACGAGCCCTCTGGCATTAAGAGTGTCCGTGGGCACTTATCCCTTAACATCACATGAGCCTCCTGCTCGTTTGACCCTGTTCTATAAAAAAAATAACAACAAAATTTAAAATTTTAATAGCGTATTAAGAAGTGTTAAAGCGGTAAACGTTTAAAGTTTGATAACGAGTCATTAGTAATTATTTTCCATCTTCATCAAAATAACATTCTTAGAAATAAAAATAAATTAATTAGAATGTCTTTGATCCCTTGGAAAATGGGACGGGCTTTAGTATGGGATGCTACCTGTGTAGACACCTTTGCCCCGTCTCATCTCCTTCGGACAAGCAAAAAAGCTGGGGCGGCCGCAGAGCAGGCAGAAAATAACAAACGGCTCAAATATAAGTCTTTCCTCCAACTTCGATTTTGTTCCCTTTGGAGTAGAGACTCTTGGGCCGTGGGGTTCAAGTGCACAGGCGCTTATTTAAGATTTAAGTTGGCGCCCTGTAGATAGTACCGGTGACCGCAGAGCTGGCACTTTCCTGGCTCGCAATACAGCGAGGAAATGCTGCCAGCGTTAAAGGTACACTGCCACAGGGACCAAACTTTTAAATTTGTTTTGATTTTCATTTTATTTATTTTTAATTATTTTTATTATTACTTTATAGATTAAGAAAATTGTAAATACTGTATTTGTGTAAATAAAAATACTATATAACTTTAAAAAAATAATAATAAGTATTGCAAATCGGTGTGTCATCAATTGTTATCAGTTGTTATCACCGGCATATCAGTGATACGAAAGATACAGTGCACAGCGGACGTTAGTCATGGCACAGGTTAGTACATTTTCAACATTTATTGAACTGAATCAACATTTAAAGGAGTTCAGGCACCTCTCGTTCGAATTCTTCGCGAAATAGAATAAATACTACTTATCCAGAATTTAATATATTCGGTAGTGGGCTGATCAATTAAAAAAAATTGTTGATTGACTATCTGATACCTAATCCGCTATTTCACTGGTAACTTTTTGCTTATTATTATTTGTAAAATATAAAATTGGAAGTGTAATATTTTTATTGAATTTTAACTTATTAATTTTTGTAAAACATAAATGTTGGGTGTATTTTAGAAACTATAGCTTGTAATATACTGTAAAGCATTATATATGATGTAGTAAACTTTAATAAAATAAATAAATAGCAGTTCTAATACTTGATTCGACCACAAAATAGATAAATCAGACTTCAAAGATCAATTTTCTTAGTTACATGAAATAAAGAGACTTATGCCAGCCCCATCTTAAAAATTTGCTCTTATAAAAAATAAGAAACCAAGAATCCTCAAGTGTTTGCCGTCAGAACTACGGTTATTGAAAGAGCTATCGTAAATGGGTATGGCGGAAGCCAAAAGTTAACGGAAACTAAAAAGGCATCAAACATTAAAGCTGAATTGATAAATATAATATAAAGATAATAATTTAGAAGTTAGAACGTATTAATTTCATTTTTACCTTCTGATCAACAGGTTATGTACGTTGACCCGTCATTTGGGGAGGATGCTCCGACTAATCAATTTGATTTTACAGAACAAAGTATACGAAAAGCATTTATACGCAAGGTAATTTATGAACTATCAACGGCTTATTTATATTCAAAAAAGGCTAACGAAAACACACGACATACAAAAACACAAAACATATCGATCAATCACAAGTGTACACAATAAAGGGAAACATTACAAAGATACTCGAAAAAGAAATTATACAATGCTAGATAAAAAATTATTTTATTATAATTTTATTTTAACTTGCATAACAATCATAATTTTGTTTATTAGTATTTAGTAATCATAACAATCAAATATACAGTATTTACAATTTTCTTAACCTACATAATACCTACCGTGGGGCGTGGGGTTCAAGCACAGGCGCTAATTAAAGAATTAAGTTGGCGCCTGGTAGTACCAGTGAAAGCAGAGCTGGTGCTTTTCTCGCTTAACGAATAAGTATCGCAATACAGCGAGGAAATGCTGCCAGCGTTAAAGGTACACTGCCACAGGGGTGTTTTAATTTTCATTTTATTAATTATTTTTATTATAATACATATTTATTTAGGAGGTTTTAAATATAAAACAAAAGACGCGCGGGTTTTGTTTTATATTTATTGGCAAACAATCAACGGCACACGACACGCTTCTCACATTTCAAGCGACATTGTAACCATGGTAACAAACATTTAGTCCATGTTTTATAATAAGTCCGTTTAAGTTAGTGCTCGCTTGTTTGACCAAGCTATACCAATATCAGATATTCTACATAAGAATCTACAACTCCGAAAAATTACGGTTGCTAAATTTATAATGATTTTTAGCGTGCACTCTTGAGCGTCTTATGCGAAGTAAATTTAAGTAAAGTAAAGAAGTAAATGTTATAGGTTTGTGAGTTAGTTTGTAAGAATCTCTCCAAATTTGAATACGCAACTACTTATTATTTTCGTTATTCCTAGGTGACAGAACAATAAAACAGATTTGAAATGGCGATTATGAATAATGATATTTGTATTATCTCAATTCCACGAGCGAGGAACAAGAATTTTTACTCCGCTGGCGTAGCCACTAAAATATGAGATTTGACCTCCGAAACTAGAGAACGGTACCTTTGCCGACCGCGCGCTACTACCACTTGTCGGGCACTCAGGGCTCCCGTCCATTTCTTCGGCGTCTTCACAGCGATAACGCTAGAGCGCGAGATACGCTTTTTAACAATCCTAGGTTCTGTTATTACTTCATGTCAAGAGAATGGAAGAAGACGGAGTCTTTGGTTGTTAGCTTAACCTGGGTTTTGCTAACAATGTTCTTTTTAGGTTTCCTAAAGGATAAAAACACTCAAGATTCCTATATTATAAACGTGAACAAAAACACAGAAACGATACAATCCTACAATTCTTCAAACACCCGTGCATTATTAACAACATTAAACAATTGCTAAAATGAATAATATTGAATTTCAGGTATACGCCATCCTGATGTGCCAGCTTTTAGTTACTTTGGGATTCATTGCATTATTCGTGTTCCACGAGCCAACAAAACGATACGTCAGAGAAAATACTTATCTCTTGTGGGTAGACAACGTTTTTATCATGTTTCATACAAGTATATACCTGGCGCATATGTACGAAATATATATAAGGATGAAAAGCTATTATAATCTGTGCAGACTTAATGATAAAACTTCTTCTTAATGAGAATCTTCTATTATCTGTGTTAAACGACGCGAATGTTCCTATAGAGACAAAAATACATTCAGAAATTCTTTATGAAAAACTCAAATATTTTGATTTTTTAAAAAGCATAGTCTGTGCAGTATAAATAGTGTATAATGTTTGACTATAAATAAAATGACGCATAACAAAAAAATTAACTATATCAGTTCTATTAACCGCCACGCCAGTTCTCATTCCGCACAGATTCTAGAAGTATTATTATTATTAAATAAAATTGCGAGACAAACTGGCGACATTGATACAAAGTTCGGTGAAATAGCTTTACAACCTAATTTATCTGTTATAAATTTATTCTTATTTACGACTCGTTCGTAGTAAATATATGATAATATTTCCACTGAATAATTGAACTTCGCTCCTAGATTACTGCATGATTGAATTTTGTTCTTTGAAAAAATTACTCATTACTATTCGACGTTATGTCTAAGGCTGAATTTAGTCTCACGCTCACCGTCAGCGCTCATAGATCAGCGCGTAGTTCGTCAGCGCTGACGCTCAGCGTGGTTCGTTTTAGTATCGTACTGACCGCCTTACTGTACAGACGAAGACCAAAATGCGTCGATAACTCGACCTGTATCCACTTCGCGATTTGCCATGATTGTACACGCAGACGACATCCGCTCCGTTCGACACTACAACGCTCTCTGAAAGCAGAGGCGCTCTAGCGATCGTCAGCGCTGACAGCTACGCGGCGCCGACGCGCGACGCGTACGGCCGCGCAGCCATCAGCGCCGCCATGACCACCGTGCGCGCTTATAGCTACTCGTCATTCAAAAACGCTTTCTAGAAGTTCATATATCTCGACCATCAGCGCCGACGGTGCGCGTGCGGTCGGCGTGACACTAAATTCAGCCTAATATTATAACTCTTTTTAGCATACTCTATCATCACACTTTTATCTCGTTCTGTCTGTTCCCCGTTTGACTGTTCCCCTTCCAAACAAAAAAAAATTACGCTTCGCCAATATCGAATCCAGGCTATAAAAATTACATTTTTCGTTAAGTATCATAAAATTCTTAATATTTTCCAGTTGGGTAGCACTAGCAGTGCTATTCGTTTGTATGATAGCCATGGCTTGCTGTGAAAATGTCCGACGAACAACACCCATGAACTTTATCTTCCTCTTCACATTTACGGTTGCTCAGAGTTTTCTCCTGGGCGTAGCTTCCAGCACATTCGATGCCACAGAGGTAATTTGTAATAAAATGATCTTTTCTTAGGTAGGTATATTTTTTCTGTCCTTGCAGTGCTCGATAAACACAAAACTTATGTATGCACTTAGTCTGGCCATAAATACTGTTACAATTGAAAATAAACAAAATATTACACTTGAATTTGGAATCTGTCATTTTTATATGATTGTTCATTGAGTTTTCTCATTTTGGCGCCAATACATTGTACAATATTTTGCGATATTAAAATGGAGTGGGGTGTTAGGAAAAACCGAAGCGCTGTGATTGAGTAATTAATGGTATTTGCAATAGAAAACGTTTTTTTTCTTTGTTTCAGTACTTATGGCAAGACTATGTATAATTTCGTTCCTATAAAAAGAGATTACCCATGGGGATTTACACCCATATTTTGGATATTTACTACATATGCTTTACATTTGGTTTCCAGGTATTCATGGCAGTAGGAATTACGGCTGCGGTATGTTTGGGTCTGACATTATTTGCATTTCAAACAAAATGGGACTTTACCTTAATAGGAGGAGGCCTTGTGGCTGCTACTATGGTCTTGTTAATGTTCGGTGAGTATAGAAAATAATTTATTTGCGTAACAAGAAATGTACAATCAGATAGCATAGTGTATAGCAAATTTAATTATATTATAAAAATAGGTTTTTAGAAAGCTTCCAAAAATGGCCGACTTTCGTGTAGAGTCTACACTGTAGACTCTAAGAATATCCTAATTCCTAATACACATTTTTCATTATGGTCCCAGACGTCCGTGCTTTGTTTGTCGTGTAAAGGTTATGTGTTATCTCTTCAATAGTTTGTTTATGATATCGGTATAAAGCATCTGTGTTGTCTATTCTTATAATACATTATGGCTGAGTAAGGGTGACAGAGGTTTCGAATAATAATTAATTGTATTTTGTATGCAAGTTATTAAAGTGATTAAAAGATTAAAACATCTAATCCACGTACAAATATAAGATGTCGAACGTAATATTTTGACGCATGTCATGTGTCAACTATTGAGCTAGAGTTGCTCTTGACCAATCACAGTCGAACGAAACGTCAATTCATATTTCATTCTAGGTTCTGTGTGTGTTCGTTGCTAATAAAATTTATTAAAATTCCAGGTCTCATAACAATATTTATACCAACCAACAATATTGTACGATTGGTGTACGCATCTTTGGGAGTACTTATATTCTCAATGTACCTTGTCTACGATACCCAACTGATGATGGGCGGGAAACACAAATACAGCATTTCGCCAGAGGAATATATTTTCGCAGCATTAAATCTATACCTTGATATTGTCCAAATATTCCTCTTCATCTTAACTATTATGAGGAATTCGTAGGAATAAACTACGTCTAGTCATATATCAGTATCTCAAGTCAGAGATGAGTAATATTGTCTCACTAGAGTTTCGTATCAATATTAATAATTTCGTAATTGAATTTGTTTAAAGTCAGTCGAAAGTGGGTTGGTGAGAATTCTTATAAAGTCTCTTTGTGAAAAAAAAGTGCACACACAGTACAGTACAGTATTTTATTCATAAGCAAGACTTTATAACCCCTTGGATAGTTACCGTACCTAGAAGCATCAGGTTTGTGAAAAGCTATTCAAACCTTATTATTTTCTTTTTAAATATGTCGCAGTAGTAGATTAACATTTCGACGTGTATTTATACATTTATTGAAGCGAAGAAAACGTGAAGTGTAAAACTTTATTTTCTTGCTACAATTTACAAGTTTTAATGTATAATGGGGGTTAATATTTTCAAGATTTGTTGTTACAAAAATAAAATAAGTTTTATATTAATTAACGAATTTTATTCATTTGCTCCTTACATATATTATTATTGTATATGGAAAAGCGCACTAGGGGCCAAGAAATACAGGTCGCCCTTTATGTGGCAACCGAAGATCAAGACCAAACTTGCGCTGACCGTTATTGCACAGAAGTAAAAAATAAGGTACCTGAGGGGGGCTAGCGGGCGCGCGTAGCGTCGATTGGCTTTCCAGTCGCATTCCGTCCCCCGCGCGACAGTACACATGCGCAGCAATCCCCTCCACGTATCGGCCAGCGCTAGACTTACGTACCGCTGCCTATACGTACGATGCTAAATGCCTATGAGCGCGAGGGCCAGCAGTGGAATTCTATATCCAAGCTACCAATTAAGCGTATTTATTTATTTACACTTCGTTACTTCACATAAAAAGAGGTCCCATAAATTATAAGGCAACGCCTTGTATTCGCTAACAAGCGATTTCTTCCTGGTTCTTCCAGTTACCCAACAAAAACCTACTGATGGTAAAGTCCAAGATATGCATAACCAAATGAACAAAAAATGAAATAAATAACACTAGAATTACACAATCTTAAACTAAGATTTAAAGATAATATAAAGTACGTAGTAGATATCTATAGGGCACTATGGTCAAGAAATGTTACGAGTTCTAACGAGTAAAACTATAAAGATTTTGTAGAATTATTAATTGGATAAGGTGGCACTAAACTCTAAAAAAACCAAATTGATGTAGGGTAAGACTGTAACCTTAATGTTATAATATATGTTATAGAACTAGCGGATCCGACGTTGTGTTGTAGATACGTCTTACGTACAAAAAAATCCAATAATATAAATCATTCTCGATTCCACTTGAACACACAAAAAACTCCATCAAAATCCAGCCGTTAGGAGTTTAATTACAAACACGTGCATCGAAGATGTATGTACATACCAGCTGTTTATTTGCTGTATAGATAAATAACCTAGATACCGACTGCAGCGCCATCTGCCGGGATGATTTGTGAATATAACACCATCCAGGGCGCCACCCAAACGTAAACAAAAAAAGGGTGCGTGTACTTATGTACGCGCGTAAGAAGTTATACTTCTTTGGCTTTCTTTTTTTTTAAATATTAAATAATTAATAATAAATATTTAACGTTAATAATTTAATAATATTTAGTATATTATTCAATTATTTATTAATATTAATAATAATTATTATTTATTATTTTATTATATTATTCATTCAATTTAATAACTAGGTATGTTTCATAACCTTTTAACTAAGTAACAATAGGTATTTGTGAAAAAGCATTGCTAAATTTCTTTGAAAAAATAATTAAAACCCCTTTATTTGTTTAAAAGGTACTACAAAGGTCATTATGGTCATTCAAAATTCTTGGCATAGCTGCTAACTTCACGCATATTCTATTTCTTTTTACTTATAGATTGTCTTATTCCCATCTCACTCGCGCACGCTCGGCGCCCGGCTGGTTTAAAAAGAATTCGTTAGTGGGCAACTTCATTCTGTTAATTTTTTGTCACGGTGCGCGCACATCGTAAAATTTCACTCTCATCAATTTTTCATAACGCGCCTAAAGAACTTCAAAAATCATACAAATCGGTTTAAGAGGAGTTCTGTGACCTACACACACATACAGTAGAATTATATATATATAAAGACATAGTACGACCGACTCAATAAGTTTTAAAATCATAATTCTAACAGGCCTGGTTCGAATCCCAGCAAAACACAAATAGTTAAGGCACTGAATGAAACTGATATAGAAATGTATCTCCCTATACTCCTTTGGAACTGTACATAATATATTAATATGCAATCGTTATAATTATTGAATATAATTAAATACGATTTAGAAGTATTCAAATTATGTAACTTTGAAGATAAGAGTTTTTTATATTAGTCCATTGTTATTGTTACCGATTGTATTATCACCCAGGGTCGTATTTGAATTTGAACAACGGTTAGGGCCCCAAATCGGGCCTACGTAATAAACAGTCATATATTGCTACTTTTCAAGAAGAGAGCTAGTTAGACCATATTTAAATTAATATGAAGACGATGCCCAAAAATCTAAACTTAAGATTAGCGTACTGATTCTTAAAAGTCCGGCAACATACTCGCGAACCTGTCCTTGAACGGGCGGTATCACTAACATCGGGATCTTCTGCTTCTATATCTTCGCCTTATTAACCTCAGTTAAAATAATCATTATTTTTAAGCTAAAAGTAAAGATATATCTTAATCATTTTAATTTAACCACGATCGTAGCCATTTTGTTAATTTATGTGAGACGGGGGCCCTAATGATGTAAATACACATTGTATCAGTATCGAGCTATCTTCAATTAACAAAACGTTGACAGTTTGACACTGGAGTCTTCACAATGATTTTCGTGATAGCGGTCGCGTGTGTGATATTTTATATTTATAATCGGTTTACGGACGACCCAAAACCGATATTTGGGATATATTCAGTGCCTGGGAAGTGGTATTATCTAAAATATGTCGTCTTTTCTTGTATATATTACTTTAGAAAAGTGGGTTTAGTATAAAGCAAAATTTAGACAATTAGGCTTAAGTACCTGACACATTTTATTGTCTCATAAACGTAAATAAGATTTTTCATAACGGGACAAACGGACATCACCTGATGTTAAGTGATAACTCATAACGCCGCCCTTAGACACATTGCCAGGGGGCTCGCAAGTGCGTGGCCTTTGGAGAATTAGTAAGCGCTTTTCTTGACGTACCCTTAGGCGAATTGGTAAAATTAAATTCATTTTTCCATAAATACGACGACAACTAGTACAATCTAAGAAATAAATTTTTAAGGTTAAATGATTGTCAATTATTATTTCATGATTACTAACATAAATAGCCAAAACCGTGGATATATTTAAAACCATATTTCTATGATTGTTATCGCGTTAAACAATTCCTAGGTTTGATTTCCGGTGAAACCATAATTATTTCGTGTTGGTATTATAAGTCGGGTTCCTAGTAGTTTCAACGGAAAGTAATCCTCTCGTATGAAGGGTCATTGATTCGATCCCCGGCTTAGTGTACACACTTTCTTTCCTGTTTCAACGTGTCTAATGTTTGCCCCATTTTTCCCCCCCAAATTTATAATAATGATTAAGAACCGATTGAAGTTATTGTTTTTTTTTGTATTTTATAATATTTACATATTATAACCTTTGTATATAACCATTTATCATAGTTACAATTTCAAAAACAAAAATGATAATTTATATAGATTACTCGTGAAATGACGTATTTTATATGAATTATATCAAAAATTTTAATTCTGCACTTCAGTATGCAAACAAATACAAAGCAGCTGGTCCGGAAGGTCGAGCTGGACAAGGTGTAAAAGCTATAGCCAACCCAGAAGATATGGAAAAGGTACAACCCTTCAGCGATCATCCCAAGGTACGTATATACAAAATTTTCGTAAAAATCTTAGTCTGCACAAGCCTCTAAGATTAAGATACAAAGTCGACTATAAGCTCTTAATATGATTGCTGTATTTTAATGTATTGGATTTGACATTCGGGAGTCCTGTGTAGTGCCAGTCAAGTCTGGACTGGGAAGCTCAAAGGGCGCTTACCGTTCGCTAGCGGCTAGGCATTCTACTCAAACTCAAAAATGACTTTATACATATAGGTAAACAAGTATACTTATGAACGTAAACAGAAAAGATGTTAAATTGATTCTAACGGCTTGGCCACGGGTATCGGCGGTGCGAACGGCGATGCGGGAGACGAGGCGACCATTCACGCGGCGCCGTTTGCAGACCACGCACCAGTCACGTTCGCCGCCGCGACCAGTAAGGAAGTTCGACAGCGAAATGTCTTTATCGAAATCATCTCGATATTGCTTGGAAAGTAATAGCTTTTGGTTCAATACCTAATATTTGGAAGAGATTGTGGAGTACATGATTTAAATAAGAATCGAGGTATAGATGGAGAATTCCACAAAAAATACGAGAAATACAGAATATATCCAGAAAAGTTTTTTTGAGTATACCAGAATGAGTAATGAAACATTCGATTATATTTTTATGTATATTTAACCAGAATTGGAGAAAAAAGTTAATGCAAATATATTTTTTTAGTTAAGCCAGTATATCAGTAATAAAAAACTCTGTATTCATATTTCGCCGCGAAAACGACTAAGCTTATTTAATCCCTGCTTTATTCGCCGCGACTGCCGCTCGACTCCGTGGCTTGCGCCGTACTGACTACTGATTCATGCCTTTGTTTCGCTCGCCCGTCGCGACGCCAGTCGCCCGCGCGATTCGCTCGGTACATTTCGCCGGTCGCATCGCCGGTCAGGCCATAAATGTCCATTTACTACCAGTTCGCAAGTCAAGGGCGTAGAGCGGGCAAACGGAACTGGCAAGAAACTCTCCGCCGCTCTGTTTAATCGCTTTGTTTTTATCATACAAATTGTTTGAACTGCAGCAAATCAAACCATCGTTAAAATATACTTGCCTGGAAAAAGGAATGGTGCAATTACTTTCATTGTATGTACGTGTTTATCGAGGGTGACCTATCTGTGGCAGTACTTTTCACATAGAAATTTACAATACCCGCCATGTGAGGTTATACATTCGGGTTACAACTAAGCAAAAGTGAAGAGCGAAGTACTAGTAGTAGTTTACGGCTATAGAGTTTTTGCAACGATTATTGTTTTTTTTTTAAACATATCATAAAACACGGAATTATTATTGTATTCTAAATTTAATTAAAGGCATTCGATGCGGTTTTCTTCATATCAGCTACTGAGGGAGGAGACAAAAAAGGAATCTACGTAGCAGTTGGCAGTGAAAGACGGCCCATGGGCGTTTGTAACGGACTTTTGTACATTGGGGTAAGTTGGTCGTTTAAATGAAAAATTTAGTAGTTTCCTACTAAATGTAGGACGGACATATTATGTAAAATATTTATTAATATATATATATATATAATATATGTACTTACCCAGGGACATTAAGATGCAATACATACATTATTTTTATTTTTCATTTATTAATATATAAAACAAAGTCGAGTCGAGAACGGCTAGACAGATTTTTGCATACGTCCTGGTGCCCGAATAGTTAAACTTTATTTGAAAAAAAAATAAAGAAAACTGAAATCTAACACAAAATGTTTCGTAACTGTCAAACATTTAATATTTATCCCATCGATACGGTAAAACTCCACTCAAATGAAAGAACTAAACGCATGAATGTATTTCAATAAAGGTTGCGAATCAACCAGATATCCACAATATTCGCAATATTCGCGTACCTATTTTAGATTGACATAGTATACTCGAAAATTGGTTGTCATTATCTTAGTAAAGTAGTGACGTTAATCTTCAAATACACTACAATGGGTCCCCGTATCAAGTCGGAAAATGCATATATTATCTATATAATGGTGTTCCTTTATTCGATTAGGTACAATACTTTTTAAATCATTGAAATCGGTAAATTGGTTGCGAAGATATTACACATTTTGTACAAGCTAACCGCGGGGCGGCCGAAATGCTCATGTGACGTCACGAGATCCCTACCGCCCGCGCTCTCGCTCTCCGCCATTCATTTATTAAAGTTTACACGATCTGCGCGGGTCGTGTTGTGGTTTTCTGATTTTTATGTGAAAATATGCCGCATTATAAGTACTGTATAGTACCGAAATGTACTAATACTTCAATTAGTACACCTGAAAATCTGTTTTTTAATGTACCAAGGGACCTGAAAGTGCGCAAAAAATGGTGTACTGTCATGAAGAAGGATGACAAAGTTCCACACACTGTAAGATAATATTATTATCATCATTACTCATGTGGTAAACAGTAACTTAGTAAAAGTGACCTCAATAATTGATTGTTTCGAGGTGCAAATTCAAAAACCAAGTAATGCCACACACCAGGCATTAACTTGGTCGCAATACAAAAATTGCAACATCATTAAATTTCTGATTTACATTACACCTGATGGAATGATTAATTTTATTTCTGAGGGGTATGGAGGGCGGACCCCAGATTCCACGATCTTTAAAGACTGTGGGTTTCTAGATGAACTCACACCTGGGAGTTTGGTTTTGGCGGTCAGAGGATTCAAAAATATAGCCCATTTATTAGAAAAAACAGTGTAAGCTTTTAAGACCACTAGAGTTCAAGCTCAAAACCCAAAAAAGAGGAAGTGTTGCAAACAAAGAAGATTGCTGCGTTGAGGGTACATGTTGAAAGTAGCATTGGAAGATTAAGAGACTTTCAAATATTTGGAACTCATGCAACTGTCAACATTTCTTATATTCAACTATTGGATGATAAAGTGGCAATAGCCTGTGGTATTGTCAATTTGCAGGACTGTTTATTTAAAAGTATATCTCAGCCCAATAACATTTTTTTTCTGTTGGGGGTGGTTCCTCGCTTCGTCTGTGAAGCCACATAAGAAATGCTACACCGTGCTTACAACCTCCCAGTTGAGCAGCACAATCATGACACTCAATGTTTAGTATTATTTCCTGTGTTTCATCACAAGTAAATGTGCAGCAATAAGTTTTACCCTTTATTGTTGAAAATAACGGCGTAACTGCCCTGGCTGACTAACCTAATACTTTTGGGTAATTTATAGGCTAGTCCAAGTATGTGTCCCTACCTACTTATTATCCTGCTGTTTTGATTAGTTTGATAATGAGATTTGCTTACCTCTGAAGTTTCCAACCACGAATATCAGCGCTTGTGTAGTTTAAATGATTACTAAGATAATCAAATACCATGAACGTATCAACTTTAGGTAGATCGGTATCGGATTGCGCTTGCTCAAAACCGATATCTACTTACCTTATTTCTACCACTCATATTATAATATCCTAAGAGCCCAGGGCTCTTTGCTTAGGCCAGACCTTCATCATTTTATAAAACCTGAAAGTTCTTCTGTGCGTGTCCCCTATACAGGTAAGAACGACCAGAGACTATAGAGTTTGGGTAGTGGTTACTTTGGCAGATAACAGGTAGTAAAGGTGTATAAAATAGTACCTTAAATCCCTTAAAGTATAAAGCTCATTTTTTTTATATTTTATTAGGGATAACTTTATAAATATCGTCATACATTGCCGGACACTTATGACAGTTGCTTCCCCCTGCCAGACACCCCTAAACATTAATTAATTATAATTATACTTTCGTTAGAGTATAAAAGCAAAATTTTATATAATATGTTACTTGGGGACCTATGAAAATATGATACCTCAATAGCCGGACAGTTTCAATGGTTTTTACACCCTGCCAGACACATTGAAAGTCCGCTGTAGGTCCGCTAAGTCTTTACTACCTGTTATCTGCCAAAGTAACCACTACCCAAACTCTATAGTCTCTGGTCGTTCTTACCTGTATAGGGGACACGCACAGAAGAACTTTCAGCTTTTATAAAATGACGAAGGTCTGGCAGTCCTGGGCTCTTGATCTATAATAACAACCTTCTAATATTAAACAAATTTAATCACTTATTAATCGATTGGGTATAAACCGGTGACGTTACGCTCCGTGTTGGACGAGTATGGCGAACAGAATAAACAGCGCGGGACGCGCTGTGGTTTGGCGACAAGCGTTGAGATCTTGTGACGTCATCGCTTGCATTCGCGCGGTCAGTAAACCTTGTTCGGTATTTTGCCCATAACTTTGTCAGTTTTGGTCGTAGAACAAAAATTTTTGCACTTTATGTTTTAGTTTCTAAAACATAAAGTGCAAAAAGAACTTATAACATAAAACCATTACGGGTCCCCATTAGGGCTCATAATAAAACTTTCGTGCCCATCGTTCAATGGTCCTGTTAACAGATTGTGTCGAATGAAACTGTGCTGAACAATTACTCGGCGGATATGTCAGCAACTCCATACAGACCAGTTAATTATTTGCCATGTTATATTCCTACATAGGAATAATAAGGAAAATGGACTGGCATTTTTTTATCCAATAGCGAGTCAGCCATAAACTGTAATTATATATATTTATTATTTACGTTGTATATTTGCGGATGCTTGGCGGGCCCATGCGACTTCTTCAATACAAAGAATCACCTCGTAAGTGTGTGCTGCGATATTGCGGGCTACTCTATTGTGAGGGAATTGCTTGGATCTGGCGCTGCACCTTCTTAAAATCGCATGTCATTTTCACACGTGTATGCTTTCTATAACATATTTTCATATGTATCTGATTATCGCCATTTTAACATGTGTTCATCACAATATCAAGTTTTAAAATTGTCAGTTACCAGATAAAGGCCTGCTTTGTAGTAAGAAAATTCCTGACACAGTCCTCTTTGGGGCTGAAGATGATACATTTGGTGCTGAGGGGATCAGAATAACGATGGTTGAGCCGATGAAGAAATGGAATATTGCGTATAAGGGACAGATGTGGTATGAACGTTTTATATAGAACAATATTTATTTATTCGTTATAATTCAATTGTTACAAATATACAAATTTATCTAATTATAGAACTGTAACTATGAGATTGAAAATCTGCTATCGTCGTTACTACATTTTCATTTAAATGTTTAAATAAAAAAAATGTATCGTCACAGACTTTTTGGATAGTGATAGTAGTTTATCATCTGTCAAATATTGTTTTAAACTACGTTTTCTGCAATACGCGTAAGTACGTATAAGCTCCCGATATACAACTACCTTCACCGAGATGCTTATTTAATGAAACGTATTTTATATTTAATTTAATATGTCAATAAATATAATCCATATGGGTTGCCTAGCAAATTTCAGTCCAGAGTATGTTTAATTAATATTTAAAAAAATATTTTTTTTATAATTTGCATGTAGTAAATTTTTTTAATTTTATCAATCAATATTTTTAATCAGGGTAGTATTATATATGTATCACTATTACTTTCTTTTTTACTAAAGATGTATATATACTTTAGTGTCACATAAAAAATATACACATAAATAATTAATTGATTAAAAACAACCTAACGTTTGCATATTCTATGGGCTTCATACTTTCGATTGGTATAGAATTTATCAATAATTAATCATACCGGTGAAATGTTTAAATAATAATTTTTTTTAAATATTAATTAAAATACTCTGGACTGAAATTTGCTAGGCAACCCATATGGATTATATTTATTGACATATTAAATTAAATATAAAATACGTTTCATTAATTAATAAGCATCTCGGTGAAGGTAGTTGTATATCGGGATATTAGACCATAAGAAAGCCAGTAACTTATCATTATTTTATTAAAAAAATCCATAAATAAAAAACGGTCGGATTACATAACATACTTGTAAATTATATGTCTTCCCATCTATACAATTATAACTTAATATTTCGTTTTCTCAGCAAGAAAATCACATGATTATTAATATAGTTATACCAAACTATTTCAGGTTTCAAAACGACCCGAACAAGACTGTAGAAGTCGAACTAACCGGAGAATGGACTGCTACCTACAAATACTTCGACTACGACACAGATTTGTATCCGCCCGCTGTCATCAAATCCATTGCAAGGGAAAACTGGAGTCGCGAGTATTTTGAGCGACTTAAAGAGTAAGCTAAACTCTATAGCATATTTTTAGTATAAACCTGTACTCCGTTGGCTTTTTCGAAGTTGGTAAAAAAAGGCAAATGTTTATACGCTTATAACACGGTCCTTTTATAACGCATTTTCATATTACACCATTTCAGTGCCTCATATAACACGGGTATTCCCCCATATAATACGAGGATTTCACACGTTAGATTGTACTGTGAAATTTATAGTAATTTCTACGCGCTTATTTTGTCTATAAAATTTTAACGTGAATCTGGGGTCTGAAAATGGGGTCTTACAAGCGCGTTATGCGACAATACTCCTACAACGCGTTCCCACAACGCGTAACTAATCTACCGTGTTACAGCAGCGATTACTGTATAACAGTAATGTATGGATATTGAAACACGTTTTGTAACAAAATATGTTGTGAAGTGGTTAGCACTTCACATCACACATCTTCATTATTATTTATTTATTTTACATATTTTTATTTAGTTTTTACGTTCCTATCTATATATCCTTAATGGTCACATTGAAAATGAGTACTGTGGTGGTCCGAGTGCCCGAGAGTATTGAGTTAAAACAAATTAACACTGCGCAACAATATCTGAAAGTAATTTAAAGATCTTCCGTTTTTTTAATATTGAGCTTCATAAGTGTAATTACCAATATGATGAAATAGATTTTGATGTGATTTGATTTATCATATTTGGCTTTTAGTGTAAAGTAACCTCGAGTCATTGGGACCTATAAACCAATCATAGCTTTACACCTGTGACCTTCTTAATTTAAGTTTCCGGTCGAGAAAGATGATTTTTACGTCTATGATTTGAGCTAACAGGCTTGAAGTTATATAGATATGTCAATATGAGCGAGACAACTAACGGCGCTACAGGCATTAATGCGGTAGTAGCATCATGTAGGTATATACTATATATATATAGCCTAAAGCTTTCTTCGGTATTATTTTTTTGATAAACATCGCGGGATTTTTTCTAGATATTGATTTCATATAAAACTGTAGTATATCACATTGGTATTTATTTACAAACTTCGGGTTACATTCTCAAGCTTTCATATGGATCCCTAACTATTTTTAAAATATTATATAGCCTTTGTTTATCAGGGATAATGTAGGATTCTAATGTTGGAAGAGTTTTTCAGATAGATCAAATAGTTTTGGAACCTATTCAATACAAAGTACAAACAAACAATAAAATCTATACTCTTTATAATTAGTGTTTTAATCTAAACTAAAATTTACGATTCAAAAACTGAAGCTTTCTAATAGTAGCGCAATTTTACACACTTGTAACATACAATATACAAAATTTAAAATAAACCCAAAAAATGTATGTGCTATTTTCTTGCATTTTCCTATATTTTATCAAAGGTTTCTTAAAGGGCCCACCAATCGCACTACGAACAATTCGGGACAATGAAATGCAACTTTACAATTGGCGATGAAAAGTACCATGTGACGATGCCGTCTTTTCGAGATCATAGCTTCGGTGAGTGCTAGTAGTAGTCCATTAATACTTAGTTTATTGTAATTAAAAAATAAATCGTAAATGTAAATTCTTGTGGATTAATGTGCTGAAATTTCCGAATTTCATAATGCCGTGAGAGTTCTAAGTTTTGAGACTGTTTTATAACTAGCAAACCTGGCAAACTTCATACCGCCTAGCAGATAATGAGTGTCGTGCTGAACTTAATTTATGATTTTATGATAGTAGTATATTTTATTATTTAATACAAAATAAACAGTGCACTACTATCAACGATTTGCAATACTCAACTCAATTATAATGTGCCTCGATTTGTTGTAAATTTAAGTAGCTTCATATATTTTCCTTATTTTAATAAAATAAATTTCTGGTCGATAAATATTCGGCAACCAAAATATGTATATGTCATCGGAAGATAACAAAATCCGCAAGTTAATAAACTTCCTAGGAAATTTATAAAGTTTCGTAGTATTCTAAACGATAGATAACTTGTATTATTTTACGCCCACATTTTCGCAAATTTATCAATTTGCGACGTCTCGTGGTGAATTAATAAACTAACGGATATCCATTCGTAAGATTCTAAACGGTCAGGTTAGGTTAGTGACTTATACCAATCAGAGCGCACATGTCGTTTGGTTATCACTTAGGTACTCACGCATGAGTTCGGTAAGTTTATCAATTTGCGAAAATGTGGGCGTAAAATAATACAATTTATCTCTTGTTATATTCCGGTGACATGTCATATGAATTCCGTTTAGCAACAACAGTTTAGAACATTGACCAGTAGCTAAGGCGAACATATTAAATGTATTAATTATTAACATTTCTTATAAGTTTTAATTTTGGTCGAATTTCAGGAAAGACTCGCGATTGGTCCTTGATGCACAGATACGCTTTTAACCACATTTTTGTCGAGAACGGTCTGAACTTGAGCCTCGGAGTTGTTTGCCAACCTGCAACAGCAACTAGGTATCGTTTTACATTACCTTCATGCTTTGCGCCTTGGATTATGTATCTAACTTAAACGTATCAGAAGATCGAAAACTGTTCTCAACATTATTCAACGTATACGAAGCGACAATGTTGAGATTGTTTGATTCAATCAATCAATCAAAATCATTTATTCATATAGGTAATACCACAATGTACACTTATGAACGTACGAAATATACATTAAATGCTTCTAATTTTACATTTACTGCCAGTTCTCGAATCAAGTGCGTAGAACGGAAGAGAAGAACTGGCAATTAACTCTCTGCCACTCTTTTTAATCCCCAAGTTTTTTGTTTTACACAATGTAAGGAGCTGCAACCATTAAACCATGTTCCATGTGACATCTTAAGCAATTAATAGTTAATTAATTATAATAAAATAAATTAAAAACTTATTTATTAATCCTAATCAACAAATAATCAAACAATCTCAACATTGTTTTGCTGGGTCCCTAATGTGAGTGATAAGCCATGAAGGTAGCAATAGTTGTATAAGTAAAGGAAAAAACTATTAACGACTTTTGCGCATCTTCTCTTGACTTTGAATTAGATTTGATCCAACAAGGGGTCTTGTGTCACTTTGCATGGAATCACCGCTCTTCTTCTGGATTCTTTAAAAAATTGCTGTTTCACCAGGAATTGCAGCTGCGGTATCTGAGTCCGCCATTTAAATGAAGCGATAATTTGTAATAGTCCGTGTTGTAAAATAAAAGTCTTACAATAAATCTAATCTGATAATTAAATTAATATTAGGATATTTTTTTCTTTTTTTCATATCCAGTTTTGAACTGGGCATGGTAGGTCTGCCGAATGGGGAAGTACATCCCATAGAATGGGTGGACTTCCAGTTGTGGCAACACGGAGAAGGAGGCACTACGCCAAAGGATTACGCGTTCAGGTGTAAAGCGGGAGACACGGAGTACACGATCCAGGTATTTAAATATACGTTTTCATTTAGCAGTCAGGACTTTTTGTTTGTAAGTGAACCATGACCAAAACATTATCTTGAAAATCCAGTGGCACTACAACCCTTGGTATAGTAATACATTTCTGTACATGACTTAGATTTCTGTATCTGTTTCGTAATATTTTTTTAATAACTGCTTGCTGCTATGCTCACATAGATAGAACAAATGGGCGTGTTTGGCCGAAGTAAGTACTTACTAAACTTAGTAAGCCAGTAAGCATAAAAAAATTAAAGTCTTACAAGCTGACTGTAGCGCTTTTCGGCCAGGACAGACTTACTGGCTTATTAACATAACACAAAACACCGGTTTATGTCATATCCCGTACATAACCTCATAGACTGAATATAATTGACAGTACTAAATTTAGGAATATAATTTAATACCTGTGAATAGTTTCAAATGGATAATTTTATGAGAAATATTTTATTGGATATTTTATTGTCCGTTTTGTTTACATCAACAATAAGCAAAATGGCGTCGTATATTAAGCCATACTTACTGCGTTAGCACTTATTTTGTGTCCCGGCCGAAAATTTTGTAAGCATAGTAAGTGACTTACTAAATTTAGTAAGTACTTACTTCGGCCAAACACGCCCATTGTTATAAAGTCTAAGTCTTGACACAACCTCAGGGGTTTGAGACAAAATCACTTTTCGACACTCGTGACCCACTACGTGAAACCGTCACGTGAAGAAACGTTGGCTATGGTATTCTCATACGATTTCGTTTAGCGTTAGTGGGTCATACACTCATAATAGTCGTAAATTTTTTTTTATCTCAAGCCCCAGGGTTGAGAAATACAGTTCAACAATGACCATAGACTACAATATAATTTTTAACAGCAAAATGACTATCTCAAGATAACTCTTTAGACACTACAATTTCCAATTAATGTTAAAACACTACACTACTACTGCTACTTGTATATTATTTGTAGATTATCAGTAGATCTCTAGCTAACCAAAACTGCGCTGTACTCTATGGTTAAGATTCAGAAACTATACTTAGGACTAATTTTTTTTATTTTATTTTTTGTTTCTCGTACATCAAATTCGATATGGATTTTGACTAAGTCATAGTTCGGGCTAAGTATTGTTTCTCACCACTCCGAATAGTTTTTTTTTTCCAACGATAAAGATTTTGACATCTACAGAAATTGCATACAAAAACAGAGATGGTAATATAAGATATATATACCCAAAAAAGTCGAGTTTCGAGGCGTCAAAGCGTCGCGTATATAACAAAATTTACTTAATTTTTTCAGGTTATAGTTGAATACGAGTCAGTACATTACGTGTCTCAAGACTGGGAAGCGAAGATGAAAGAGAGATTCTGCAAATATATTGTTAATGGCGTTCCTGGCAGAGGGCTCTCCGAATTTCACTACCGCCATCGCGGTGGAAGACCTCTCAATGTGACCGATCCTGAGTGGTTCAAGAATATGAAATCAAAATAGAATTTTAAATTTATACAAATGTTCAGATATGTGAATTGTTTACTGATGGATGGATTGTAATAAATGTGGTTAATTCCATTTTGCACAATTTTTTTGAGGGTTATGAACTGGGGAATTATTGTGGATGCCTTCTTAGATATCATACTCGTTGTACCAGGAAAGAATTAGAAAATTTTAATTTGCTTTAAATTATCATTTTACTAGATAACCCGGTGAACTTCGTATCACCTACATATGTATATTTTTGTAGGGTTCTTGCAACGTAATTAGGGAAAATAAATACTTCACTTAGTTCAGATATATTTTTTTTAATTAGTGTTATTTATTTTCTTAAAAGAAATAATAGGATTAAGTTTAATTGTTTTTGCAAGCAATAAAAAGCCTTTTTTTATTTTTATTTAATTACGTATATATGTACAGTCGTTGTTATTAAGTACCTAATACGTTTTAACCGCCGGGACCTTCGATTTTGGTCAATATAACCGGTATGTTGTTCTAAAGGATGTCGTCGTAAACGGTTTTGACTGTATATAATATAATAATATATAGATTGAAAACGTGTGATCTTTGCTAGGTATTTTGTGAAATCACTGAAAGCGTCAGAAAATAATATAAAGTTATACTAGATCATGGATTTGAAAACGTCCATTAATACATCATGTTCCACTGCTTCAAGCATGCCTATGCCTATTTATATTTTTTAAACAATGAACCTATTCCTGTTGCAAATGTGGCCTTGTAACGAGGGGACTTGTCCTTTCGCTGCTCAATTATACAACTAATCGAATTGACTGGACGGCCAATGAGATAATTGAGCACGCGCATAAACCTAAGGTGATCTCTGACTTGTTTTAACTCTATAAATTAAATGATTCGTAATTCGCTTCTACCTATATTCAAGTCAACCATTATTCAAATCAAGTTTTCAGTCGTTATTTTTTTTTTGTTTCAATTTAAACTTTTCTTATTAATAAGGCTTCAGCACAATTATAAAGGAACCTAATCCATCTTCTAATAGGTAAACTAAAGTCGTGATTGCGAAAAACACTGGAGAGGACAGATATGAATCTTTTTACTTTAATATAAGAATATAATAATATATAATTTTTCCTTCTTATTAACGACGAAACCATAGAGAATAATATTACAAATGACCACTTGCCATGTATACTACTAATTATGTATATTAACACAATGACACCATTCCAGACAAATAATTTAATGATTTTCGGATATATTTTGTACGTGTGTTTTTATAAGCCTACAAAAAGTTGATAATTTTTTGAACCGCCTGTATAGTATAGCGTAGGGTCCCTAGATGAGCCCAAATGTCCGGTCCAGTGACTAGTTGTGACCGCATCACTCAAACTGGATACGTTGGTGACGCTCTTCAATCATTTACAACTTTTATGACTGAGGTAAGTCCCTATATAACTGAGTCCCTTGTACCTTGCCCTGAATAAAAAATTGCATCTAATACATTAAAAAAATATCGATTTCTCTAACCTTTTTTATTACATTAACATGGGGACTAGGTACGCAACCTTGTAATCATTTATAATCTACAATCTATGTTATTCTGTGGTTATAAAACCTCAAACAGAAAAAGCTTATAATATTCCGAGCTTTGTTACCTTTTGATGTCTTTTCTTATTTTTTCTCGCGTGTAGTTTCCCTACCTTTTACTTGAAACTGGCATGAAGTTAAAACTATTGCCATAAAAAAAAAAGTTATTGTGTGGTGTGCACTGTGCAACCTTTCAAGCAAAAGCCTTAGGCCACGTTCACACGGCGATTATTTTCCCGTATACCGTATACGAGATTTTATCGAATAGAGTAGTGACAACAGAATATATATGAAAACTTAAAAATTGTTTACACGGCGATCATACGGGAAAATCCCGTGTTCGAGAAATAAATTTTACCGTATAACGTGCGTAGTTGTCACCGGAAACGCCGCGTCTCGAAACGATTTTATCGAATACGACACGCAGTGGAGCATATGTTCAATGTTCATGTTGTCTCGTTCACACGACTCGCCCATTCGAGAATCGTACGCACTCGCACGCGTGGCCCGCAGTTGCCCTTGTGCGTTGCATCAGTCGGTTGTCAATATGGAGGATAGAATTCCAATATTGATCAAGGATTTTATTTCCTTGATCTAAAAAAAAATCAAATCGCATGGTTGCCGTGTGAACGATTGCATCGTATACGGTAAAACCGTATACGTGAAAAAATCGAATCGAATGGTCGCCGTGTGAACGTGGCCTTATGGATTTTGAGATCGCTCCAAATCGATAAAGCTGAAAGTTTCCCTCCTTTTTATTTAATTATTTTAATTGTACTGTATTTCTGTATTACCGCTACGAAGTATACGTAAATAAATAAAACGTATTATTAATGTTTCCAAAAAACATACCTTGATGTTCACTACATGAATAATAAACTATGCTTTATGTAGCTTTCCATAAAACTTATATTACTAATAAAATTATTCACAAAACATCTCACTTCACTGGCTTCGAAAAATGTATTCGAAATTGCGAAGTTCGTAGCCATAATTGCATTCGTAGCTCTTTCCGAAGCCTCTTTAGCTGGCATTAGTTTTTTTAATATTAGTATTGATAGATGATGAAAGAAATTTTTCAAGGATTTAGTAAAATATCTGATCCCCTTCTGTGCTCCAAACGACTTTCTGTCTATGTGCGCATTCGTGAGGAAACCGGCTTGCTAACCCTTAGACCCAAAAAGTCAACGGCATCTGTCAGGCACAGAAAGCTTGCCGATTAGATTGGCATAATATCATGAAACAGATACAGAAATCTGAGGCCCGGACCTAAAAAAGTTGTGGTGCCACTGATTTATTTTTTTAGTAACATAACAAAAGAATATAAAATACTTTGCGGTGTTATAATACGATAACGAGATTCCATCTATATATATATATACAAAATATTACTTTTGAATTTTGTAGTATTTTTTTAAAAGATTATATTTTTAGAAAAGAAAATTTTTATCTACATTGAGTCTGCCGTTTGCTGTTGAACCTTCAGGTCTGTCGAAGAAAACTTGAGATTTAAATTTGTAATTTGTATTTTGATTTAATAAGTTCCTTTAGTAATGCTGACTTTAACCTTAATCAATATTTAATTGAAAATTCAATTAGATTGCAATATTTTTTTAAATTGGAGTGCAGCTATAAGATGCTCTTTTTATAAATATTTGAGTTGAATTCCTACTATAGGATCAGCAATGGACTTTGACGCGATTTTAGAAGACGTTGGTGAATTTGGCCGTTTTCAAAAGCTCGTGATCTATTTCATCCTCCTCCCAGCCGTCATACCATGTGGGTTTCATGCGTATTCGCAGCTGTTTATGGCTGGGGATGTCAATCATTGGTGTAAAGTACCAGATTTGGAGGGGCTAGATGTGGAACTTACTAAGAATTTCAGGTTTGGTACAACGTAGTCTTTAAACTGATTTTTAAATAACTAATTAAATAGTTATTTATTGGTTAATAAAACAAACATTTGTTTTCCTTATTAGGAACAATATAAAATTTAATATATTAAATTGAATATAATTATGAATAGAATTATAAAAAAATAAACCAGAAACAAATAGAAGGACATACCTATTCAGACACATTTATTTTATTTTATATTCGAAATAAGTATAAATTAAAAAAAACGTGTACACGCGTTAAAAGTTATACTTCTTTGGCGTAACAAGATAACAACGTTTTCAAAAATTTTATCTTTCGCCTTATTCTACGTTTGTCGAAAAAACGACACTAACAATAGAAAAAAAAAATACTCTCATCGTATAACTTGAAAAAAACTAAAATGTTGTCTAACTTCAGGGTGTCTATTTTTTGTGACGGCGTGCGCGCGCATCTTAAAAATTAACTCTCATGTTTCCCTAACGCGCCAAAAGAAGTATAACTTCAAAAAACAGCGGCTATTAACTGCAATATTTTTTAGTATCCCACAGGAGCGTCGCAACGGTATCCAGGATTATTCACAATGTAACATGTACGACATTAACTACACCGACTTCCTCTCGCGGTACTCCACAATTGAGGAGGCTCTGATGTCAGAAGGTCCTGCTGATATCGTGCCATGTAAAAATGGATGGGTGTATGAGGACACCGTATATCAGAGTACCATAGTTACAGAGGTAGGTCAAGAACAAGAGAAACTAAACTCTTTTCCGAAAACAGTCACCTATGGAAGTTTACGTTCTAAGGTCGATTTCAGTTAATTAAATGAAATTTAATTGTCTGACGTAGTCTGTATATTTATAATCGTGTAAATTATTAGTATTTTTAAATGATACGAGCCAACGAGCCTACAAAAGCGGAGTCATCACAACCCATGGACACATTTTGGTGGGTACGTTGCCGGCCTGTATTTAAACAATTGGAGGTCTATCTCCCAGGCAAGACCCCCATCGGGAGTCAATTCGCTAGTTCGCAAAAGAACTTCTTGAGAAGCGGATACTTGTAATACGCGTGTCACAATGCTCGTTCTACTCCTCCGAAACGTCTCGAATGATTCTTATGATTTTTTTATGCATATTCAGTAAGTCTGAGAATCGGCTACTATCTATCTTTTAAACACCTAAGTGATAAGGTATTTTTTATTTTTAGACAATTTTTTTGTTTTTATTTATTTATGATACAGCATACAAAAATACATACAAACCTTATTTTTATTATTGTAGATATTTTTATTGAACTAAAAAAATGTTTCCTAGAAATAATGGATATAATATACATGGCAAAATAACGTTTGCCGGGTCAGCTAGTTTAATTATAATAATGTATTAGCAAATAAAGCGACATATTATTTTCAGTGGGACCTTGTCTGTGACAAGGACTTCTTACCTACCCTGGGACTGGTACTTCTCGCTGTAGGCGGCATTATTGGAAATTACATATTCGGCTACCTGCAAGACACCTTTGGACGCAAACCCTCGTTCTTTATCTATCTTTTAATCGAGTGCATATTTGGAGTGGCTACAGCATTCGCTCAGAACTATTATATTTGGCTTATCTTCAGATTTGGTGTTGGGTTTACGGTACCAGCTATTATGGCGACTCCATACGTTTTGGGTTTGTTAATATTCAATCTAGTTAAATAAAATATAAGTTACCTTTACTTAAAGGTACTTTACTACTAATGTTCTTCTGACTCACTAACACTGTTAAACAACATTTTCACTAACACTCTTAAACAACACTTTCTCAACCTGTTTATATAACTTTAAATTATTCAAATTGTTAAAAAAAGATTGTAATATAATAAAAAGAGGCTTTTTTTAGCTATCGAACTTGTTGGGCCTCGATCCCGGACTCTTTGCACTATTCTCTCTAACATCGCCTATTCCATGGGCTTAATTCTCCTGGCTGGCGTGGTCTATTTAGTGAGGGACTGGCGTTATCTGGCTTTAGCTACGACATTGCCCTTCGTCTGCTTCTTTTTATACATCTGGCTCATGCCCGAAAGTCCTAGATGGTTACTTGCTAGAGGACAATTCGAAAAAGCTGAAGTTATATTAAAGAAAATGGCTCGGTATGTATTGAAATTGTTTGTTTAGTAACAATCTATTCTTCACTGCAACGATGCATTTTAACTAATGCCCTACAAAATACACACATAATTGCGGAAGTTAGCAGTGCGAACGAGTTGCTGTATCAGGCACAGGACAAGACAAGACACGCTTCACGAGACTGACGGCTAGTAGTAGAAGTGAAGGAGCAACACAGGAAGAAGAAAACACATTTTAGACTTAACGATTTCATAACTGAACGTTTCTTAGGGCAATTTCTGCCGCGCACCACCACTATGTGGAACCAGCTGCCCACTGAAGTATTTCCGAACCCATTCGACTTAGGGTCCTTCAAGAAAAGAGCGTACCAATTCTTAAAAGGCCGGCAGCGCGCTTGCGAGCCTTCTGGCAGTGTCCATGGGCGGTGGTATCACTTAATCAGGTGAGCCCTGCCTGCCTTCTGTAACAAAAAAAAATTATTAGGGTTCACGCATAATTGTCCTATATCGTATAAATATGTGTCCCCAAAATTATACAAGCGTATTTAAGCTGTTAAAATACAAAATTTGTCTTTCAGAATAAACGGAAAGTCTCTCCCCAAGAACTACATGGTCCACCTTCGCCGCAAATACGAATCAGACAAACTGCAACAAGATCTCGAAAAAGAGAAGTTGCGAACCTATGGCATTTTCGATTTATTCCGAACACCAAATATGAGGAAGAAAACGATAATCATCACTTTCATTTGGTTCACAAACACAAGTGTTTACGTCGGATTATCGTATTATGCGCCTGTGTTGGGTGGAGATGAGTTCTTGAATTTCTTCTTGGCTGGCGTTGTTGAGTTACCTACTTATCTGTTTTTGTGGCCTTCTATGGAGAGACTTGGGAGGCGTTGGACCCTTTGTATGAGTATGGTGGTGGGTGGAGTTGCGTGTTTGACTACGTTTTTGGTACAACATGGTAGGTAACATACTTTAGAGCCATCAAATCACCACCGCTAAGGAAATTTACAACTCTCGAGGCCACGGCCCTCGGTACGGCTGTCTGTGGTAAGACTGGTCGAGGATCCTCGCTTTAGATCAGAGGAAGATCCTTGACCTTACTTCCTCCAGCACTGTATCAAGGACTTTATTTAGTTTAACGTATTTTCTTTAATTCTATTTAAAAAATATTTTCAAATTATCAAATATGGGCTGAGGTTAAACAACGTGCAGAATTCCTCGGAGCAGTGAGGTCGCTCCGTAAAGCCTGCGAAGGAGACTTCTGTGCTTCTGGCAGGAGCTACGCTGGCGTAGTTAGCCAGGACTTTATGCACGACGGACCGAGCACGAATCAAAGTGCGGAAACTGAGTCCACTACTCATACCATTATCAAATATTTTTCAGATTACAGAAGTTAAAATTCATTATACATAATACAGATTTCAATAACATACAAACGGACCTACCATGGCAGCGTTTATTTATTTAATTATCTACAACTTGATTTAAAAAAAAATGTTTTAATGTCATTGTAGCAACAAACGATGTATTTAGCAGTTACGAGTGTGTTACACAACTAAATATAATTTAATACCAGATTGAAAGAAGAACAAGAACCTACGTAAATTATCCTCTTTCTGTTTACAGAAACCAATGTTACTCTGGCGTTATACTGCGTGGGAAAGATGGGAATTTCATCATCTTTCGTAGTCTTACCCTTAATGGCGTCTGAATTGTATCCAACTGTTGTAAGGGGATTGGGAATGAGCTTAAGTTCAGTTTTGGGCATGCTGGGCCCTATTTTTATACCTCTAGTAAATTATTTGGTAAGGAAAAGATTGCAAATTAAACAATGAATCCTATAAAAATACTTTTGTTAGTTTAAGTAGTACAAGTAGGATGTAGGAATCAAGTTACTTTAAAATTTTCTTTATTTTTACCTATTTCGAAGTCTCTGAACTTAGAACTGCCTCAGCTCATTTCGAAAGACCACAATTCCCGGCAACAAGGATATTTTACTATTGTTTGAAACAACAGGCTGCCTAAAAATATCAACTAAATAGACGCAGACAAGTGTTCACTTCGTACCTCTAGAAGCGTCTCTAATCTTTACATTAGTTAACTTTTTTATATTTTTAAGGGCTCCGATATTATGGTACTACCATTAATCATAATGGGCGCGTTGCTAGTCGCTGGTGGCATAGCCAGTTTACTTTTACCAGAAACTTTGAATCAACATCTTCCTCAAACATTAGAAGATGGCGAGAAGATGGGTCTAGACACCGATTTTTGCTGCAGCCCGCCAGTCAAAGAGCCTAAAAACGAATCTGATGAAAGAACGTGTAAAAACTGCAGTGCGTTATGTTCCTGTCAGATGATTAGCATGCCTTTAGTGGAAAATGTTAGCCCTGAAAAGGATTTAGACGCTGTTGAATTTATTTTAGTAAAATAATAATCTCGTTTCATTTATTTTTTTTATTTATTTAAAACGCTTCATTGAATGTGTGGTGAATACATTACTATCAGTGACACAGTATACACCTATATCTAGTGTCCAAAAATTAACTCAGACCAGTCTCATTAGATGTGCAGACGTTTTAAGGGTTTTTTCTATTAAAAGTATATACGCGAACTTCTAGATACTTTGAAGCACAAACATACCTTGTTATGGGTCGTCTGCGTTTACATAGGCATAAATTACTTATATCACAGTAATCATAATAAAAAAATATACTATAGATATATAGCCTGTAAAAGCCTTGAAGTATAACAATTATTAAAGGCAGAGCTAAAATTAACTATCAGATTCAGAAGTCAGTTGTCGAAATGACAAACAAAATCATATGTCATTTGTGTCATGCGTGTTGAGTGCAGGGAGCATTCGGCTTTTATTCAATTATTATGAAATAATTAATGTTAATGAATAGAAAAAAATAGTAATATTACCGACTATGGCATTTTTCCTTAGAACAAGTGTTTTAACACGACATTTGAAGAAATCCTTTTTACAAAATAAACGCAATTCTGGATACGTTGTCTTGTAAGTTTCAATGTTTATTACTTTACGATTTTCTTAAGAACTGTAAAATTATTGTTGCGCATCGAAATTAAGAACGACGTCATAAAAACTAAAATAAGTATAGTATCACCATCTAATAATAATAATTACAGATAGTAAGCTTTTTAATACAGAAAAATATAAAAGGTTAATATTTGCTTTGAGCCGATACAAATCTATTGTTTTATCATTTTTTTATACCTAATTCAAGCATAGGTTCTTTGCATTTGTCAGTTGTTCCTTAAAAATCATTTAAACATAATTTCAGAATTCCAGAAATTGGTGAAGATTCTGATAAGAATGTCCTTCTCACTGAGAACGGCCTGCCTGAATTTAATGATATTACAATTGAAAAGTGCATTGCTGCTATCAGTAAGCTAAGCTTAGATTATGAGAGTGGAGTTAAACAGATAGAAGAATCATGCTCTGATTGCAAAAATGCTTTTGTTGAGATCTTTCAGCCTTTGGAAAAGTTAGACAACCAACTAGAACTAACATGGGGTGTTGCTAAAACCTTATATTTAGGTAATAGTTCCTTGATGCCCACTACATCCTATATACAAATCCACCAAAGAGCTTACAAAGCAAGATCAACTAAATTTAATAGTGTGCCAATATACAATGCTGCCATAAATGAAAAAAATCGTCTGAAGCAGTTGACTGATGAAGAACAAAGATTATTGGATAAATATATTCTTGAAGGTAAACTTAATGGGCTTGACATTAAGGGTGTAAAAAGAGAAAAATTAGATAATATTCTCAATTTGTTACAAAAAGAAAGGGAATTGTTTCGGGATAAAGTTAAAATGGCCACAAATATTTTTAGTAGCTTTATCAGTGATGAACAACTATCCAAAGAACTTCCTGAAAGTCTAACAAAAGTTATGTCCATAAATAATAATGCTAGTAAAGGTCCTTGGAAAATTACTCTACAACCACATATTTTCGAACCATTTATGCAATATTGCCCGGATAGATCATTGCGTTGGAATACATGGCAGGCATATGTGCAAAGATGTTCAGGCTATGGCAATAAAGATTTAGAAACAAGTACCCATGTTGCACAAATACGAAAATATAGAGCAGAACAGGCCAAAATGTTAGGTTTTGAAACCTATGCTGATATGAGCATGGAAACTAAAATGGCTGGTTCAGTTGAGAATGTGTATAAGTGTCTTGACAAATTACTTGAAAATGCTAGACCACTTCAAGATATTGAGTTAGAATCCCTGCAAAGCTTTGCAAAAGAAAGAGGATTTGATGGTAAACTAGAACACTGGGATATCCCATATTGGCAAAGAAAACAAAAATGGTCTTTATACAACTATGATGAAGATAAAATTCGTGAATATTTTCCACTTCCACGTGTAATCACAAGCTTGTTTAATTTATGTAGCACATTATTCAAAATACAAATAGTTGAAAGATCCAATGTGCATACATGGCATAAAGATGTTAAATTTTATGATGTTTATGACGAAACAAGTAACACACCTATAGCTGGGTTCTTTTTAGATCCTTATGCAAGACAAAATGAAAAAATTCGCATTTATGATGACGCCGGTTGGCATGTTTCAATACGCAACAAATGCGCTCTAACATCTACAGATCCTTTATCAGCATTAATATTTAACTTCCAAGCTCCAAGTGAGGGATCGCAATCTCTACTGTCTTTCAAAGAGGTTGGTGTCCTGTTTCAAAGATTTGGACATGCCTTACGTCATTTACTAACAAAAGCAACCTATTCAGAAGTGGCAGGTCTCTCTAATGTGGAATGGGATGCTGCTGATGTTTGTGGGCAAGTGATGACGCATTGGCTATTTGATCCGCATACAATCCGAGCTATAAGTGGACACTATAACACTGAAGAACCACTGCCAGAAGAAATTATACAAAATTTGCAAAATGTTAGAAGCCATATGGCAGGATATAATTTATGTCGTGAACTATACCTATCTCGATTAGATTTAGAGTTGTATTCTAAGACTACTTTTTGGCGAGACTTGGTAAAGGAATTGTGGCCTAAATACAATGCACTGCCATTTGATAAATATGATTCACACCTGCTCTCTTTCACAAAAATTTTCTCTGAGGAATGGGGTGCTGCTTACTATTGTCATTTATGGTCAAAGATGATAGCCGCTGACATCTACAGTGCATTTGAAGAGGCTAGAGCAGGAGATCAGGATGTGATAGCAATTGGTAAAAGATACAGAGAAAGTTTTCTTGCCGTCGGTGGTGCATGTCAGCCCAGTGAAATATTTAGAAGGTTCCGTGGAAGAGACCCATCTCCACAGGCCTTATTGAACAACCTTGGTCTATCCACTCAAAAAAAAATTGAAGAGTAAAAGCATTATAGTTGTATAGATATTGTATTATATTCCTAAACATTATTTATATTTGTTCAAATGTTAGAAATAAATTTTTGATTTAGCGAAGGCCTTGTGTTTACTCTGAATCAGGATTTTGCTCCCAAGCTTTTTCCATGTCATAAATATCTTTCTTGATATTTTCATCATCTGGTAGTAGTTTTGCCGCAGCTTTCATTTCATCAATAGCTTTATTCAGAAGACCTATTCGTGCTAGCCCGGCAGCGCGACGTGCAATACATTTTGCCCTACTCCTTCTATTACCCTCGCAGGCCGGCTTCATTAGGTCTAAAGCGGTAGAACAATCGGTCACCTGCAATATCAGATAACGTTAGAATTCATTACTCAGCAGTCACGTTATCGTTAGCAAATATAGTTCTGGCATATTATATACACCCTTTAATCAAATAATTTTGATGATAAATAGTAGGTACTTTACATACTTACGCATTTATTAAAATTGCCTAAAGCAAAATGTGTAGCTGCTCTATTTGAGTACAAACTAGGTAATTTATCAGATAATGTGATGCCGTGGGTATATGCACTTATAGCTCCTAAAAAGTTGCCGTTTCTGAAAAACTCGTCACCCTTTTCCTTGCACCATTGAGGATCCTGTTCTTCGGGACGCAAATCTTCGGATACGAACCCTGCAACCGAATATTACAATAGTTAGACCTCATGCACATTTCCTAAAAATCATGTGTTCTTTTTTTATATTATAATGTACCCCTAACACTTGCTACCTACCAGTAGCTCGTCTAGCGTGTGTAATATTTCTTAACCAAGCCTCCTCTTCCTGTGCCGTTGACTCTCTACTAGGAGTTGGGAAACTCCTCGGTGTGTGCTTAATCTCCACTAGACCACTTTGCCGTAAGTTTGGTAGAACTCGATTACCTATTTCCTGTTTCCTTTTTTCAACATACTCTGACCTAACTGGCGTTTTTACCGGTGTCTTACTTATAGTTTTCCTTTCCGTTATTTTCGCTTTTATTTCTGGCTCATCGTCAGGTAACTCTACTATCTTTACACTAGAAGTACTGTTACTATCAGTAATCGCATCCATACTTTGGAAATCATTATATGTTTCTGTAGTAGTCTTCGATCGCCACTTTTCCAACTCATTCATAGCTTTATTACGTTCGTCATCTCTCCTAGAGTCCATAAGTGTATGTTGCTTAGTATCGATTTCCATGGCTTGTTGTACAGTAAATCTATCTAACTGGCTTTTTCTTATAGCTCGCTCTTCAGATTCTTTCTTGGCCTTTTCTTGGCATTCAGCGAGCATCTCTGCTCTCAATTTGGCTTTTTCATCTTTGGTCAGTAATTTTTCTAAGACTTCCCAATCCACCTGTTCTTTCTTAATTAGGTCAAATACGATTAAATCATCTTGCACTGTACATTTACTTTTCTCACTATTTACCTCATATAGCAGAAACATTTCAAATAAGTATGGTCTAAAATGTGCTTTAATATACTTATCGGTTGTAAAAATATCTACTGCCTCACGATATACCGGATCCAAGGGAATTCTTATGTTTATTGCATTGGTAGTTTGAGACCAAGTGAAGTCTTTAACTAAAATAGGCATTTCGCGTAATTTATACTACGTACTTTTATAAAATTAATGCAGTAATCGAAACATTTATTTCTTACAAGTACAAAAGAAAGAAAACCTAATTCCTCTCGGTTCTTGTTAAGCAGCCCACTTAGAGATATTTTTTTAGAATTGGACAGAAAACAGTAAACTAGACATTGTTACTATGGAGATCGAGTTTTAATTCTCAAATATTTTATCATTGTTTTTTGGAGTATGCCAAACATATGAAGCTTTTATTATGCATTGGTTCTTAGGTCACATCCTACTAGAAAAAAGTAACTTTGTACACTATATATTATATTATATAAGACGGCGGTAAAAATTAAGAAACACAAATACCTAAATGGCAACTTTAAAATGTATTTAATTGGTACCGACAACACATTTGTCAATTGTTATCAATTACTGTGACGTTTGTTAACAATAACTATAACAACTTACCACTACGTCATACTAAATTGACTTGATAAGAATGTAAACAAAATAATATTTTTTTGATTAAATAGAATTTTGAGAAAATATGTGTTTATACAATCTCTAACCTATTAAGTAATAAGTAGGATTAATATTCATTCATATGTTTTAATTCAAATAATTTATGCACTAATTTATATTATATTTATAACATTAATTGTTTATTAAACATTAATCTGCTTATCAGCGAGTATATTTGTAAACTTTATCATTTAATGCCACATATCAACATAATTTACATAAATAAGTACCTAGTGCTTCTTTGCTTTGGTGACAAGTGTCTTGTATAGCTAATTGGAAATTAGAAAATGAATGGAAAAGTTCAAACAGGTAACTCGTGTTTTTATGTTAAAATAACTTAATAATTTCCATATATTTTCCACAATTATTTTATGTAATAAATTTGTACACAATATCTACTAAAGTGCTTTTTCAGTTTTAGGAGATGTGGAGTCAAGTGTTCTTGGACGTACCCTGACACATGAACATCTGGCTATGGAATTTAGCCATTTCTACAAAGAACCTCCTAAACAAATAGCAGACAAGTTCAAGTTTGGATTTACTCTGCAAAATGTTGGGTTTTTGAGACAATACCCATATAGTTCAGAAACGAATTTATTATTAAATGATTCATTGGCAAAGGAAGCTGTCCTTAATGATGTTATGGAATATAAAAAGTATGGTGGAGGTAAAATGTAAATTATTAATGTTTATCTTCATTGTTAATACATAAACTTTTTTTATTAAGAGATTGTTAAAATATAAAATAGAGAGCATAGAGAAAAAAAACTGCACTTCATTAAGTAATCTTTTTATTAATTTCTAATTTGTAAAAATCCAATTTTTACAGGAACTATAGTAGAAAATACAACAGTTGGAATTAAAAGAGACATAGATTTTTACAAACAAGTGTCGGAGACAACCAATGTCCACATAGTGGCTGGAACAGGTCATTACATAGCAGATGTCCAAGATACCAAAGTGATAGCCTTAAAAATCGAAGATTTATATAATCATATGCTAAAAGAGCTAACTGAAGGCTGTGTAGATTACCCCTCAGTTAAAGCTGGTGTTATGGGGGAAATAGCAAGTGTTTGGCCAATTAAAGGTATAAGATAAGGTTTTGTGTAAATTTTGGCTTTTAATTTTAAGCTACTCAATAAATAGTATAGAAGTATTGATGCTTGGACACGTACGTCGTTTTAAATATATATAAAAAAACAACCTTGAAGTATCATTTTGAAAAAAAAATTATCACAATTTTTTTGTAATTTGCATGTATTTTATTACAATTGCGTCATTTTGTTATAAATTAATTATTCATTAATTTTCAACAAATTAATATTTAATATCTAAAACTGAGTGGATCTGGAATCCCCATCAGTGTTATTTTTTATGAATAAGACGCTATTATATAGGTATATATTCAATATAAAACTATTATATAACAATATCAATGTTGACCCTGGACTCCGGTCTAACACCATCCTTTGAAACGTAAAATAACTCTTCACAGATTTTGAACGTAAAGCCATTAAAGCTGCGGGCGAACTTCAATCTCAGCTTGGATGCGGAGTCAGCTTTCATCCTCACCGTGATCCCGAAGCACCTTTTGAAATAATAAGACTTTACACAGAAGCTGGTGGAAGAGTCGAAAAGGCTGTCATGTCGCATTTAGATCGTAAGCGACTTAATAATACATTTCTTAAATTATTAGTTTTAAATAAAATTATTGCAATTTATTGCAAGTAAAATGTGCAAACCCGATGAATATACTAAAAGCGATCAGATTCGATATCAGCAATTTTACTGAAAAGAGTTTTTTTTTCAAATATTCAAAAATATTTGTAAAAAATAATTCAGATTATGACGTCACAAAAACTGTTCTTTGAGGCTATCCATTATTTTAAAGGATTTAGCCTCTGCAAGGCAATTCCTTGAAATTCTAGTATTAGAATGCATGGAAATTTTTGTAGATTTTTTATCGAAGGATATTTAGATATATGAGTTAGGGAGATGAAAAAACAAGATTTAGCGCTAACTCCCGTATATTAAATTACAATACATTTTTGACGTACCGTAGTCAGACTTTCAATTTTCGCTTCTAAATCTTACCCTAAATTTTGTAACAGGAACACTTCTAGACTTCGAAAAACTTTTCGAATTTTCTCAACTGGGCGTATACTGTCAATTTGATCTATTTGGAGTTGAAGTGTCCCACTACCAGCTCAACATTGCTACTGACATGCCGTCGGACGCACAAAGGCTAAACATGATCAAACGTTTAGTTGATGAAGGAAAGGAAGATAAGGTTTTAATGTCGCACGATATTCATACTAAACATAGACTGGTAAGTAATTATTAGTCAATAGGAACAAATGTTTAGCCAGGAATCGAATCAAAGTTCCTCGTTACAGTCCAAATTTACTACAGGGCCACGGTGATAAAGTTTAATAACATGACTTTACTTATACTTGACGCTGGCATAACGAGAAAAAAAAAACATGACTACCTAAACATGGAAATCCAAGGGTGTTTAAGGATTCACGCTAATAAATAACACAACAAAGAGATATAAAATAAGGAACAAAGGATAATAAATTAATTTGAAAATAAATTATTTTTCTATATCCCGATTTACGTTTCTTGTTTATACATCACCTTTACACTTACGCACTCTATATATATATATATATATATGTTATGTTGGTTTGTGTTCGCTTTAAAAACTCACAAAGCACCGATCGAGCTGAAATTTTAGCATGATGTATAATCCGCATCAAACTTTTTATCTATTTTTTTGCATAATTTTTTTTCCACAAGTATTGCAAAATTAAACTTATATGAAATGTTTTTTGTTTCGTTTCTCATTTCTCAACCATTCAATCACAATGTGCCACAGCAAAGCGTGGCAGGCTACAGCTAGTATAGTAATAAATTTATTGAAATTTCAGATAGACTTCGGTGGACATGGCTATTCCCACATAATAAATAATATACTTCCGCGAATGAAAGCTAAGGGATTCACAGATGAACAAATAGATAAAATAACTATACAAAACCCTGCAAAATGGCTTAGTTTTTAAGTAATGAAACATGGAATTGAGGCCTTATTTTTTTACAGTGTATTTTGTATTGTTATTGTGTTTATAAAAATGTTTATTTCATATGTGTTTTATTCACTTATTCGCATAAGGGGCAGTTGAAGTATTACGTAAGCACTATGGGGGCGGGGGGTCTTTTATTTTTCTTATGGTGATTACGTCAACAGTAATTATTTACTTTTGTACACATATTACCCACACATTGTCTATGCTTGAAGACGAAATGCATTTCCGCGGATTCCTACAAAAAATTAATACGTTTATGTACTATTATTTTTGAGAGCTTTGCTTACTTTTGCTGACAAGAGAATGGTTGGGGGGGATAAATTGCAGTAAATCTGCTTACGTAATACTTGAACGGCCCCTAAACAAAAAATTTATTAAAAATAACTATATGTTTCAATAATAAACTCAATATCCATCGCAATTAGAATGTCGAAAAATCTGTAGAATGAATATAGTGAATTAATAGAAACCAGTAAAAAAATATTCATAATTTACTAAAAAATATCTATACACTTCAAGGATCTAATCATCAAGGTCTAAATTTTCCAATTCCTCATCAAGGTCTTCAGCCAGGAAGAGGTTTTCATTGATAGGAACTGCAGCTTCCGCATCTTCTGGTGTCTCACCATTTACCAGATCTTCACCAAGCTTCTCCAACCGGTCTGTCGTCGCCTTAGTTCCACTATCGTCTGCCTATAAAAGAAGTACATTTTTAGTTCAGTTGCACTACTTCTAACAAACATTATTTAGAGAAACGAAAATAACATTTGTATATTAAATTAGGCATGTAGGAATCGTACTCAGGGATAGATATCATTATATTAATATTTTTTTTTTTATAAAGACAATTAACACCAATTGAACTAGTACCATGTTAAGCTGGTGAAGCTTGTGTTATGGGTACTAGGCAACGGATATACATACATATTATAGATATAGACATATAAATACATATTTAAACACCCAAGACCTAAGCACAACACCAAATGCTCATCACATCGATGTTCGTCTCAGTCGGGGATCGAACCCGGGACCCATGGATTCGCAGTCAGGGTTACTAACCACTAGACCAGTGAGTCGTCAATATTACCTTTAAACTTAACAAAGATCTCATATTACTTAGATCAGTGCTTTCCAAACAACTAATTTGACCATAATGGTTGATTTAACTGGAAATTGCAAAATCATAGCCACTCACCTCGCATGCTTCCATTCCAATAAGTTCCAGCTCAATATTCCGATAATCAACTTCTTTTTCTTCCTCATCCGAGTTAAATTTGCCAAGATCAAAGGCTTCATCTCCATCATCTGCATCATCTGCCATTGTTGGGTCAAAGGAGAACATCTCTCGACCAGATATACCAACGGCGCGACCAGCTTTGTAGTCACTACGACGTTGTTCTTCTGCCGTGTTAAGGGCCTCCTGTAATATTTCATTGTTTAGAAAAGTTCTTCGAGCTCTAAAGACAACTATACAATATCAAATGTTAATGGTCCTGTAGTAACAAAATAGTTATTTACATTAGTCAAATGTCAAAAAATAAATAAAAACCTTCTGATTTAGTTAGAATATATAAATAATATCAACCCTATTCTCTTTCTTACAAGCTTGGTACTTCAGTCCATGTTTGAAGGATTGAGCAGTCTACTTTATCTCAGTCTTATAAACTCCTATTTTAACTACTACTACTTATACATGTGCATTTTTTACCTGCTTCTCTTTGATTTTCTTCTTCTTCCATGCCAAGAATGTCTCTAGAGTAATTTTAGTTTGGTTCGGCCCAAGTGCAGCCCTCTCTTTTTCTATTAAATCTACAAGAGAAATCTCATTTTTCTTCTCTTCCATTTTTTTCTTGTCCCTTTTAAGAACAAACCCTGGTGGTAAGGCATGCCTATAAATGCATTTAGTTCCAGCAGGACACTCCCAGAACCAACCATATTTTGATCTCTCCACAGCTTCCAGGAAGTGTCTACAAATCTGGAAATGTTTATCTACTATTTAGTGTATATTACATTATTTAATAAATATAAAGTAATTTTCACATTCAATCATCACTTTTTTGTGATGGGCATATATCATATTTAAATCATAAAAATATATTAATTAAAAATGCCTTTTGTGTTAGAAAGGGCTACATACAATATCTGTAGTAGGCCTTTGTTTATCTCCTTCCCCATGCTTCTTTTCAACCACTTCTTTCAACTTCTCTTCATCCCAATTGTCCATAGTGTCATCATCATCTCTCATGTCCACATAGAGAGAACGTTTTTCTGCCTGCAATAAGTATATTATAAAAGTTAATGACTTAATTTAGTTAATTTAAGAAAATTTAATTAAAAAGGAAGAAACGGTTAAAACTAACTCTAGTAAATTTAATACTTTTAAATTATATAAATGTGTTAAATCATAACATGCATCCCATTTAAGGAAATTTAATGTGTTTAAAATCTTAGAAGAAAACCTTACCCTCCGTTCAATTGTTAAGTCATGGGAGAATTTACAACGGTCTCCTTTTGCACATTGGCCCTGCTTGAAGAAGGCACAAACTACTGATTTTGGATCAATTCCTGTAAAAAATGCCAGAAAACTGAAATAAATAAAACTTGACATAAAACATAGGTTTTATTACTAATTTGATGGTAAAATTCAGAGCTAAAGACAACTTAAAATTTGTATTTTTAGTGCAACTGTCAATGGTTCATTATAATATAATGGAACTAAGCAAACACTGTGTATTGTATTACCCAGAAATATCTTTAATCAATACAATGCTTTCTTAATTCATTCATTCATTGATTAGGATATGAGGGAGATTATTAATAGATGAGTACAAATAGTAGTAGACAATACCTTTTTCAACCTTCTGTGTTTGAACTGGTTTAAACAATGCGGCTAATTCTTTTTGATCCTTTAATTTTTGTTCTTTATCCTTCTTCTTGTCTTCTACAGGCTTAGCAGGATGTATTCCTCCACTTTTTACCTGTTTTTCTACTTGCTGAATAAATTTCTGCTGTTTTGCACCCTTTTTGTTTTTTAAGCCAAAAGTTTTATCCTGAAAATGAGACAGAATGGGTATGTGATGGCTTTTAAGGTGTAATCACTGATAGTTTTTGAGAAAAGTACTCTATTACAGACATGTTCAGTAAAATCAGCTGTTAAGTTAAAGGTTTTTAAAGCCTCGATAATTTGTTGTTTACAAAATGACCGCAACAGCGCATTACCTCAATAACTTTCTCCTTCTTCTTCTGCTCCGTCTTCTTGCTAGACGCAGGTGCTTTCTTTGGCGGCATGGTTAGATTTTTGTGCTAATCTAAAAAAAGTCCTAAACTGTGGTTTGCGACGAAGTTTTCTTTCCGGCAATGCCGTTTCTCGTGAAATATAATTACATCTATAAATATAACCACTAGTAATGTAAGAAATTATCGTCAAAAGAAATATCTACAATCGCGGTGCACCGTGGCTTCTGGTTAGCGAATTTTCCATTTATTTCTAAGGTTTGACAAATGACACTGATGTATATAGCAATTGACTAATATAAAAATTTAAACTTCATTTGCTTTTGAATTTTTCGGCATGACGGCAAGGCCTCTGGCATTGAGAGTATCCATGGGCGGCGATATTACTTAACATCAGGTGAACCTCCTGCCCGTTTGCCCCTGTTCTATAAAAAAAGGCTATTTAGACATAATATTTAATAAAAGTTCCTACCATAGAATAACATAGGAAATACTTATGTAGAGTACTGACTGAGACTTGACTTGACGGTAAGCATAACGCGTGTCAAAGTCAAAACTGTCACTTTATCTTTTTGTTATTAAATCGAGTCGCGGTAGGTAGTGGACGTTACACTTTTCGCGATATTTTTTTATCCCGTGCTGAAATAAACAGTGGCGAATCTAGGCCATGGCGACATATATTCTATTTTATTCTCTGCCCCTGCGTACTTCGTGAAATAACTGCCAAGTGTTAACACAGAAATCGTGCTCAAAATGGAAATTGTGAACATTGAGGACGGTCAAGCTGACCAAGTAGCGGTAATACGAAAGAAAAGTATTTGGGCGAAAATAAATAACAGAACAACATACAGTTATTTAGTCAACATTGTAATTTCAATAATTTTGTTGACGTCTTTGGTGTTAGTCTTGTATTTTTTTAAAGAATATTTAAAAACGATTTTATATTGGGTTGATGCTCAAGACCCAAGGATTGTGTTCTTATTGTTTATGGGATTATTTTTAATCGTTAGTTTTCCTGTGACTATTGGTTATTTAGTGCTCATAATAACTAGTGGATACTTATTCGGTATTCCAAAGGGTTTGGGTACCGTAGTGGTAAGCGCGAACTTCGGTGTTGCTGTAGCCCATTTTACCTTGAAGATGTTAAGAGGATATTTGCCCTTGGACCGGCTGTTGAAGTCAGATACTGCAAGAGCCCTCCTCAAAGTTATTGCAGGACCTCAGGCTTTCAAGATAGTTTTTTTCGCCAGATTAACGCCAATACCATTTGGTTTACAGAACACAATATTTGCTGTGAGTATATAACTTATATTGAAATAACATCCTTTGCTTTGTACCAGTTTTTTAATTCTAAGATAAAGAAAGGTAAGAAGGGAACCCTTCCAGGTTTAATAATACTGTCTATTTCATTAGTTTATTATTAACAACAAATATATAATCAAAATCTAATGTTTAAGTACTACTAAGACAAGAGACTAGATTTCAGTATTCATATGCATTGAGACAAAAGGTTAATCATTAGATAAGTTTAATGGTCCATTGTAAATGTTCCATTATAATTGTTGCTCTTTGCCTGATCAATTACAATTTGCTTCCTATAATTATGACTACCTGCTCCTGTACTTGGCCGTAGTAGTAACCATAAACCCATTAAAAACTCTATAAACTGCATTTACTCTTTGTCATTGGTTTAATTTCCAGTAGTACAAAAAAAATATCTTTGTAAGTCTTATAGGACTAGTTGTCTTATTGGGCACCTACTGGTGTATAAAGAAATTTATTTATTGAAAGACGAAGCACTGGCAAATATTGGTAGTTTGAAAAATTAAAAATACCAATTAAGAATAAAACAAAATATAAATACATACAAAATTACACAATTTTGTATTTATCATGTAATCATTGTAACAATTTATAATGTTTAGTAACAAGAGTACAAATTGTAATCTTTTTAAATTTTTATGTAGCTATATATTATATACATTATCATTTAGAATTTGCTTTGAAAACAAACCTACCCTTTAGCCAAACAAAGCTAGAGAGTGCATAAGTCAATTGATCATTTAAAAGGATTAGATAAGTATGTTGCATTATACACTGTTTTTCAGAGAACAAAACATTTAATCCATTTATGTATACTGGCATTTTGCCTCAACCTTGCATAAATGCATAACTTTTCACGGAAATTAGAAATAACATGTAAAGTAATTATAACTCTTATTACTTGCATGCAATACAAATAAAGTTAATTATGAAATCATAATTATTTTCACATGAAATGTAAATTATAATGCCATATAATTAGTTCCAAATAGTATATTTTACTATAGTTATTAAATTTTTATCACTCATGAAATTTTCTAAGAAAAACTGTGCAAACTGATAGCATTTCTATCTAAATGTACGGAATGGGGTATACTTGTATAGTGTTGTCTATTTCAGTAAACTTACGATATAATAGCGAGACGCATAAGGTGGAAAGCCTTGACATTTGTTATCAGTATCTAAAATGAACTATAGTTTAAACCGATTGATCAGTTTGTATGAAAGTGTTATCACTGCTTTCCGTAAACGACTTTAGTAATGTTATAATAAACGTATAATTGTGGATAGTTAGATAGTTAAAAAATAAAACAATAACAAGTAATTTAATAATCACGCTCCTTGTACTCCAAAGTTACTACAATCTATTTAATAAAAAGAAGTTTCGTGATAAGATTCAAAAGTGTATCGTAGTAAGTCACTTTCCTAGATATTTTATTTCATTTTTCTACTCTCCTCTGTAGAAATACTACAGAGATTTCAAAATATCGCTCTGAGAACCATATCGAGTGTTCCTTGGTTTGTTAGAAACACTGAAATTCACGAATACCTAGAAATGGAAACTATAAAAGAAACACATAATTCTCGTAGTACAAAATACATGCTTAAGGAACATAGCAATATACGAGCTAAAAACCTTCTGGATAGTAAAGAAGGTGTAATCAGACTTAAAAGAAAACAAATTCTAACCATGGGGCATGGACTAGTGATTGAATCTGGCATGATGTTTGGAACATTAGCCACACAGTATAATCCATAAAGAGAACACGTCAGATTATGACTAAGTGAAATCGATTGCTGATAAATAAAGAAGAAAGAAAAATTCTACTCTCCATGAATTTTACTTAATAGGTTTTATTAAAAACACACAAGGCAAACCGTCAGGACGCTCATCTAATGTTAAGTAATACCACCGCTCATGGGGACTCAATGTCAAAGGGCTCGCGAGTTCGTTGCCGGCCTTTTACGGCCGGTTGGTACAAAAGTATTCTTACATGAGTCGAATAAATGCTGTTGTCAATTTCATTAGAAAAACTTAGATGTGATCATGAAAAGAACAAACTAGTTTTTGTTCTGTTTTTTTGTTTTGTCGAATTAGACTAAACGCGGGGAAGTGGTGGGGAGCACCCTAGGTGCCGCGTTAGATTTTCCTACACACCAGGCTATCTCGTTAGCCTACCCTAATTTTATTATCAACTCAACCCCACCACCATTGGTCCCGATATCGCCACTGATTTTAGTGCCGTATTACGCTTTCAGCATACATTGATGTTTTATATATTAAAATGACCCATTAAATAAGTTAACTAAGCTATATATAACCTGGCAAAGGATATAGATAATATTAAGTCATCGCGTGTATAAGAAATTTTCTCACTTCAAAACAATACGTATATATTTATGTCGCCTATAAACCGATAAACTTGCGTCACACTTTTATTACGGACTTTAATCGCTTGGTATTTTCCTCTTATTAGTCTTGCAGCAATTATTGTGAAGTATGTCTTCAAGGCAATAAAATGCGTTTTGAAGGGCGTTTGTTAGGGGTTTGAACGATAAAACAAAGATGCTAAGGGCTTTTTATTTACTTTTATTCACTACGAGTATTTGCGAATTGAACACGTCCTACCAAAAACTCATCATGAAAATTGTAATTGTTTGTACACGAGCCTTATTGCAATTTCATCTGTTATGATGGAAGTTTCTAGTCTTGTTTGATGTGAACATTGAGATTATGATAGTCTTGTATTACTATATTATATTTATTTATGTAAACACTTCGTTACATACGTTACATATATAAAAAAACAAATAATATACTACATAAAAATTATAAGGGATGCAACGGGTGGCCTTATCATCGGCAACCCTACTAAGGAAAAAAACTAAAAAAAGAAATATGATGGGTAAAGTGCAAGAAGCGCATAACCAAATCTTATAAAAACCAACCTTATTCTAAAATAATACAAAAAAATAATAAAAATAAACTAATCTCACATACTTATAATTTGTATTGGTATACACGTCTTGGTAGAAGTAAAACCAGCAAAAGAAAGGAACCTTCCAGCTGGCCTATTATTATAATTGAAATAGTTACAGAAATGTTGCTGGCCTTTATATATCTGGTATTAGAGATTATAGGACTTGACAATATAATATAATATAATAGTAGTTGTATTACCTACTAAAAGCGCAATCAATACAACCGCTACTTTAGACGAAATTTAATACGCGCTGACTAATGCCATATTTACAAATTAATCTTGATACTTTAATAAACATATAAATATAATACATACGTATTTGTTTACTATTATTGAATTGCTAATGTGGTCTGAAATAATAACAATTCTTTGCATTACGTTGGCAATGATGTTTACAGAACCAATATCCTGCAGCGCGTGACGGATATGAAAAGCATTTGCTGCCATCATCGCAATTTCCCCTCTATCGAAATATCTATCATAGTATTACAACGCAGTCGCAACGTAGAGTTGGCCTAGTGGCTTCAGCGTGCGACTCTCATCCCTGAGGTCGTAGGTTCGATCCCAGATTGTACACCAATGGACTTTCTTTCCATGTACCGCATTTAACACTCGCTCGAACGGTGTAGGATAACATCGTGAGGAATACATAGCCTTAGACCAAAAAAGTTGACGGCGTGTCAGGAGGCTGATCACCTACTTGCCTTTTAGATCGACAAATGATCATGAAACAGATACAGAAATCTGAGGCCCTGACCTAAAAAGCTTGTACGACCACTGATCAAATAAGTCAAATAAAACAATTACGTCCAAATAAGAGTGTCTACTATACGACTAGGAATCATTTAAATAAGTTTTTTTAAAGTACTTACGAGTGCTTTTCAGCAATCAAATCAAAGTATAAAACAAAGTTGGGTTTGTTTGGACAATTATAACTCGAGGATGACGGCTGGACCGTCATCGTTTTGGATTTGTTGTAATTGTCTTGGAAAATTGACGAAAAATAACCAATACAAAATGTTCACGGGTTTCGAACTGTCAAACATTTACTGTTCATGCCGCCGATACGGTAAACTCTCCCTCAAATTAAAGAACGTATTTAAATAAAGGTTTCGATATAGAAGATATCTACGAATTCGCATAATGGCGTAGAGTTCGCGCCACCACTCATTACCGACGGGAACCCTGGAACTAAATTTGTCGTTACAGTAAAATATTATTTTATTCGTTTTAAGGTAAAACATTAGAAGCAAATCTTGGAGAGTAGTTCGCGAATTTCATATTAATTTATGTTACGTTGGGGTAAAATAGCCTTGCACCTAGCACTAGCAACATATTACTATCTCCATCCGCGTCTATCGGCATTCAGTGGTGGCGCTGACTCTATTGTAAAAATGTTGAATAATGCCAGTATTGAAGAAGGTTTGACATAAAATATGGGTTGTCAATTGTCATTATCATCTTAATAAAGTAGGTAATTTAATATTTATTTTGTATACATTATATTACTTTAAAAAAATATAAATTAAGTTCAGCTAATCTGTAAGTTGTAACACGACATTCATTGACTCTTAGGCGATACGAAGCCGGGTCATCCAGGTATAAATTTTGAAACCTCTATTTACGATATTAAATAAAAACACTAAAATATTAGACCAAATTTTGTCGTAAACTAGATCGTTAAAGAAACGGAGACAGTTATTTTCTCGTCCAGTACAATTGTAATAAAATACAGCGGTGTTGAATATATTACCATTGTTCAGTCTTTGTATTTAAACAAATTAGTCTCAGTAATGACGAGAGTGATTAGTTACGACTAAATCACGTTTAAATACTCAATAATAACTTTATTTAAAACTAGCCCCCGTGAACTTCGTTTCGCTTTGCTATATTCTGTAGTGGGCTGGTCAATTTTAAAGAAAGCATTGTTGAGTGCCTATCTCGTACCTACGACCTACTCCGATGTTTTTGCTGGTATTTTTCTTA